GTAGGTGCGCCAAACTCAGGAAGTTTATTTAAGTTTCTCTCAAGTTCCAGTGTTTTTTCCCCTCTGTTTCCTTCTCTCAATAAAGGGCAGTACACAGTTTATATAGTCATTGTCCATCACACCATCGACATACGTGTCACAATGAGACAGTCACATCATAGTCATAACATGGAGTCCTTGTAGAGTCCTTGTAGAGTCTTGCTCGTAGGCCATATTGCCTATTCTAATACTTACTCCCTACCCGTTTGATCACATAATCACATGTGATCACTCCATTTGATCAATCAATAAAGTGGAAAAAGAGGAAAAAAAAATTCAAAAAAAAAACTTTAACAAAATTATTAAAAACAAGACAATTGTTGCATTAACTCATAATCATCAAACTCAGAATATCAGTGGTTTTATCCTCTTTCCTGGTGTTCAGTATTAGATAGCAATATTGGCCCTACGTGCAGGACTGTACAAGGACTCTACAAGGACTCTATGTTATGCCTATGATGAGACCTGTCTCTTGTGACAGTATGTCTATCGATGTGTGACGTGACAAATGACGATATAAACTGTATACGGCCCTTTATTATGTCTGAGGGAAAGAAACAAAGGAAACCTTGGAACTTGAAGAGACACTCCTAATAGAAACTTCCAGAGTATGGTTGCTCCACGATCCGTTCTTGTCTGCTGATCCCTGCAGATTTACTTTACTTTTACTGATTCACTATAGTTTAAAACTATTCTACTCTATTTACAAATATGTTTGTATATTTCTTATATTGAGCCATTATTCTTAAAATATTTTAATCTCTCTGTGGGTTTACTTTCATTATCAGTGGCTTTTATCAGTGGGATTTTGCTCTATGTGGAACTACTTACATTCTCCAGGGAATAAAATGAACACAGTAAGCAGAATGGTTATTCATGAACATTAGTATGGTGGTCAGTTTCCAATTACATTTGTTGAACAGGAAGTGATGTCACCTTCCTACTCTAGGCAGTTCGGAGGAATGCAACCTCTATAATCAACTTGGTCTTATCCTTACAAGAGCTAATCTATTTTAGCAGCGTTTTGGGTTGGGGTCAGTTATTCTACATGGTGTTTGATTCTCTAAATCTGTTTGGAAACTTCTCAATATCTAAAAAATCTACTATTTTGTTTTTGTTCTCTACACAAATACATCAAAATGGCTTTTAAATGCTTTTGATCTTGTCGGTTCTTATTATCTCTTGATCTAGGCATTATTCTAGGCTTCACTCCTGACATTTTGCATTGTACACTTAACCCTTTAAGCGCCAAAGTCGCAATATTGCGACAAGCAACATTGCTCACTTAAACAGGCTGTATCTAAAAATGTGGTGCAGAATCTTGTTAATACTTTTCACCAGGGGTTAGTGGACATGTGTGCCTGTAATATATGAGCAACATTTGTGGGTGTGGTTATATTGAAAGTTTTTGAGTAAATTGAGTTCGTAAAACACCTGCGGCGCAGCAGCGCGGAGGCGAAGCAGCAGCGGTAGAGCTGAGAGGAGCGAGAGCAGAGCAGAGGGAGAGAGTGTTTTTTATTTTACTCACGAGGTCTTCAGTACCAGAGAAGTACTTGGTCTGGTACTGGCTCACTCAGATTCAGAGGAGGAAGACACGCAGGTGTCCAGTGAAGCAGACACGGACATTATTGGTGACGGGGAGACCGCGCTCCATAGTCCACAATCAGCCCCTGTGCAGCGGCTGCTTGTCCTCCGTGTGGCCGCGGTAGAAGCATTCTGTGAACGCCAAGCAGGGGCCGTGGTGGAGGGGACAGGGGCATCATAACACCGGGCATGTGGGAGAAAGTAGCGGGGGTAGACATCCACGGGGAACACGGGAGACGCGGGAGAAGTCGCGGGAGAGCCGCGGGAAAAAAACACATCGCTAATCGCGTTCACTGCCTTTACCAGCAGCGATGATGAGGATGAAGGCAGTTCTTGAGAGAAAATAATCCACAAAAGTGGATCAGAAGTGTTGAAGAGCCTGTTGTATGTTGTTGAGACGATCTGACAAGTTCTGAGCCCATTCATTTCATCTCTCTGTTTCTAAACGGTAAATCCTGGAGCCTCATTTCCACTGAGAAAAATAGTAAGCCCACTACTTCTCTGAAAGGGAAATATTGAAACCAATCTCAAGATTTCATGACTGTAAACTATAAAGAGTGCTGTCTTGATCACTGAAGGTCTTTGAAAATAATACAATTCCATATGGCCGCGAACCAGTGCTAAAACATTATCTATAATCTGGATCAGGGAATTTATTTCTATCCCAAATTCATTTCATACTAAAGATATTTCACATTGACTGTTTATAGTATTCCCTGATCTCAAATAACTCCCAAGCTACAGCTTTTTGAAGTCTTTATACAATAATTAACATTTTCCAAAATGGCCGCCACCTTGATGACGTTACGATATGCAAATTAGATGACGAATCAACTTCCATCCCAAAGTTTGGTTCAAACTGAAGATATTTCTAATTTACAGTATGCCTTTATCTCAAACCATTTTAAAGTTATAGCCTTTTGAAATCTTGAAATCAAAATTGTATATTTTCTTGAAAAAACTCTGGCGCCTACATCAGATTGGAGGTCATGCTTGACCAATGAAATGCTCAACTCACTGCTTCAGATTTCCATCCATGGCCCTCCTCCTGATGAGTACGATTCCGCAAAAGCCGTGACAGCATGGTGGAGGGGCAGTTACAGGGCACGAAGGCCCACATTTGCAGATGATGATCATAAGTAGAAAGAAATGTTTTGCTTTTTTGTAGCTTTAATCAGCTTCTTCCACTAGTTATACGCAGTCTTTGTGCCGGTTGGGCAGTTCTATTTTTTTGTATGAAATGTTAATGTTTTTACATTAAAGGGACTATACAGAGTGGAAAGTCATGCACAAGCTTAATGTAGAAGATTTGACCTGAGGTGGCAGTCGTGAGTATAAAATGGCCGACTTGCATCTAGTTCCTTTAACATTAACAAGTGTTTTACATTATTTAGTTGATGATGTGAGTCTGTGCGAATTGAATCTGTTTCTGTAGTTTTGGCCTCTGATTTAAGTGGGTCTGCCTGCACAATTTGTATTTATTGTTAAAGAATGTTTTACCAATAAATTGCATTATTGTGAAATTAGTCATTTATTTACACATTATATTGTGTAAAACAATGATAAAAATACTTTTATAATAAATGTATAATTAAAAAAATGTATTAGAAAATACATATTAAATTCGGGACGGTTCACATCCATTTCGGGACGATGCCAAATGGTTTTTGGGACGGTGTCGGGACGGTCATGAAAAAAGTTAGTCTGGAGCCCTGTTCAAGATCGCGATAATTAAAGAAGCTATACCCGATATTTTTTTCTAAGTAGTTCATAAAAATGCTTTTTACTACATACAAGTTGTATCATAATACATCATTTAATTGAAAACTTGAGGTAATTGATTCAGCTGTGTAAGAATTACAAGCAGTGAAAAGTGCTGAGTAGAGTCTGAGCGGGCCGCTCTTTCTCCTCCGCTCACAGAACGAGCAGCGAACAGCCTGCGTCCTCTAGCCTCTACAGCGCTGCTTAACACCAGGGCTTCGACTTCAAATTCGAATATAATTCTAAAATAAAAAATGATGAACAAAATAATTGAATAAAAAAATGTGAACAAATATTAGACAACCCTTGTAATTCGAAATGTATTTAATGACTGCAAATAAAATAGTTAGCTCCCAAAGGTTTCACCGGGACGTGCTAGGCAGGTAACAGCTAAGCTAGCTAGTTGTTTCATGGTAACTTCCGGGTTTTTCGCAATCGCTTTTTGTCACATTGAAACAGTATTTTTGTCATGAAAACGTTAACAGCAAATTCTGAAATCATCCGTGCATGTGTGTTAAGGATGTATATGTGTACTGTATTGTCCGATTGACGTTTAATGGTGTTGATTGATAGATATGTAGTTGTTTATTGAGCGTGGCTAGCTCCGCTAGCTCCGTTGGCTTCTCTACACAGACGAGTGTGTAGTGACAGGTGCTGATAGCTTTTGTACTTGCAGAGTAATGGCAGTATTTTACACACACACCTGAATTACAAACAGAGATTGCATTGGGGCTTCGGTCATTATTGGTTTGAGAGTTCTGTTATCAAGAAAAAATGATCGGAAGAATTGCTGCTGCTGCTTTGAGGAGCTCTATAACACATTATAATTAAATATTAGAATATATTCTAAGGTTTTAAATTAATACATTCGGACGCGAAACTAGCGGTATTCTTTTACTTATATATTGTGTTAGCAGTGCGTTGCTTTAGTGCCATTTCATCAGTGATTGTTGCACAGCTTACAAGAAGTTGCGCTAATGCTAATGTTAGCATATGTATCAGATCGCAAATAAAACTAGGTGGCTCTGTGTTATGAGAGCGTAGGGGAAATGAGAAGCCATTGAGCGAGTTGGGGGGCGGTGCTAAACATTCAAACATTGCAGAAACGGGTATAGCGCCTTTAATTGCCAAAACTAATTCATGAGCAATACTGAAACATAAACACACAAAACTTTGTTCTTTGAGCAGATGATGCAATAGTGGCTGCACAACGCACATTGATCAACATATCAGGTTAAGTACACAGGTCATCAAAAAAAAGCTGGTCTGCTGCAACATTAGTGGAACGGCAGGTGCACCACTGGGAGAACTGCAGGCCGGATTTGTCAACATGTGCCGGACTAGAAAGAGCCTTTGGATCAATAAAGTTGCTCATTTCAATGAGCTCATCTTCCTCCCCTTTGAGGCTAAGTGGAAATTGGAGATCACAGGAAAAACGAGGGGGAAAGTCAGACACAGAGGATGATACCAAATGCCATTTGTGTTTTTTTAATGTCAATGAAACGGCTCATTACAGTTACATGCCACCAGCACAAAAAGCGGCCCAAGCGGGGTGTACAGTGAGGAACTTTGCCCTGTGTGTCATAATCCGCCCCAAAGCAGCGCCTCCAAGGTAGTCAGTATGTTGGTGACAGTAGCCAGTCTGGTTTACAAAGACAGCTGCGAGCACTGCCCCATACACAAACACAAGAAAAATGTGATACAAGACACAGTGCAGGGTGTAATGACTGAGCGGGGCATTTAAATGAGCGGAAATAGACAACGCACTAAGATGAATCATGGGATAAAAGGGAACACAGCAGTTCTCTCTTTATATTAAGAGGAAGTGGAATAAAGCAGGTCAAGAACACTGAATTAGACAATATTTACATGTGGCAAACTGGTACTTTGTTTTAAAATTTGTGTGCAAGTGTTGTGAAGCTCTGCTCTCACCTGTGCCCAAGTATCCTTTGAAACGAGTCTCCCATTCGGTTGACGAAGGCTCCACAGATTTCTATCCCCAGCAATGCCACCTACAATCACAGGTTTGAAACAAAGCATTGTCAATGTATTCCATTCTATTTTATTTTTGTATCCAGTTTTACAATATCCGATACCAAATGTGATCTAAAAACCGGTGACGGTAATTAAATAAGCATTTTTTACTTAGCATAACTAATTTAACACACAGGGGTATATTATCAACCTCGGTGCCATCTTCTTGGTTTCATGCTATAGAAGCCTAGGCTGTTTTAAATGTGCTCTACAAATAAAGATTTGATTGATTGATAGATTGATAAATTAAACATGCCCATGACAACGGCAATGTTAAGTGGTGCAAACCTGTGAAAAATAAACCCCTTATAGTTACTTTTGTAACACTTTTATGTGAAAAAAGGCATTGGATGACTTATTGTTTTGCGTTTATGCAATCATGCCTAATGTAATTTCCAGCTCTTTAGCCTGTCACCACTGGGATTTGCCCCAGTAAATACCATTTGGCTCGTGGCTCGAGTCTGTGAACGTAGCCATGTTATTTCTCTCTGCATTAAAGCAGACTTTTCCACGGACTTTCTGATTAGAATCACATCCCACACTGCTGTGCCACTGGAATGCTTGTCTTGGCAAAGATCTAGTCATTGCAGCTCTAGAAACCACACTCAAACATTACTTTCCCATATTTTAGTGATATTTTCATTTTCTCTCTTATTTGAACAAAGAAAAATAGGTCAGATAATATCAGACACAAAAGCCTGGAGCGAAAAGAAAAATAAATAGATGGTATGAAGCCAAATAACATCACCAGAAAATCACCTGGAGTAAAACTGCACAAGCTGGTTGAATGAGAAGACTCTTTGTTGACCTAATTCGAGAGTCAAGATGGAAAACAACAGGAAAAAAGCTGAATTTGGGGGAAACATGACTCCCCTCCCCCTTCTATACCAAGCACCCCAATGAGCTATCGCCTTTAACCATATGCCATTATCAAAAACAAAGAGGTGCGCTTTGAATAAATAAAAATTATATTACATAAACAATAAGTATAGTAAATGTAAGTGCAGCTATGTGAAGTGTTTAGAAACATGGTAGTTAACAAATCCAGAATGAATAGTCCTTTTGTTAAGACTAGGGAAACAACTTTAGGTAGCTTAGTTTGCTAATAGGCATGCCACATACAAGGTTTCTCCTGGATTTCAGGCTTACGGCATGTTATGGAAAAGATAAAATGCTAAGATCTGGACAAATTACTGTGTTGATGTATTTCAAAAGTTGTTGCTGTAGGTTTTTTTTGGTACTAAACGTATCAGTCGGCCGTTTCTTAGTCAACAAATTTGCATTGGATACAACTGTTACTTTAGAAATATTTAATAGCAATATTATAGTGTGATTTTATACTAAAAATATGTGAGTACAGTTTTGGTCAAATAATACAGCTTACTTCCATGCTCTCTTTTTAAGACTAATCTATAAACTGGGCATGTCTTTGGTCAACTCCAGCCCTACTGTACAACAGCAAGAACAAACGCATACACACATTTCATATATCGCTGCTACATTTCACTCCATTTCTGCCATGACCCTGTGATATTGAATCCGTCAAAGTTCTAGCCACTTCCTATTACTTGTGAAGGTTCAGAAGAATATATTTGTAGTTTCTTTTTAGGTACTGCACTGCAGATCCTCTTTTTGAGGCTGAAAATAAAATGTTTAATTTTGTCTGAAATGAAAAACGTTTACAACATCTGAATTCAGAATAAAGCTTGGATTTAATAATAAAATAAGTGACATATGGAGGGAACATTATTACTTTGTTTAACACAGGGCTCATATTCCCAGGAGACATTTTTTCAACCAGCACTAACATCATAATTTAAAAACTGAGAAAAAAACATGCAAGACCAGGATCTCCGATCCAATGACCTGACTCATAGTCTTTAAAAGCTGCATGCAATATTTATTATGTGCACAAAGCCTCCTATGCAATCCGGGTGCTTTTCTACGGAAATATCATCTATTTGAGCAGCCCCAAGTATCTTCACTGAAGCTTTTCCAAGTGAAGTCGAGTTACAATTCTCATATCTGCGTCCTAAACAACTAATAAATAAATCAAAGGAATAATTACAGAATCGGATTATGAATCGATTAGATTAATTGATTATGTCACTATTATTTTACTGTTAGAAATCAATGCCACACAAACACCAATCTTTAATATGGTGCTCCTGCTGCATTCTCTTTCATCCATCAATGCATCACTACATCTTGGTCCAGACATTCTTCTCTGCAGCTGACTCAGCATATTCCAGTTAACAGCGCCTTCCTCTTTGGCAAGCTACACGGTATAGAGCTGCTGCTTATATTTGATTAGTCTGATCATGTGTTGAAAACATCTGGATCCCTTTAAGCTAAAAATGTAGACGCAAGACACCACATATGATAACAATGGAACAATAGGCCCGGCTACACGGATAAATAGATGTTAATATCCAAGTAAACGGCATGTTCAGGCTTGAGATGTATTGATAATTATCCAGTAGTTCCAAAATTAAACGTAATACACGTGTGTCAAATGTCAAACAGGAGTTTACGAGCACCTCCCCCTCTGTCGTTGACAATGGGTCTTCTCACATGAGGGAGATGTCAACAGAGAGAGACCCACAAACCAGAGGAATGAACTAGGGCACCTTATCTAAACGCACACATTTTCAAATTATGTACAATTCTGAATTGTTTGTTTCATTATTTTTATTTTTTCTATTAAAAAAAAAAAAACAAATTAAAAAAGACTCACCTTGAAATTGCTGGCGTTGATCCATCCTGCCAGCTCGTCTATGGTCTTGTCTAAGCGAGGTTTGTCCTGCTCTACGTCTGGGGAACGTTGAGAGTCATTCAGGTAATCAATAAGATCCTGGCCGACCTGTAACCTTCGGGACACGTCCTTCTGAACTACCTGCTGGTAGAAATAGTCCATGTTGTCATTATCCTCCATTGGGCAGTCGCTGCCGAGAGGCCAGCCCCGGGAGCTGGCCGCAGACTGCAGATAATAGAAAAGGCAGGGGGATACTGGTATGGATGACCAAAAAAGAAACTCAAATCTGATCTACATGTATGTAGATAATGGGCAATTAATTATAGTCGCTCCATCTACAAGCCATCTTTCAGCAGAAAAAAAACTTCAAACAAAACAATATTTGATGGTAGGGAAGCAAGTCTTTTAAAATAGTCAAGTACCAGATAAAAACTACCAGAACGTGAATACACTGTAATATGGTTTTCCAAGCAAAGTGGAGGTCCCGCTCTCTGTTATGCTAGTAAAACAGCACGTAGGTTGTTAGCCCAGAGACCCAAACAAGGGCTAGCCGAGAGCTAACGCTGTCCGGAGGCCCAGCACCGGGCTTCACTTCGGTCTGGGCATGTCCGCACGCCGGTGTCGCGCGGTTGTGCCTGAGAGAAAAAGTTCCACCAAACTTCCGGTAAAGTGATGCTGTCCAGCGGCACAATGAGGCCCTTTTCTATAATCCACCGATAAGCGTCGGCTCTAGAAACCTGTGCGTGAAGCTGCGGGACTGCAGGTTGAGGCGCAAACGATCAACGATCAGGGCTGGGTCCTTGGCGCCGCACAGCTGTCTGACACAGTGCCTGACGTAAATTCACAAATTAACTGTAAATGGGCCTCAATTTATGTTTAAACTTCATTATTGAAACACGTATATATTATTTATTCCACACATATCCCATGACCATTCTTTTGCAAATAATACGTGTATCGCACTAATAGATCCATGGAATCGCATTATATCGGCTTGTAACGCCAGGCTTTTCTTCAACAATAGTTGATCTTTGCTGACACCTAGTGGTATCAATGAGAGCTCATTATCTTTCCAGCATGAGCTCTCATTGATGTATTGCTTGTATATGAACAATAATAACTAAACAAAGCAGTCAGAATTTATCACCATTTCTTTGTATATTTATTGTTTATTTTTTCCAAGTATTTGTCCGTTCTTGTTTTGTTTTTTTCAAACATGAAACTGTTAATACTGTCAGAGGGCGTAAGTATAACATTTGGTGAGCTACTTTTTTGCCCATTTGTGTTAGTTGAATGTTTTATTTATTTCCAGAGACCTGTATTTCTTTCCAGACTGACACTACTTCCCTGACTTTTATTTATCAATACTGATGGCTGCCTGAACTTTGTCCATACAGGCTTATTAAAAATGTTAACCTGTTTGGTTTGTTTGGTAGGAATAATCTGTTCCTCTCCAATAATTACTCATCACCTTTTCCCAAGAAATGTTATATACAGCATTAACATACTACTGTGCAAGACATGTGACATTAGATATCTAACATGAATAGATTTTAAGTTGAAATCCATAACCAATAACTATGATCTAACTTCACATTTTTAAATTATTCAAGTTATATGATTGTCACAATGTCAAGGTGCCTTTTCTCATACACTTGCATGTAATAGCTGAAGCCAATTAAACTTGTATTAACCTTTGAAACAAAGTTTCATCAAAATTAACCCTGACTGAAATCATATGCCCGCAGCCAAAAAATTATTCTTTTGAAAAAACATTGGTACAACCATCAATTTAACTAAGGTCCCCATAATGAAGTTAGGGAGACTGAAAATCTACCTGTAAACATGTTTGTGACGATATCCTAAACCCAGAATGTAAACAGATGCTAAGGTTGTCAAGTAGGAGCTAGTGCACAGGCTTTTGACAGAACCACACATAGCCCAGTCCATCATCACAGTAGCAAATAAATTCATTGTAATATTCTCTATCATCTAGTCTCTGAATCATAGGTCCACTTTGTCCACAGTTCTTCTACCAAAATAAAGAAACACATCTGATCTTTCAATTTGGATAGAAAATCATCAACAATTACAATAAGCATGGAAAAGAAATGGTCAAATACATGTAATTATGTTTTCCCACTCTTATCTTGTAATTGAGTTTCCTTAAGTATAATCTTTTATAATTTCAAAACATTCTCTGTACAAACATAATAAATTGTCAACATATTTTTAGATGCACGCGTTTGTGGCATGTCCATTTCTATGTTATAATGAGTTTTCATTATAACAGTTGTGTCTTTATGCTCTTGTCGGTTCTCCTTGTCCAAAATGGTGGTTGTGTACTGAAGTGAAATACTTCACAGGATGACCACACAGTACAGGTGTTCAGTGATTGGTAGAGATGAGTCCTTAGAGAGGCATTTCATAATTTTCTGTTTCAACATGATGCTTTTAGAGTTTAGTCAGACACCTACGTCTGCACTTCAAGTCTTCTTTGAACAAGGGTCACTAGAGTGTGAAAAGCATAATGCCAGAAGTCTATTTTAGTTTCTTAAAGTGAAAATGAGAAATGGCAGAGAAAGTCCATCCATCTGTGATCCGTCCAAAACTTAAATCTTGGGCTGCTGCAGCGCTGAGTAACGAAGAGAGGAGGGGCGGGTTCAACTCGGATCCGCAAATCAGAGGTGATCAGTCAATATATTGTCCAGGAGGAGAGAGGGTCCAGCCCGCTCCCTGCCCCAAACACATATCCCAGCCCCTTTCCCCCCAACTTCAGAGCAGCAGGACCTGTAGACAGAGGTGACCCCCCCTGGCCCTCCACTGTCAGAGGATGATGCAGCAGCGGCACAGGCGCTGGCCACCTCCATGCACAGAGGGAGGCGGAGTCACTGGAGCGAAATATGCATGGACTTTGATCTCAGGAAGATGGGCCTGGGAAGAGAATGGAAAGGTTCATAAGACAAGGTGCATATTTTGTTTGACTATTTATATTTGGTTCCATTATGTAGAAGTATTGTAATCTGCACTCTTCTGACCTAAATCCCGGGATGTGATATTGTGATTGAAGTACTCAATGCTGTTACTTACAGTTGGTACCTCACATTAAAAGCTATGAAATAAAACATTCCCCAGATGTAGAGCAGTACAAAACTCGTTTAGACAAAACCATGGATCAGCGGCAGCAATTTCAAGATGAGCTTTTTGAGCTTGTTTTTGTTATTTATCAAAAATATTACTAAAATTGAATCCAAACAATTATAAAGTGTACCTAATTTGGATTGCATGCTACTTTCATTTAGATGTTTTGGTAAGGCACACTTTAGTTCATTTGATCTCAAGAAGATCAGCCTAGGAAGAGAATGGAAAGGTTGAGATTATTAGGTGCTTGTGTTGTTAGACTAGATTCTCGTTCAAACTTAAATCTCGTTGTTACTTAAAGCTCGGGTACCTCCATGTTGTGTTTTCTTTCTGATTTGACATTATTAGATAAAGTGACTAAGTAAAAAGTAAAAAAAAAGCGTGGAAATACCAATCATGGATAAGTATTCCAGACCAATGTTTACAAATGTTGTTATTTTTGTTCAATCAAACCAATTAAAAGGTTTTTTCTTCTTAATTTGTAATAGTACTATCTTTCATAGATCAAAAATGTCAAATTTACTATATAAGAAAGATTTAAAGAACATACTGAAGAACAGGACTCTTACTTTTTACTTCTGACACTAGTTATCCGTCAAACACATTTTTGATTTATAATTAGGAAAACGAAGTATCAGTATCAATTACCCGAATGCGCTTGATGCCAGCCCGCGTGACCTGCTGACAGTCATACAGTTCTATGCGCTCCAGACGATGGCAACTCTTGAGGTGCTCCAGTGTTAAGTCTGTGATGAGGGGGCAGTTGTCCAGCTCCACCACCGTGAGGCGCTCTTGTCCGCAGGCGCTGCTGCTCAAAGCTCTGATCCCATCGTCTGTGATCAGCTCGCAATGAGATAATGACTGAACACAACAACAGAGACATCAGAACACATGCGGCACAACTGCCACACAAAGCAGGGCTAGTGTTGTACCAATGCTTGCAGCCGAGGGCAGTGGATGGACAGTTGAACCAAAGTATTGTCTGTCACCTGTGGGAAACAAGAATGGTTTATTGTCATCTCTGTCATATGTCCTTCTTTGCACTTTGTGAAGCACTTTGAGTGAGGCTAATTTAAGGTTTAGGAATTCAGAATATTAAGTGTGTTTGTGTGTGTGTAGGCAGTACTTTCTATCAGTATATGTTATACTTTTCTAACATTTGTTGTAAAAGTTATGTATTCTTGATGTAATAAATAAAGATTAAAACAAAAGTCTCACCAAAATACATTCTTCTAAGTCCATTTTTTCAAGCTCATGACAGTTCTGTTAAAAACAAAATATTTATAGATATCAAGGGAGTATATTGAAGTAAAGCATTTGAAAGGCAGTACTCACTCGTGCAAGAATAGTAAATCCAGCGTCGGTAACATGGGAACATCGAGCAGCTTCTAGTATTCTAAAAGACATACAGTAACATAAGTACAATAACATCACCAATGACAACATTTCCTTAAACTGTACAAATCTATAAAGAAAGACAGTTTATACAGAAAATATAACATAAAACACAAAACATTTAACAAGCATAAACTATAAGAATAGATGTCTCTTACTTAAGTCTGGGACAGTTGAGTCCCAGGGCAGTTAAAGAGGCATCAGTGATGTTACTGCAGCCAGACACACACAGAAACTGTAGCTTGGAGCAACCTCTGCAAAGACTGACCAGGCCGTCATCTGTTATCTGCTGCAAGAACACACAGACCATTACTTAAACATGTACTGACCCACGTGTTTAATATAATACAGCTGATCTTACTGTGCAGGACTGCAAGTTGATGGTGGTTAGTTTTGGGCAGTGTTTCTGAAGGTGCTTCAAAGCTCCATCTTCCAACTTAGAAGAATTATAAGATTAGACTTCAAACATACATCAAACATACTATATATTATTCTAATAATTAACTAAATGAAAGAGGCACAAATATAAATCAACAATATTATAATCAATCTATGATGTAGGAGCATAAAGAGTCAGATGGGTTTTGTCACCTGAGTGCAGCCTCTGAGGAACAATGCTCTCAAGTCACAGCAGCCTCTCGCCAAAGCCTCGATACCGTCACGTGTGATCTGATCGCACCAAGACAAGTTCAACATCTCCAGTAATCGGCAGCCGTCACTGAAAAAGAACATTTCAAAGTCAGATGGGTAGTGAGCCCATGAGCGAGGGTGCTGTCTGTGTGTGTGTTACCTGACGGCTTTGAGGGAGTGGTTGGTGATGGACACACACGATGTGAGATCCAAGTGTTTGAGTCGAGAGCAGAACTTGCTGAGGCTGAGGCAGGTGCTGTCCGTGATCTTGGTGCAACCATTTAAATTCAACACTTCTATATTTCTACAATTCTGTGCAAATGTTCTGTGGAGACAAAAAAGATCTTTTAATAAACAAATTCATATTTAAAATATATTTTGTGTAAAAGTAATGAAAAGTAACAGTATAGGGCTGAGAGAATCTTACTTCATTGAGGCATCACCCACACTCAAGCAGCCCCTGAGGCTCAGCTGCCTCAGGAAGCCCCCACATCTCTTCGAAATGTTCTCCACCACCCGGCCCTAAGACACACATCACAAATAAATAAAGAATAGAAGATGTTCCAACCCAGTTAGTGGTCACTGTAAAAGTCGATATTTTCATTAAGAATATTTGGTTGAATGATTATTATGATTATTAATCTTAGTTGAAATGTTTCTAAGAAAAGTTTGAGGTTATTCAGTGATGATATACTAAACACTTGTATATTCCATCTACAAATGTTGCAAAGAGACAAGAGAGAGACAAGACAAGACTTAGTCCACAGAGGATAAACTGTGACATCACAGTCGGCACCAAAGCCTACTGACCCAGCACTAAGCCGTGGGCCTGAATGAGTGCACTGCACATTGTAACACTCAACTCAGTATTAATTTCCTACAAAAGTACAATAGTTAGTCCATGCAACGAACAAAAATTGGACAGTTGATTGTCCCAAAGTCAGATCTGTGCTACAGATCACATTCAAGTGATGATTAATCCATATTCCATTCTCTGTCAAGCCTCACCTCAATGTCTGTCTGAAAGTTGAAGAGGTCGATCTTCTGCCAGTTGCTGCCGTCCAGGGCCAGCACATTCCACGCCTGAAAGGGTCATGGACAGAAAGACACAAGTAGGTCAGGCAGAGGTGGGGAACAACTCTAATCGTAAAAAGTGAGAGTGTGTCAAGCACCGTCTGCAAACATAAGACTTTTAGAAACTTTTACATAATTATTCTACACGTGAAATATATTGCCACAAAGGTTTGGTCGCTGCAGCTCCGAGGCCACAGTTCACGTGCCAAGCCTTTGTCATTATCCACAGAAAGCTCATTCATAAATGGCTTTCAGCTAGAGTGCACTAAAGCAAGCAGTAAACCAACAGATGGCACTGTGTCGGCATAATTTGACCACTATTCTTGTAGAAAATCAAAAGTTTAGAGACTGGTACTTACCTTTGATACTTGGGCACACCTACATAGTGTAACCACGTCTAGATAGGAAAATATTCTGAAAAGAGACAAAGATTGAGTTTATCATTGAAAAAAATATTTTGATATACCTTTAATGTATGTGCCTATATTTAGGATGATTAACCGTCTATGGGGAACAATTGTGTTTGCTGGTTGCAGAAGAGCCTCACGTACGGCTCGTGTTTGAGCTGTGAAACGATCTTCCACAAAGGGCTGCATGCACCAGGCTACTGGGTCAGCTCAATCCATTAATCTGCCAATGAGTAATCTCTGGCACTCTGACAAGCAAGGCCACAGACAGCTAGGACTGAATGATATAAACAATAAAATATAGAACAATATGATTTTTGGTTTTTCAATATACTTACATGTATATACATCTGAATGACATTATCGAATTCTTATGACTTTTAACAAACAAAGATACTACCATCAAGAGTGAGTTGGGGCATCCTCCAATTCGTTTCACTGCGTCTACAATGATTAGGATAGATTTCTATGTTTTGTTACAAATGTACAAATCGGCGGAGGAGTAGTTTACCACAGGAGTAGTTTGCCACCATAGTATGACGTGAATCAATAATATCTACAATGCTGTGGCTATAAAGTGCATCACAAGTGAAAGCTACATTTAATAATCGGTTTGCCCTAGTGTGGTCAGGTTTTTGTCTTAAACCTTTTGTGTTTAGACAAGGTTGGTGGGATATGAAAAGTATCAGTATTCAGTTTGTCGCGGCGTCCAGGCTCAAGTGCAACTGGGGTTTAACGTCCTTTTAACTGTCGCAAACCCAAGCCAGCCATTGTTCCCTTCATATAGGATCAACAAAGGCTGTCTGTTTTTATGGGCTGGGTTGGGGCATGTAAGGACATGTTCTTTCACTGTATAGTATATAAGAGTGTGTTATGCCAAGAGGTAAACATATAAAACCTAATATTACTTCTATGAGCTGTGATATTAATTTTATTCAATTAAACGGTCAATGAGTCTCCAGCAAACCATCTGTTATAATCAAACATAATGTGGCTTTGTATTGTAAGTGAAAGACAAGTTCTGTCATTATTAATACTTTGTGGTAAGGGAACTTAAACAAACCTGAGCTGAGACTTCAGTAACTGGAAACTTCCCACCTTGAGCCAAGACTTGAGCAATCCTTGTTTCATGAAGGCTTTATAGTAATCAGTGATCTAATTTGAGAAGATTTCTATCCCGAGAACCAGACTTTTCCCATAATGAGAATGACACATACACAAAATACACAATATCAAACACTAAAAGATATAGAGCCGTCAGTGGTCGTTTACTTCTAAATCAGGTGCTCTCTTGATGAAGAGTGAGTATCTCCCTCGCCCAATTAACATGACACAGAGCCTGTGACCTTTTTGTCTATTTTACTAATGATTTCATGCATAAAACATGTGGGTAAGTCTAACAATGCAGCTAAATCAAGCAAGTGTACGTTTGACAAGGTACAAAAGAGGCAATAGGATCAGTCCCATTTGTTAACAAAATGTAAAGCTGGCCTCTGAAGCGTGGCCAGATTAAAAGTGGGGCCTTTGCGGAGTCTCAGACTGGTTGCTATGGTAACACCAGTCAGACATGAATTTGGTTGTTTTTGGAGCGAATGCTGAGTCAGTGATTTCAAGCCTGAAATTCTTCAAAGTAAGAGTATAAGTCATAGACGGTCAAGTACAAATATATGATTATACAGTATGGAATCTCTATAGAATTTACTATAGGGCTGTAATATATAACGACCTAAGGGATTGCTTATACATTTGACCAAAACAAACCTCAAGTGGTTGCTTGTGGTTGGGTTGTTTCATTAAAAATCCTTTAATTTACATTCTGCAAGAAAGTAATGGTAGTCATGAAACCTCTTCTCAGGATGTTTTAAATCTGTGTAAGGTTAATGGATTTCTAAAGTACCAGCTAACTTTTTCAAAAATATATTATTTGCCATTACTCAATTAACTAATTTTAGTCACACTAAAATGGTATATCTGACATATCACAATGGACAAATTCATAGAAGTGAAGAAACAGCATTACCATGCTATTCATCAAAACATCTATAGCCAGTAGCCTTCACAATAGGTCAAACTGACATGTGACCTAGTACCATGGAAATCTAACCCTCTTTCCACGGAATCAAAGTCCTTCTTGCAGTCAATGTTACAACGTATGTTGTATACACTGGTGCCACTAAAGTGTACGTTTTTCAGTAGAGTAGAGTGTGCTGGTTATAATGGGCATACTGGTATTCTCAGTGGAGCACAGCTGGAGCAGGCATGAGCACAACACTGCAGAATTCCCCACCAGTGAAGATGCGGCTATTTATAGCAGGCACATACACAGACATACAGTTATAGAGCCAACGGTGTAGAAAGTAACACTCACAAAAACATGCAGTACAAAATATGAGCAGATTACGTTCTTGCATGTGCAGGTGTACTCTATTTTTAAGCTGAATTTACAAAACAGCCTCGACATGAGAATGGTTCCTGTGCATGCATGGCCGAATGTGTCCAATTTATGGGTCATCCGCAGCTGCCCAGAGACATAATGTTGGTCTCTAGGTCAAGCGGTCAAAAACATCTCATCGAGGGATAAGACATGCATCATACCAAAGCCGTCACAGCAGACATGTATGCTGCTAAACCTGCAGTAGATCAAGGCTACTGCAGCTAATGGATAACCCTGATCTGGTGTTGACTTGTATAAACTGTGTGTGAATAAGCAGGTTCAGTGATAGTAATCTCACCTAAGTAGAAGCTCTTTGGGAAGCTTCTTGTTGATGGGAGCTTCATCACTGTTTGAAAACACCTGTCAGAAACAAGTAACAGGTCAGGCTTGAGAATTAACGGCGGTAAATGATAAATACAAAAGGAGGCAGGAACTTTGTGTTATCATCATGACTGCTGAAAAGAAAGGAAAAGTCATTACACAACTACTTCAGAGAAAATACAGACATAAAATAGCTGTACATTAGAGCATGGAATGTTGTTACACTGAGTTGGAGGGGTCACCGGTTTCTTTCTACTCTTAAATGCTGGCTAAAATGTCAAATGAATACAAAGTCTATTTACAAACATTTAATTAACTGTGAAAATATAGAAATGTGTAAATGGATTAGGGCTAAAGCAGTGCTGGTGCACCCGAACTCTAACTTTCATTATTAATTTCATGCATATTTTGGGGGTTTTTTAAGTGAAAGATTTGAGAACCCCTCTGTAAAGGCAATTATTATGGTTATTTTTTTTTATTTTGTGGTACAAACTGTACTAAAATATAAAAATACAGCTAACTTATAACAAAATGGGTATTCCATCTTAAAATAACTATTGAAGTGGCGCGAGTAAACTATGACAAAGTGCGTTAATATCGGCCAATGAATAGTGAGACTTCTCATTGGCCGATATTATATCTCAATTGAAAGAACTACTAACAAATCCAACACATTATCTGATATCTGCACTGATGTTCAATATATCTCTCAATGCATCTATAGTTTAACACAAGAATATCATAAATTCATCCATATTTTTGATAAGCAAATCTTGTTCACTAATGTCTTAACTAATAAAGGCTATTACATGCGTAAGCTATCTAGCATGCCCCCTCTTTACGAGATTATAATTCTGTCAGCCTGGTCAGCTTGCTGGCATGCTTATCTCAATTAGTCTACTCTGTGGACGTCTGGCCATCTGCTGAGAGGGACTCACTGACGCTGGCAGGTGATTCGCAACAGAAGAGAGAGGGAACGTTCCAGATCAGGTGGGCCGCGATCAGCCATGAATTTAAATCACAGAAAACACCCACGTGCACTTTGGCGCTGCACACATCTGACAGTGATGCTCTTGTGTCCTCAAAGAGTTGAGAGCTGTGTCTAATGAAGGTGCTTCTGCTGTTCATGTACAAACACTAGTACAAATAAACTGGTGTGAGGGAATAAGGCACAATGCAGCAAAGGTGGATAACACAATGAGCAGTGATATAAAAAGTGTTTGCACAATGCACTTTACGAGGCCTCATTTATCAATCCAGGAGCTAAACTGCGGGTGCAAAAAGGAAATAGCATGTGGAATTTTAGTGATTTATTTCTATATTTAGGGCCTGATAAATGAGTTTGCTCCAATTTTAGGGAGCGTTATCACTTTTGCGCATGATTAATGAGGCCCATAGATGTGATAGTTAATTACTTTTTGGATGCTATATTGTATGCACCAAATCTCTTTAGCTAGTTTTATCATTTCAGAAAATGTTTGAGTGGGTTTACGTAAATGTTCTCCAAAAATGGTAGAACAACAAATGCTTTAAAAGGCTGCGCTCACAAGCAAAACGCTGTCATGTGATTTAAGATTCAGCTAAATAAAAAGAGCCACAGTCAAACACCCCTTGGCCCCATCAGATAGATATTTCCCTAAACCAGTGCAGTCTATTAGGTTTGTTTACTTTAGAATAACTCTGAAACAATTCTGCAGGGATGTATGATAAATGATGACAAAACAATATATCTTTTACCAACATTGATTACAATGCCTCAAGCTACAGGAAATGTTGTTATTGCACATGCACTAAATGTAGCGTAAATATTATGGGAAACCTCTTATCTGCACATTTAATTCATCACACTAGCCTGTACCCAGTGCCAGCAGAGCCGCATTCCCAAGCAGGGAGTTCCTTTGAAGAAGCCTTTTCCTTGACAGTAAGATCAAGTAAAATGCAAATGAACTTTGTATATTGTAAAACTATATTTGCATATTTCCAGTAGTTTGCATTAGTGACTCAAAGCCAAGACCTATTTCTGAATGTTTAAGATTCATCTTCTCAATTACTCTGCTTCAGCCTCTTTACACGGCTCTCTGTCTAGTACAAAATCATGTCAGTGTTTTCATCTATGCACACGTTACTCTAAGAAGCTTTGACTTATGTTGGCCGATCCAGTGATATGGCAACACATACCAGCACCACTATCACCTTGGGCAGCCATTCACTCTCTAGCTGGATGATTAGAGCCCTCAACTAAGGCAAAGAATGTCAAAGAGGGAAATAATTATGATTCACAGGGGCTCTAAATCAGGCGCAAACAAAATAATAAAACTAACACTGGAACAACTTCATCCTAACAACTATGTAATGCACCAAGAGCATTGTATGGGGGTTGAAAAAAACAGTGTTACAGTACTACAATTGCAGTCAAGGGTAGCTTGATTATTTTATTCAAGCAAACGATCTCCAGGGTGACATGCTGAGATGGGTGTGGGAAGATCAAATAAAAGTAAAATTCAGGCACTCAGGCTATTTCCAAAACAGACAAAATATAGTTGGGGTGTGGGTATCTGTCCACAGTCCATCTGTCTGTAACAATATCACGGGTTTAGAGTGTCACCTGCCACGTCCCTGAGACATTGACTTATTACTGATTGCTTAGATTGATCAATATTATCTCCTGCAAGCTTGTAACCTCGAGTGAAATGTGGGCAGCCCTCAGCCACAGCCCTCCTGTCCTGTCCCGCAGTCATGTATGGTGTCGCTGTCTACTGGTGCTCACGACAATAACGCGTTTCTGGATCAACCCTTTTTGGACCAACACAACGACACAACCATGAGAAGTGAAATTATAGGAGCAGCAACACACGGCTCTGTATGTGGACACAGGCATATGACATACAGGCAGAAGGAGCGCACGACAACAAAACTGGTGGTCCACTCCCCGTGCCATACCTCGAAGCGGCTTTTGGTGATGCCATTCATGTCTGCGACGCGCGTCCTCGCCACAAACAAGTCCAGCTTTATGTTTTTGATCGTTTTGATTTCCTCGATTTCGTTTGCGTTGTCTATTTTTGCTCGCTTGTGATGTAGGAGCAGAGTTGGGTCCTCAAAGGCAGCACTCAATGTCCCCCATCCGCCGTCTGTGGGGCTCCTCTCTCCGCGTCGGACTTGGCGTTGACCCGGGGCAGGCTGCGGAAAGTCGTAGTCTCGAAAGCCCGCAACAACCCCGCAGCCCGTGTCTCATCGCAGTGCTACCAAAATAACAATAATAACATGGACGGTCTGTCAAGTGACTTCACTTCCGCCTCTCCCTTCATGGCTCGACTCTTTGCGCCAGTGGAATGTCCTCAGGTCTCCCCAATGCGCACCAAGACGCTCCCGCAGACCTCAGATCACCCTTGCGTGCAGATCACAAAGCGCATTTTCACTCTCAAATGCCCGTACGGCGGGTGACATCGACGTATTCCTGCTCTGTTTACTCGGTAGGAAGGGGAGGGCTTACGTGACGTGAGTGCTGCGGGAAAAGGCACGCGTGGTCGATTTGTTTTGATTGTGGGGGTCTTGCGGCGATAGGACGAAGGGCCATGTTTTTATAATGCACAATATTTCACAAGGCGCCTCCAGAGGGATGCTTTCACTTTGTAATTGTATGGGTTGAAGTCTGCATTTATCTTACATTATTTATTTTATTATTTCTTTCTATGACCCAAGATCACCTCGCGATTTGAATGATCACCTCTTCCATTTTAGGCCTGTATCTGTATCGTTACCACCGATCGATTATAGTGTATCTTCATTAATGTCACAATCCAGAATTGTCTAATTTAGTTTTTTCATACTCAATTTTAATAGAGGGACGGATCAACACTAGGGGACGCTCTTGATCAACTACTCCCGGGCTCTACAGCAGATTTTATTTAGTCAAAACATTTCAACCAAATACAACTGCAAATGTCAACAGATAGATACAAGAATACTAACCATCCAAGAATACGACAAGTTGACCAGCTGTTTAAGGCGTGAAACTAAGCTCATTGTATTGGATACAATGATGAATGAATGTTCAAACTGAACAAACCACTCAATCCTCACAACATTGGACACATTGCAGGGTGTGCAAAAAAAAGATGTAATGGTAATCATCAAAATCTAACTCTAAATCCAAAAACTGCCCACAAGGGTTATGTCAGGAGCGAGAAACAACCAAGTGACTTTCTGTTCACTGGACAAAAATGACCAGGGAGCAGTGCTGTCCAAATGAAGATTTAGTTTAGTTGGTAAAACCAATTTAAGTATTAGCCTCTGTTACAGATTTAAACAGGTGCAAATATCCTTTGAAAATTGGCACCCTTCTCTCATGAATCAAATGGAAAAAAAAAAATAAGATAAGACTTTATTGATCTCACACAGGAGAAATTTACAACATTATTCTCTTATTGTTCCTCGCCATGGAAATCTTTGGTAAAAGGCGAAGGATTTATACGCTCTGAAGAGAAACTAAACAGTTTAGTCTCAAACAAAGTGGGCTAATCTGTAGTCTGTAATCTAAATATCTATAGCAATGTGCCTATAGCCACGAGTCAGTGCATCATCTCACGATGCTGCGTGGAAATTAACAATCTCCCATCAAAAGCCAGATTAATTAGCTCAGCTCTTTGAATAACTCTGAGCTCTGTTGGACGGGCTGGCGCCTGAATGTAGAATGCACCCAAGTGCTTCAGTGAAAAAACAGTCCAGTAATTATCATTAACAATAAAGGGATTCCCCAATCCTGAAAAACATAATCACCCTCAATATTGTTTTAAGTAATATTTATCCTACAAGTAATTACAAAACAACATTGTATGAGTATGACATTCTGTTTTTGTTGTATTAGTTAGTCAGAAATTTGGCCCATTACCCTTGACAGAACTGGTTAAAGTCACTTTTATAGACCTATTCATTCTCCCATGCCTTTTGAAATCGGATACATTTTCTATAAAATTGAGATCATACTTTTGAGATGGTATACTCTGGTTTACAAACGTTGCCCATTGTTCTTCATTTTTTCCAATCTTGTATGTGTTTATCATTAATAATTTAACTTTGTATGTTACAGTATATTTCGGAGAATTTAAATTGGTGGTGGTGCAACTAATTTTATTTGGATAATGACTTATTCTTACCAGCTTCAGCACATTTTGAATCAAAAACATTCTAATGTCTAGCTCACAGTCCTCTTCCCTTAAGATGTATATGAGTAAAACATTTTGTTAAACAATTGACCATTACATATTTAAACATCATTACAGTACTTTTTGGCCTTTGTCCAAAATGGTTTTTTTAATTGATTCCCTCAATTTTTCTCTTTCATTCTTGAGAGGCAGAAAAACACCTTGGTTCAATTCGTGACATGGCACCAATTCGTGAAGTGAGAATCCCGCCCCCAGGAGGTGATAGACAGGGGGAGAAACTGAAAACAGCGAATCAGCGCATTCAGCCTCTCTCCGAGTCCAGCGGATGGTCCATAGACTGTAAATATTGGCCCTGTGTCTACCACATGGAATGTGTATTTAAATATGTAACAACACTATTTGGCCTAAAGACGGAAATTTTGGCGTATGTGGCTGAATTTTCTATTCTGAAATCCGTGTCGAATCTGTTTTTCTGCAGGTGACACTTCACCAAAGACTGTTCCAGAACTACGGTTACCTTGAAAGGTGATCTTGAAACCTGGTTTTATTCCCACAATAAAATACACAAACAAGGAGCCTCGACCTGGAAGTACAATGTAACTACCTCGGTGTACAGTACTGTAAAGCCTCGCGTACATCGGACTGGCAACGGTGTATATTAGGGATATGGTATGGGTTGGAGGGAAGAGGTAGAATATTGGGTTGTTTAGTTGTTGTGGGGATGAGGGGGGTGTGTTAGGGGATGGTATAGATTTTATTGGATATGGTTGTGTGTGGGGGGTATGGGGTTTTGTTGTTTTGAATGGGTGGTGGGATAGAATTGTGGGGGTGGTTTAGTAGTAGGGGAAAAGAAGTTATAATAATAATGGATTATATAAATTAGAATTGATATTGGGGGGGGTTGGGAGTTAATTGTTTATTAAGTAGGGGGAAAATGAGGGTATGTATGTAAGAAATAGGGATAAGGGGGGGGAAATTGAAGAATGAGATGGGGGTGTTATGAAGGAAGATGGGGATGTGGAGTATGGGGGGGGGGGAGGGGTGGGGGGTAATTAAAATAGGATTGATGAAAGGGAGTTAGAGGTTAGATGGGAAAGGAAAGTATAGGGGGGATAAATGAGTGGTTTGGGGGAAGGGGTGTTGTGGGGGGTATGTTTGTTGAGTAATATGATGAGGAGGGTATGGATTTTGAGGGTTAATGGGGAAGTGGAGAGAAGTGGGGGATAGGGAGGATGATTGGGTATATAGGATATATATAAGTAGGACTGGGTGGGGGATTGTGGGGGGAGAGGAAGGGGGTGAGGTATGGAGTGGGAGGGGGATGGATTTTGGGGGGGTGGTATTAGATTTGGGTGGGTTAATTTTTGGAGGGGGAGGAAGTTGTGGTGTGGGGGGATTTTGAGAATTGGGAGTGGGGGGGGAGTGGATTGTGGTGGGGGGGGTAGATGATTTGTTAGGGGGGGATTGTAAGAATTATAGAGTATTTTGTAAGAAGGAGAAGAAGAAGTATATAGTTATTAATATTTTGTAGAGGATAAGAAAAGAATATATAGGTTATATATTTTAAGATGAGTGAGTTTGAGTTATGAAGGGTGAGTTGGGGGAGGGGTTTTTTGTGGGGGGGTGGTGTGGATAGTTTATGGGATTGTGATAGAGATATTTAAGGGATTATATAAGAGGTGAAGAAGAAGAAGAAGAGGAGATATATTTGGGAGGGGAGAAGTGGGAATATTAAGGAGAATAGGGAGAAGAAGAAATTGGTGAATGAGAGAAGTATAGGAGTGATGGAAAAGGTAGGGAGGGGGTGAGATAGATGTATAGGGGAGTTGGTAGTATGGGGGAGTGTAAAAGGTTGTATGTAGGAAAAAGAGAAGGAAGGGTATTTGAGAGGGGGGGTTTTGGGGGTAGGGTAGGGGTTTTTGGGGGGAGGGGTGATTTTGTTTGATTTTTGGGTATGGTTTGGGGGGGGGGGTGGAATTTGGGGTTGGGGATGGAGAAAGGGGTAAAGGGTTAGTGGGGTGGGTGTTTTGTTTTTGTTTTGTTGTTTGGGGGAGTAAAAGGGGGGGGATGTTAGGATTAGATATGAAGTTATAGTAGGTAGGGAAGTGTTGGGTTTTATGTGGGGGGATGGGGATTTTGGTTTGTTTTTATGTTTTTATAAGGGTTGTTGTTTTTGATTTAGGTGGGGGGTTGTTATTTGTTTTTTTTTTTTTTGGGTGGGTTGGTGTATTAGGGAAATGTTCTTTTTCAGGTGCCGCTGCCGATTACTGAGATTTGAAACTTGTCTTGGTGCGATCAGATCACGGCTTGGACGTATCGAGGACTTTGGCGCAGGCTGCAGTGACCTTGATAGCCAGCTGTCCCTCAAGGGCTTCACACAGGTGACAAAACCCATCTGACTCTGTTATGCTCCAACATCATAGATTATTATAATACATTGTTGATTTATAATTTTGCCTCTTTTCATTTTAGTTAATATATTAGAATAATATATAGTATGTTTGATATGTTTGAAGTCTAATCATATAATTCTTCTAAGTTGGAAGATGGAGACATTGAAGCACCTTCAGAAACACTGCCCAAGAACACAAACCACCATCAACTTGCAGTCCTGCACAGTAAGATCAGCTGTATTAATATTAAACAGTGGGTCAGTACATGTTTAAGTACTGTCCATGGAGTTCTTCAGCAGATAACCAGATGACGGCCTGGGTCAGTCTTTGCAGAGGTTTGCTCCTCCAAGCTACAGTTTCTGTTGTGTCTGGCTGCAGTCACATCACTGATGCCTCTTTAACTGCCCTGCGGACTCAACTGTCCCAGACTTCAATAAGAGACATCTATTCTTGATAGTTTATGCTTGTTAAATGTTTTGTGTTTTATGTAATATTGTCTGTATAAACTGTCTTCTTATAGATTTGTACAGTTTAAGGAAAGGTTGTCATTGGGTGATTTATTGTACATATGTTTACGATGTCTTTTAGAATACTAGAAGCTGCCTCATTTTCCCCATGTTACCAGACGCTGGATTTACTAATCTTGCACGAATGAGTCACTGGGCCATTCAATGCTTTACTTCAATATACTCCCTGTGATATCATAAATATTTTGTTTTTAACAGACCGTCAAGAGCTTGGAAAAAATGGACTTAGAGAATGTAATTTGGTGATACTTTTGTTTTAAATCTTATTTTTTACATCAAGAATACATAACTTTTACAAAAATGTTGAAAATTAAAAACATATACCTGAAATAGAAAGTATTGCCTACACCACACACAAACACACTAATATTCTGATTCCTATAACCTTAAAATTAGCCTCACCAAAGTGCTTCACAAAATGCAAAGTAAGGTACATATGACAGAGAGGACAATAAACCATTCTTGTTTCCCACAGGTGACAGACATACTTTGGTTCAACTGTCCATCTTACCACTGCCCTCGGACTGCAAGCATTGGTACAGGCCACACTAGCCCTGCTTTTGTGTGGCAGTTGTGCCGCATGTGTTCTGATGTCTCTGTTTGTTGTGTTCAGTCATTATCTCATGCGAGCTGATTCACTAGACGATGGGATCAGACACCTTTGAGCAGCAGCGCCTGCGGACAAGAAGCGCCTCACGGTGGTGGAGCTGGACAACTGCCGCCTCTCATCACACGACTTAAACAACGGGAGCACCTCAAGAGTTCCATCGTCTGGAGCGCATAGAACTGTAGGACTGTCTGCAGGTCCACGACGCGGGCTGGCATCAAGCGCATTCGGAGTAATTGATACTGATACTTATCGGTTTTCCTAATGTAAAAATCAAAAATGTGTTTGACGATAACTATGTCAAAGTAAAAAAGTAAGAGTCCCTGTCATCATAATGTTCTTTAAATCATTTCTTATAAAGTAATTTGACATAATATTAGATCTATGAAAGATAGTTACTATACAATAAGAAGAAAAAACCAAATTGGTTTGATATGAACAAAAATAACAACATTTTGTAAACATTGGTCGGGAATACTTATCCATGTTGTATTTCCAACGCTTTTTTTATTTACTTTTTACTTAGGTCACTTTATCAATATAAAGTCACATCAGAAAGAAAACACAACATGTAGGAGGTACCCTCGCTTTAAGTAACAACCGAGATTTAAGGTTATAACGAGAATCTAGTCTAACCAAAACACAAGCACCTAATAATCTCAACCTTTCCATTCTCATCCAGTCTGATCTTCTATGAAACAATGAACTAAATTGTGCCTTACCAAAACATCTAAAATGAAAGAAAAATAAACAAGCATAGTCAATCCAAATTAGGTACACTTTATAATTGATTGATTCAATTTTAGTAATATTTTATGATAAATAACAAAAACAAGCTCAAAAAGCTCATCTTGAAATTGCTGCCGCTGATCCATGGTTTTTGTCTAAAACGAGTTTTGTACTGCTCTACATCTGGGGAATGTTTTATTTCATAGCTTTTAATGTGAGGTACCAACTGTAAGTAACAGCATTGAGTACTTCAATCACAATATCACATCCCGGGATTTAGGTCAGAAGAGTGCAGATTACAATACTTCTACATAATGGAACCAATATATAAATAGTCAAACAAAATATGCACCTTGTCTTATGAACCTTTCCATTCTCTTCCCAGGCCCATCTTCCTGAGATCAAAGTCCATGCATATTTCGCTCCAGTGACTCCGCCTCCCTCTGTGCATGGAGGTGGCCAGCGCCTGTGCCGCTGCTGCATCATCCTCTGACAGTGGTAGGCCAGGGGGGGTCACCTCTGTCTACAGGTCCTGCTGCTCTGAAGTTGGGGGGAAAGGGGCTGGGATATGTGTTTGGGGCAGGGAGCGGGCTGGACCCTCTCTCCTCCTGGACATAATATTGACTGATCACCTCTGATTTGCGGATCCGAGTTGAACCCGCCCCTCCTCTCTTCGTTACTCAGCGCTGCAGCAGCCCAAGATTTAAGTTTTGGACGGATCACAGATGGATGGACTTTCTCTGCCATTTCTCATTTTCACTTTAAGAAACTAAAATAGACTTCTGGCATTATGCTTTTTCACACTCTAGTGACCCTTGTTCAAAGAAGACTTGAAGTGCAGACGTAGGTGTCTGACTAAACTCTAAAAGCATCATGTTGAAACAGAAAATTATGAAATGCCTCTCTAAGGACTCATCTCTACCAATCACATGAACACCTGTACTGTGTGGTCATCCTGTGAAGTATTTCACTTCAGTACACAACCACCATTTTGGACAAGGAGAACGACAAGAGCATAAAGACACAACTGTTATAATGAAAACTCATTATAACATAGAAATGGACATGCCACAAACGCGTGCATCTAAAAATATGTTGACAATTTATTATGTTTTGTACAGAGAATGTTTTGAAATTATAAAAGATTATACTTAAGGAAACTCAATTACAAGATAAGAGTGGGAAAACATAATTACATGTATTTGACCATTTCTTTTCCATGCTTATTGTAATTGTTGATGATTTTCTATCCAAATTGAAAGAATCAGATGTGTTTCTTTATTTTGGTAGAAGAACTGTGGACAAAGTGGACCTATGATTCAGAGACTAGATGATAGAGAATATTACAATGAATTTATTTGCTACTGTGATGATGGACTGGGCTATGTGTGGTTTCTGTCAAAAGCCTGTGCACTAGCTCCTACTTGACAACCTTAGCATCTGTTTACATTCTGGGTTTAGGATATCGTCACAAACATGTTTACAGGTAGATTTTCAGTCTCCCTAACTTCATTATGGGGGACCTTAGTTAAATTGATGGTTGTACCAATGTTTTTTCAAAAGAATAATTTTTTGGCTGCGGGCATATGATTTCAGTCAGGGTTTAATTTTGATGAAACTTTGTTTCAAAGGTTAATACAAGTTTAATTGGCTTCAGCTATTACATGCAAGTGTATGAGAAAAGGCACCTTGACATTGTGACAATCATATAACTTGAATAATTTAAAAATGTGAAGTTAGATCAATAGTTTATTGGTTATGGATTTCAACTTAAAATCTATTCATGTTAGATATCTAATGTCAAATGTCTTGCACAGTAGTATGTTAATGCTGTATAATAACATTTCTTGGGAAAAGGTGATGAGTAATTATTGGAGAGGAACAGATTATTCCTACCAAACAAACCAAACAGGTTAACATTTTTAATAAGCCGGTATGGACAAAGTTCAGGCAGCCATCAGTATTGATAAATAAAAGTCAGGGAAGTAGTGTCAGTCTGGAAAGAAATACAGGTCTCTGGAAATAAAATAAAACATTCAACTAACACAAATGGGCAAAAAAGTAGCTCACCAAATGTTATACTTACGCCCTCTGACAGTATTAACAGTTTCATGTTTGAAAAAAACAAAACAAGAACGGACAAATACTTGGAAAAAATAAACAATAAATTACAAAGAAATGGTGATAAATTCTGACTGCTTTGTTTAGTTTATTATTGTTCATATACAAGCAATACATCAATGAGAGCTCATGCTGGAAAGATAATGAGCTCTCATTGATACCACTAGGTGTCAGCAAAGATCAACTATTGTTGAAGAAAAGCCTGGCGTTACAAGCCGATATAATGCGATTCCATGGATCTATTAGTGCGATACACGTATTATTTGCAAAAGAATGGTCATGGGATATGTGTGGAATAAATAATATATACGTGTTTCAATAATGAATGTTTAAACATAAATTGAGGCCCATTTACAGTTAATTTGTTGAATTTACGTCAGGCACTGTGTCAGACAGCTGTGCGGCGCCAGGACCCCAGCCCTGATCGTTGATCGTTTGCGCCTCAACCTGCAGTCCCGCAGCTTCACGCACAGGTTTCTAGAGCCGACGCTTATCGGTGGATTATAGAAAGGGCCTCATTGTGCCGCTGGACAGCATCACTTTACCGGAAGTTTGGTGGAACTTTTTCTCTCAGGCACAACCGCGCGACACCGGCGTGCGGACATGCCCAGACCGAAGTGAAGCCCGGTGCTGGGCCTCCGGACAGCGTTAGCTCTCGGCTAGCCCTTGTTTGGGTCTCTGGGCTAACAACCTACGTGCTGTTTTACTAGCATAACAGAGAGCGGGACATCCACTTTGCTTGGAAAACCATATTACAGTGTATTCACGTTCTGGTAGTTTTTATCTGGTACTTGACTATTTTAAAAGACTTGCTTCCCTACCATCAAATATTGTTTTGTTTGAAGTTTTTTTTCTGCTGAATAGATGGCTTGTAGATGGAGCGACTATAATTAATTGCCCATTATCTACATACATGTAGATCAGATTTGAGTTTCTTTTTTGGTCATCCATACCAGTATCCCCCTGCCTTTTCTATTATCTGCAGTCTGCGGCCAGCTCCCGGGGCTGGCCTCTCGGCAGCGACTGCCCAATGGAGGATAATGACAACATGGACTATTTCTACCAGCAGGTAGTTCAGAAGGACGTGTCCCGAAGGTTACAGGTCGGCCAGGATCTTATTGATTACCTGAATGACTCTCAACGTTCCCCAGACGTAGAGCAGGACAAACCTCGCTTAGACAAGACCATAGACGAGCTGGCAGGATGGATCAACGCCAGCAATTTCAAGGTGAGTCTTTTTTTATTTGTTTTTTTTTTTTTAATAGAAAAAATAAAAATAATGAAACAAACAATTCAGAATTGTACATAATTTGAAAATGTGTGCGTTTAGATAAGGTGCCCTAGTTCATTCCTCTGGTTTGTGGGTCTCTCTCTGTTGACATCTCCCTCATGTGAGAAGACATTGTCAACGACAGATGGGGGAGGTGCTCGTAAACTCCTGTTTGACATTTGACACACGTTTACGTTTAATTTTTGGAACTACTGGATAATTATCAATACATCTCAAGCCTGAACATGCCGTTTACTTGGATATTAACATCTATTTATCCGTGTAGCCGGGCCTATTGTTCCATTGTTATCATATGTGGTGTCTTGCGTCTACATTTTTAGCTTAAAGGGATCCAGATGTTTTCAACACATGATCAGACTAATCAAATATAAGCAGCAGCTCTATACCGTGTAGCTTGCCAAAGAGGAAGGCGCTGTTAACTGGAATATGCTGAGTCAGCTGCAGAGAAGAATGTCTGGACCAAGATGTAGTGATGCATTGATGGATGAAAGAGAATGCAGCAGGAGCACCATATTAAAGATTGGTGTTTGTGTGGCATTGATTTCTAACAGTAAAATAATAGTGACATAATCAATTAATCTAATCGATTCATAATCCGATTCTGTAATTATTCCTTTGATTTATTTATTAGTTGTTTAGGACGCAGATATGAGAATTGTAACTCGACTTCACTTGGAAAAGCTTCAGTGAAGATACTTGGGGCTGCTCAAATAGATGATATTTCCGTAGAAAAGCACCCGGATTGCATAGGAGGCTTTGTGCACATAATAAATATTGCATGCAGCTTTTAAAGACTATGAGTCAGGTCATTGGATCGGAGATCCTGGTCTTGCATGTTTTTTTCTCAGTTTTTAAATTATGATGTTAGTGCTGGTTGAAAAAATGTCTCCTGGGAATATGAGCCCTGTGTTAAACAAAGTAATAATGTTCCCTCCATATGTCACTTATTTTATTATTAAATCCAAGCTTTATTCTGAATTCAGATGTTGTAAACGTTTTTCATTTCAGACAAAATTAAACATTTTATTTTCAGCCTCAAAAAGAGGATCTGCAGTGCAGTACCTAAAAAGAAACTACAAATATATTCTTCTGAACCTTCACAAGTAATAGGAAGTGGCTAGAACTTTGACGGATTCAATATCACAGGGTCATGGCAGAAATGGAGTGAAATGTAGCAGCGATATATGAAATGTGTGTATGCGTTTGTTCTTGCTGTTGTACAGTAGGGCTGGAGTTGACCAAAGACATGCCCAGTTTATAGATTAGTCTTAAAAAGAGAGCATGGAAGTAAGCTGTATTATTTGACCAAAACTGTACTCACATATTTTTTAGTATAAAATCACACTATAATATTGCTATTAAATATTTCTAAAGTAACAGTTGTATCCAATGCAAATTTGTTGACTAAGAAACGGCCCGACTGATACGTTTAGTACCAAAAAAAACCTACAGCAACAACTTTTGAAATACATCAACACAGTAATTTGTCCAGATCTTAGCATTTTATCTTTTCCATAACATGCCGTAAGCCTGAAATCCAGGAGAAACCTTGTATGTGGCATGCCTATTAGCAAACTAAGCTACCTAAAGTTGTTTCCCTAGTCTTAACAAAAGGACTATTCATTCTGGATTTGTTAACTACCATGTTTCTAAACACTTCACATAGCTGCACTTACATTTACTATACTTATTGTTTATGTAATATAATTTTTATTTATTCAAAGCGCACCTCTTTGTTTTTGATAATGGCATATGGTTAAAGGCGATAGCTCATTGGGGTGCTTGGTATAGAAGGGGGAGGGGAGTCATGTTTCCCCCAAATTCAGCTTTTTCCTGTTGTTTTCCATCTTGACTCTCGAATTAGGTCAACAAAGAGTCTTCTCATTCAACCAGCTTGTGCAGTTTTACTCCAGGTGATTTTCTGGTGATGTTATTTGGCTTCATACCATCTATTTATTTTTCTTTTCGCTCCAGGCTTTTGTGTCTGATATTATCTGACCTATTTTTCTTTGTTCAAATAAGAGAGAAAATGAAAATATCACTAAAATATGGGAAAGTAATGTTTGAGTGTGGTTTCTAGAGCTGCAATGACTAGATCTTTGCCAAGACAAGCATTCCAGTGGCACAGCAGTGTGGGATGTGATTCTAATCAGAAAGTCCGTGGAAAAGTCTGCTTTAATGCAGAGAGAAATAACATGGCTACGTTCACAGACTCGAGCCACGAGCCAAATGGTATTTACTGGGGCAAATCCCAGTGGTGACAGGCTAAAGAGCTGGAAATTACATTAGGCATGATTGCATAAACGCAAAACAATAAGTCATCCAATGCCTTTTTTCACATAAAAGTGTTACAAAAGTAACTATAAGGGGTTTATTTTTCACAGGTTTGCACCACTTAACATTGCCGTTGTCATGGGCATGTTTAATTTATCAATCTATCAATCAATCAAATCTTTATTTGTAGAGCACATTTAAAACAGCCTAGGCTTCTATAGCATGAAACCAAGAAGATGGCACCGAGGTTGATAATATACCCCTGTGTGTTAATTAGTTATGCTAAGTAAAAATGCTTATTTAATTACCGTCACCGGTTTTAGATCACATTTGGTATCGGATATTGTAAAACTGGATACAAAAATAAAATAGAATGGAATACATTGACAATGCTTTGTTTCAAACCTGTGATTGTAGGTGGCATTGCTGGGGATAGAAATCTGTGGAGCCTTCGTCAACCGAATGGGAGATCGTTTCAAAGGATACTTGGGCACAGGTGAGAGCAGAGCTTCACAACACTTGCACACAAATTTAAAACAAATACCAGTTTGCCACATGTAAATATTGTCTAATTCAGTGTTCTTGACCTGCTTTATTCCACTTCCTCTTAATATAAAGAGAGAACTGCTGTGTTCCCTTTTATCCCATGATTCATCTTAGTGCGTTGTCTATTTCCGCTCATTTAAATGCCCGCTCAGTCATTACACCCTGCACTGTGTCTTGTATCACATTTTTCTTGTGTTTGTGTATGGGGCAGTGCTCGCAGCTGTCTTTGTAAACCAGACTGGCTACTGTCACCAACATACTGACTACCTTGGAGGCGCTGCTTTGGGGCGGATTATGACACACAGGGCAAAGTTCCTCACTGTACACCCGCTTGGGCCGCTTTTTGTGCTGGTGGCATGTAACTGTAATGAGCCGTTTCATTGACATTAAAAACACAAATGGCATTTGGTATCATCCTCTGTGTCTGACTTTCCCCTCGGTTTTCCTGTGATCTCCAATTTCCACTTAGCCTCAAAGGGGAGGAAGATGAGCTCATTGAAACTGAGCAACTTTATTGATCCAAAGGCTCTTTCTAGTCCGGCACATGTTGACAATCCGGCCTGCAGTACTCCCAGTGGTGCACCTGCCGTTCCACTAATGTTGCAGCAGACCAGTTTTTTTGATGACCTGTGTACTTAACCTGATATGTTCAATGTGCGTTGTGCAGCCACTATTGCATCATCTGCTCAAAGAACAAAGTTTTGTGTGTTTATGTTTCAGTATTGCTCATGAATTAGTTTTGGCAATTCATCATGTCACAAAATAGAAAATGTGGAAAAAAATGTACCTGGAGTTGCAGGTGGTGACACAGCATTAAAGGCGCTATACCCGTTTCTGCAATGTTTGAATGTTTAGCACCGCCCCCCAACTCGCTCACAGGCTTCTCATTTCCCCTACGCTCTCATAACACGGAGCCACCTAGTTTTATTTGCGATCTGATACATATGCTAACATTAGCATTAGCGCAACTTCTTGTAAACTGTGCAACAATCACTGATGAAATCGCACTAAAGCAGCGCACTGCTAACACAATATAAAAGTAAAAGAATACCGCTAGTTTCGCGTCCGAATGTATTAATTTAAAACCTTAGAATATATTCTAATATTTAATTATAATGTGTTATAGAGCTCCTCAAAACAGCAGCAGCAATTCTTCCGATAATTTTTTCTTGATAACAGAACTCTCAAACCAATAATGACCGAAGCCCCAATGCAATCTCTGTTTGTAATTCAGGTGTGTAAAATACTGCCATTACTCTGCAAGTACAACAAGCTATCAGCACCTGTCACTATCACTCGTCTGTGTAGAGAAGCCAACGGAGCTAGCGGAGCTAGCCACGCTCAATAAACAACTACATATCTATCAATCAACACCATTAAACGTCAATCGGACAATACAGTACACATATACATCCTTAACACAGATGCACGGATGATTTCAGAATTTGCTGTTAACGTTTTCATGACAAAAATACTGTTTCAATGTGACAAAAGGCGATTGCGAAAAACCCGGAAGTTACCATGAAACAACTAGCTAGCTTAGCTGTTACCTGCCTAGCACGTCCCGGTGAAACCTTTGGGAGCTAACTATTTTATTTGCAGTCATTAAATACATTTCGAATTACAAGGGTTGTCTAATATTTGTTCACATTTTTTTATTCAATTATTTTGTTCATCATTTTTTATTTTAGAATTATATTCGAATTTTGAAGTCGAAGCCCTGCTGTTAAGCAGCGCTGTAGAGGCTAGAGGACGCAGGCTGTTCACTGCTCGTTCTGTGAGCGGAGGAGAAAGAGCGTCCCGCTAAGACTCTACTCAGCACTTTTCACTGCTTGTAATTCTTACACAGCTGAATCAATTACCTCAAGTTTTCAATTAAATGATGTATTATGATACAACTTGTATGTAGTAAAAAGCATTTTTATGAACTACTTAGAAAAAATATCGGGTATAGCTTCTTTAATTATCCTCCACCAAAATGTTCCACACAGTTATACTTTTTTGTTTGTTTGTTTGTTGTTGTTGAATGTTGATGTGTCTGTCTGTTTTGTTGTCTTTAATAAAGGAAATTTGCGGATCTTTTTAATATTGATATCGCACGCACCAATATCGCGATAACAATATTTTATTCCGATTTATCGTGCAGCCCTAAGTAGGACTATGTGACGTTCTGTGTCGGTACAGTTACACATTTAAAGAATGAATATTTAAAATGATCTTAACAGGGCTCCAGACTAACTTTTTTCATGACCGTCCCGACACCGTCCCGAAAACCATTTGGCATCGTCCCGAAATGGATGTGAACCGTCCCGAATTTAATATGTATTTTCTAATACATTTTTTTAATTATACATTTATTATAAAAGTATTTTTATCATTGTTTTACACAATATAATGTGTAAATAAATGACTAATTTCACAATAATGCAATTTATTGGTAAAACATTCTTTACCAATAAAGGACGGTGTGAATGCTCCCAAACAATAAATACAAATTTATTTGGCAGGCCCACTTAAATCAGAGGCCAAAACTACAGAAACAGATTCAATTCGCACAGACTCACATCATCAACTAAATAATGTAAAACACTTGTTAATGTTAAAGGAACTAGATGCAAGTCGGCCATTTTATACTCACGACTGCCACCTCAGGTCAAATCTTCTACATTAAGCTTGTGCATGACTTTCCACTCTGTATAGTCCCTTTAATGTAAAAACATTAACATTTCATACAAAAAAATAGAACTGCCCAACCGGCACAAAGACTGCGTATAACTAGTGGAAGAAGCTGATTAAAGCTACAAAAAAGCAAAACATTTCTTTCTACTTATGATCATCATCTGCAAATGTGGGCCTTCGTGCCCTGTAACTGCCCCTCCACCATGCTGTCACGGCTTTTGCGGAATCGTACTCATCAGGAGGGCCATGGATGGAAATCTGAAGCATTTCATTGGTCAAGCATGACCTCCAATCTGATTTAACCCTTTAGGCGCCAGAGTTTTTTCAAGAAAATATACAATTTTGATTTCAAGATTTCAAAAGGCTATAACTTTAAAATGGTTTGAGATAAAGGCATACTGTAAATTAGAAATATCTTCAGTTTGAACCAAACTTTGGGATGGAAGTTGATTCGTCATCTAATTTGCATATCGTGACGTCATCAAGGTGGCGGCCATTTTGGAAAATGTTAATTATTGTATAAAGACTTCAAAAAGCTGTAGCTTGGGAGTTATTTGAGATCAGGGAATACTATAAACAGTCAATGTGAAATATCTTTAGTATGAAATGAATTTGGGATAGAAATAAATTCCCTGATCCAGATTATAGATAATGTTTTAGCACTGGTTTGCGGCCATATGGAATTGTATTGTTTTCTTCAGTGATCAAGACAGCACTCTTTATAGTTTACAGTCATGAAATCTTGAGATTGGTTTCAATATTTCCCTTTCAGAGAAGTCGTGGGCTTACTATTTTTCTCAGTGGAAATGAGGCTCCAGGATTTACCGTTTAGAAACAGAGAGATGAAATGAATGGGCTCAGAACTTGTCAGATCGTCTCAACAACATACAACAGGCTCTTCAACACTTCTGATCCACTTTTGTGGATTATTTTCTCTCAAGAACTGCCTTGATCCTCATCATCGCTGCTGGTAAAGGCAGTGAACGCGATTAGCGATGTGTTTTTTTCCCGCGGCTCTCCCGCGACTTCTCCCGCGTCTCCCGTGTTCCCCGTGGATGTCTACCCCCACTACTTTCTCCCACATGCCCGGTGTTATGATCCCCCTGTCCCCTCCACCACGGACCCTGCTTGGCGTTCACAGAATGCTTCTACCGCGGCCACACGGAGGACAAGCAGCCGCTGCACAGAGGCTGATTGTGGACTATGGAGCGCGGTCTCCCCGTCACCAATAATGTCTGTGTCTGCTTCACTGGACACCTGCGTGTCTTCCTCCTCTGAATCTGAGTGAGCCAGTACCAGACCAAGTACTTCTCTGGTACTGAAGACCTCGTGAGTAAATAAAAAAACACTCTCTCCCTCTGCTCTGCTCTCGCTCCCCTCAGCTCTACCGCTGATGCTTCGCCTCCGCGCCGCTGCGCCGCAGGTGTTTTACGAACTCAATTTACTCAAAAACTTTCAATATAACCACACCCACAAATGTTGCTCATATTACAGGCACACATGTCCACTAACCCCTGGTGAAAAGTATTAACAAGATTCTGCACCACATTTTTACATACAGTCTGTTTAAGTGAGCAATGTTGCTTGTCGCAATATTGCGACTTTGGCGCTTAAAGGGTTTCCGTTTCATGGCAGAAAAGCCACGCTCGCAGCAGGACGACGACATGGGGAAGACCAGTGCGATTTCTGCAATGACTTGCATCTGTTTAAACTGCCCCTCTCGACCAACCGCACCCTGCAGTACTCGCTGCCACAATACTTCTGAAGACATGTGTCTGTAACGCCTGTCCACCAGTAGACCTCTAATGGCACGTACAGCACAGAGCCAGATAATGCACGGACATTATTAATGCTAGAATGTGTTGTATTAAAACACGAGGCTTAGACAGACAGATGATCTAGTAGGTCACGTAATGATTTGTTCATCAATTATGGATTAACAGGGCCGAGGTGGGTCGCAAGCAGCGCGCACCAAGGCCACAAAAGGCCTCTGACCCGCTGTTGATTTCTCTGTTTTTTTATGCTAACGCTAAATAATACGGACATTAGCAAAATCTGTGCCATAATAGATATAGCTAATGTCCGTATTATTTAGTGTTAGCATTCGTTGGGGTAACAAATGCAATAAGAAGACAGTTGAATATTTCTATTAGTTGAGCAACCCATTCATTTGAAATAACGTTTCCTTATAAGGCCTCAAATGTATGTGTTTTGCATATTTCCCATTAATTCAATGTGTATTTTATAAAGCTAACTTGTCTATCAAACTGCAGTGTTAGCGTTAGCAGTCAACTCTTCGCTGTAATGATAAATTATCTTACCTTTAAAGTGTTTGGTGGAGGCTGGTTGGATTGCGCTTCCGAAGAGCCTGCGACAACGTTCCTGTCTTTTGGCAGCGACAACCACCGCAGCATTCTGGATTGCACCTTTACCGCTCCTTCTCTATGGACAGGGTGCCAACTGTGCAGGTGCATGCACCTGCTACGTGGTCAAACTGGGTCCGCGCAGAGAACGGAGAAGCGGGAAAATGTTTGCCCATGATTCCGCGTCAAATAAGAGCAGAACAGAATTCCCTGAGCGGGAGCTCTCTCTCTTTAATATGGAACATTAGCACTCGCTTACATAAATATATTGCCTATTTTACAAATACAAATTGGTTAAAGGCTTTCCGTCCCGGGACCGTCCCGGGGAGAATTTCATCTCGTCCCGTGCATTTTTTTTCCCGTCCCCGGGACGACGGGACTATGTTAGTCTCGAGCCCTGGATCTTAATTAAGGCAAATTCGATTGTAACCAAACCCCTTTTTTATTGAATTATCTGATGAATTGGCAGATAAATCTGTATTTGTTCCCAAAATCAAAATTGTTGTTGGTGTATATATGTAAATCAAATGAACCAATACCCAATTATTTGTGTTTATTTTACAAATAACTTTGTGTAGAAAAATAATGAGGAACTAGGCCTATACATATTTATACAATCCTAAAGATTGTATAATATGAGAAGGAAATGTCACTGCAAAGTAGGGCTGAAACAACTAATCGATTAATCGACGACTAATCGATTAATGAAACTATTTTAGTAATCGATTAATCGTTTTCTGGTTCACACGGACTCAAACAGAGCAAAAATGACATGAAAATGTAGTATTTTTGATTAAAACCGACTTTGTTTTTATAATTTCATGAATATCTGTCTGTCTCATCCAATCAGATAGCAGAATTAGCACAAAGAGCCTGTTACAAACATTTACTTTAAGTTTACGCCATCAATACGTCCTCGAGTGTTGCCACTTTAGCTTTTTGTGATGAAAAAATACATTTTTTCTACACAATTCACAGCCAAGCGATTACTCGATTAATCGTAAGAATAATCGATAGATTAATCGATTACAAAATAATCGTTAGTTGCAGCTCTACTGCAAACACTATTAAAAGGTCGCAAATCTGTTGCTCTTAAAACAATCTGGCTCTATCACTAATTTTCACATGCATTTTTGTACATCACTTGTGCACATACAGTTTTGCACCATCAGTCTCGAGCCAAATATTGAGTCATGTGTTTTTTTGCTGCTGTTTCTGACCAACTTTTTTTCTGTAACGTACACAGTCCTTGGATAGTCCAGTTTTACTCAAACAGTGTTTGATGTTAAGAGTTTGAGTTAAAACCCCATGCAAAATAAAACTGTGGCAAACATGGCACAATCTGTATATTATGTGGTATGTTGACGCTGTGGCCACTCGCTGTTTGAGTGTATTGTCCTTGTAGTCCGGGAAACCAGCTGTTTTGCTAACATGATGGACACACAGTCACTGTACAGAAAAGGGCAGATGACATCACTGTTACTCCCTCATTGATGCTCGGAGGAATTTGGGTAGGAGTGTTTCTCTACTATGATTTACCACAGTTCTTTCAGATTAAAACTCCAGCAGTGCAGTTCAAAATAAAGTTCAAAACATACATCCTACAACAACAACATACATCTAAGCACATATTTTGTGCTCCATTCAAATTGAGACTTTAATAAAAGACTTAAATGTAACTTATTTAGAAGTTCTGATATTTTATTTTTCATTATTATGATGTGCTCCTGTTTAAATGATTGTTGACAAAGCAGTTGTGCATTTAAAATGGATGCTTCTCGAGTGCAGTCCCATGCACTCGACATAATTTTAGTAACGGTCCATTTCTCACTTGTCCTAACATTGTCCTCGTCTGCACACTCTATTCCCAACGGCAAAGTTGTTTTGCTGATCTAAAAACACTGCATTTGAGATTCATGATGTATTTTAGAGTCTTGTTTCTTGTCCATCATTTCACCTATTTTTTTTTTCTGACCTCGTTTGTAGTGTTGCCAGCTCTTGTGGATCGACTGGGAGATGGAAAGGATCAGGTCAGAGAGAACAGCCAAGTCCTCATCCTCCACACCATGGAGCAGACGGCCTCGCCCATGGTACGACAAAAACTCAGGCATTTAAATCAGAATGTCTTGTCCTCGGTTGATAGTATTATATGTAATAATCTTGTGGATTATATTGTATGAGAAGTATAGGTGAAAATATGAACAAAGATAAATCAACTCAGTGTAGACTGACGTCAACATGAACCTCAGGAGTTTAAACTGCATGTAGCCATTTTCATGTGTATTAGGCCTTTATTATCACTTCGCTCATTGAATATTCTTGCGAGAAAATTGTGGGTTATACGCAGATAAAACCAGAGTTAAGTAGTTTAAGGCCACGTGGATCATGTTTATTTGCAGACATAAATTCAATAAATGGTTAATTTCCATTGTAATTTTGATATAAATGTTTGTTGTGTCTGTAAAAAAAATCTTTGCACTTATCATTGCCAACTGTGTTAGTCAAATTCTCAGTTTTAATAACTTATAAAACTGTACAAAGTACTAACATAATTAATAATGCATAATTAGTCACTTCCTACTACTTTTTTCAGTGTAGACTTAATTCATGTAAAATATGTATAATCCAATGATAGATAATAATTAGTTACATTTTCAAGCGTTAGAGTTTGCAGAAGTTAAATGTGATTTGTGCGCCCTCTTCTGGACACCCATGGAATAGCACAGGCTTATGTCAACTCTCCTTTGTCTTCTCAGAGACCCAGCATTACCTGCTTTTGCCCTTTAATCTGTTCGTTCCTCTCTGGTCGATTGTTGTTTACTTCTACTTTGTCCTGTTCTTTCAGTGCCTCTTTTCAGGCGTGACATTCAATTCAGTCTTTCTTTTCCTCAGTATGTTTGGGAAAGGCTGCTCCCTGGTTTCAAACACAAGAACTTCCGCAGCCGAGAAGGAATCTGCCTTTGTCTCAGTGCCACCATCATCGCGTGAGTAGCTTCCCATTTTTGTCATTTTTTTTTTTTACTACCTGAAGTTAAAGCCAGAACCTCAGATTTATAAATTTAGAATTATTTTACATATTTAATACTAGAGTAAATAAATAAATTATAGCCACATATTCTTGAAAGATGTTTGTCTACTCCTTTTTAAGAATCACAGTCACCAGGATTAATCCTCTTAGTGCGACTATAAAGAATATGTACGTGCAGCCAGTACGCCCCCACAAACGTCATGTGGTTTCAGATCCTCGCTTCTATGCTACTTTCAACAAAGGCTTAACATTAAATCTTGCTGAACATGTAATCTTATCTCTCTCAAGATAACATAACTATAGGTCTTTTCAATCGTGCCAGTATACATGTACCGTTTTGTACATTGTTACGTGGTTAGTCTAATTCAAATACTGATCCTGTTTTTATTTCATGTGAACTTTGCATTTGACTCTTCATGTTGCAGTGGTATTTTGCAGGATTTTTCTAATTAATTGACACCTGCTCGATGAACGCCAAGCTTCTACTAACTATGTACAGCTCCAATGATGTGTTTTATATATTTATTATGGTTGTAATACTGTAATGGCTTCTCTTCTCTTTTTGTATTTAGATATGGATCTAATGCACTAAGCTTCAGTAAACTTGTTCCATATCTCTGCACTTTGACCGGAGACCAAAACCCGCAGGTAACTCGATGCACTTATTTGCCCTTGCTATTACAATGTTGATGGTGAAGATGTTTCATATGAGGCTCCCTTCAGTTTATACTCTGTTGTCTTGTAGCTATTATTTTCATTAGCAGGAGATTGGCTCCAAAACCCATCACTAAGTTTTATTGCTGCATCATAATCTCTGCTCACATGCTTCCATTAACCCACACAGCTCTAGTTTCAAATCTGCACCTAAGAGAGAGGGTTTTGGTTAACCTCCTGTGGAGTCGCATCCCGAAACTGAAATCTGCCCTTGCTGTCTACCCAATCATTATCTGCCCACACTGCCTCTTGGCCAATCAGCTTGTTCAATAGACCCGCCTACCCCCAGCTGCAAAGATCCCCGTCACACAGACTAAGTCCACACAGTCCAATCAAAGTGTTGCACTTCAAGATCCATTCCTTTCTTTTCCTCTTATTCTCAATACTCATTGTGGTTCTCCAGTAGTTTATTTTTTACAAATGATACCAGCCCATCTGCGATTATCTTTTAAATGACTCGATTGCTGCATATTTCTCGGTATATTTATGTGTGACGAATGTCAATCTTTTTGCAGCAATTAATTGATTCACATATTTTTGTAAAAGTCTAGTCTAGGTCCGTTTGATTAATTGTGTTATGTTTTTATGTTTTAAGGTTCGTGAGGCCTCCATTACAACACTAGTAGACATATATCGTCACGTTGGGGAGAAGGTCAGACTAGACCTGGCAAAGAGAGGGCTGCCTGCTGCTCGGTGAGTCTTCTTTGTCCTTATTTTTTTGTAGTGGCTGATTTTTCTCCTTGTGTATATCCTCGTCCAAATCTGGGATGGCAGATGTTTTGAGCCTTGTTACATTGGTGTTCTGTCTGTCCCAGGCCACACCATGCACCACTGTGTCCTTGATGCACACAGAGGAACTTTATCCAGCTCACAATGCTAAAGAGAGAGAATAATGGGGTACAAGGGCGTTTGGTCTAATAAAAAAAGAAAAAAGGTCCTGTTTGTATTTGGTAGTTTTTTTGTCTGGATAGTCTCTGGTTGCTAGGGTTACAGGCCTGGGTTATGAGTTATTTTGAGAGTACATATCTGCTGTGAGAGCTCAGCCATTATGTCTGCTGTCTGACTGGTGTCTGTGAATGCTGCTCTGGCTGTGTCATGCATTGCTCATATTAGGGATGTCACGCTCTGCGTAGGGACAGAAGAGGTGTCTGCATTGAAGAAGCAGCTTCAATACACACTATATGTCAAATTCAGATACAAAGTCTGGTTCATTTAGAGGTAATTATGCTTCATTTGGGGAGAATCAACGTTCTCACCCTAGTTAAACCCGAAGGTACAAGGGTGAACGTGGCCTAAAACCCAGAAAAACTGTTCATATGGGCTTTTCATAACACATGTTTACATGTTTTAAGCAAATCATATATAAAATAAAATAAGCTCTTCGATGTCTGCAGAATGGAAATTGGGTAGTTTTTTTAAAATGGTGGATGTCAATTGATGTTGATCAGTTCTGGATCAGAAATGGTGTGTGTTCAGTATTGTTCTTTATTCACTAACTTTTTACTAGGTATATAGTTCATATTGGAACATTGAATACATCTCTAGAAGTTTATTTATTGCATTTTATTGATTGATGAAATGAATAAATCTCAAAACCCAGACACATTTGTGTGGTGTTAGTTTTATAATAGTGTATGGAAAGTGTTTTAGTGCTCAGTGGAAAGTAAGTCTCCGTGGGTCGTTACACGATCCGCTGCACTAGGTCCTGGTTGAATAAAATATCACCTCTGGGACTTGTAGGACTTTTGATAGACAATTGACATCACTGCGGCACGGTGGCTGAGTGGATAGCACTCTCGCCTCTCAGCAAGAAGGTCCTGGGTTCGAATCCCGGTCGGACCAGGGCCTTTCTGAGTGGAGTTTGCATATTCTCCCCGTGTCTGCGTAGGTTTCCTCCGGGTACTCCGGTTTCCCCTACCACTAAAAATATGTCCAATAGTTCTGGCATGTGCCTCCTGTACTGGCCCCGCTCCCATCTCTGTGTGGAGTGAGAGACAAATGCCCAAAAATTAACAATCTGCAGTGAAAAGGCGGTATATAAATAAAAACTTACTTACTTACTTACTTACTTACTGCATTTTTATGTTTTTTTTCCTAAAACTAAATAGTAGTGTTAGTTATTGTCTCTCCAAAGAACCCAGAGGACCCCATGACACTAAATGGATGTGGCTTAAATCTCTTGGCACTTTTCCAAGAAGGAAAAGGACTCATGAGGGAACCTGACTGAACCTGACTGAATTAAACTTCCACACAAACATTTCCATTTGTGGCTCAATGACACATGCACATGGACAAACCTGCATTGAAAAACAAAATATTTAAAATTGCCTTCTGCAAAGATTGTATAAAGTAATAGAAAGTGAAAGACAAGTGATGTGGATGAGATGTGAAGATGTTGTAATGAGAGGAGCCCATGCTTTTCTGTTTGCTGCCTAGCCCCACCCCCTTGCCGTCTGTGGATGGAGTGGAGGTTATGTAAAGGGTAACTCAATCTTTCTTCCCATCATACTAACTGCCCTACTTGTCATTCTCTCACACACGGACAAAAAGAGACGTCCTGAGATTTACCTTGTGGTACAACCGCCCTGTAGTGTTCCCAGGGACTGTTTGTGCTCCGCAAACGCCTGGATGTGTGGCAAGAGGTGGTGCTTTGTCGCATGCTCGTAGCCTGCTTGGGTCTTTTCTGTTTGGCTGGCTCTCCCCCCTCCCGCGGTGCTCCCTCCCCTCTAGACCCACTGCACCATGTTAGATACAAAGAACCCAGAAGAGCCGTGGACCAAGCACTGTCACTGAAAGCTAATGCTACGCGCATAGCAACGCACCAGCCTATTAATAAGCCCAGTGGGAAATGCAGAGACGGATGAGTGCCGGATTCTAAAGACAAGCCTATTTCTGGATTTACTTACAAAGAAGAAAATGGACATGTTAAATGCTAATCGTCACTTATCTGGAGCTTCTAAGCTGTTTGGGCTGGCACTTTGACATTTGAGGCAGGCACAGACTCAACGGTGTGTTTTACTCCTCATGTTTACAGACGAGGAGTCGTGCGTGTGTGTGTTTATTGTTGCATGTCATGTGGACAGACGAATGATAAGACGCATATTATTGTAATCATGACGTATTCATAATAGAAATTGCTTTAATGTTTTTGCACTCCGTCAGAAATGCTAAAGGGTTTTTGTAAATGTCGTAGCTCCTTTTACATCTTTTCCACAATTTGACCCCAATAAATCTGATGTGATGCTGCTTGAGGATATCATGATGAATATTTTTTATAGAAAATACTGTATTATTAGTCAATATAATGTAATTAACACAATGTAGCTACTTATAACCCCCTCTCTAAGCGCATGTTTATTGAGCAGTTAACAATACAATGCTGAAATATTTTAGTTGCATTTAATCCAATTGCTCTTTCAATGTTCTATATGACCAAGACGTTCTCTGATCAATTTATTACAATTGGGCTGTAGGTCCATTAACACCTGTGTCTTTAGTTTACAAAGCATACAGTTTTTATCCCCGACACTGATCTGGATACTTTGGCCTTCTGGGATAATATCAGCCAGTGAAACTCCCTACGTCTGATTTGCACTGATATTTGATGGCAGTATCTTATTATCGACTCAAATGGCCAGCGGGGTTGTTGTTAATCTTTGTTTCTGTGCTGAGGTGATTTGAAAAAGTCGTTGAAATACTGAGCAGGGTGCCAAAACTCAGCTGCGATCAAAGCCTCATGACACACCCTCTGCCTTAGGCTCACACACTAGAGACAGCTGATACTCACTTTCACTTTAAAGTCTCCGCTGTTCCTTCTGTTGAATCTCTTTGATGCAGTCATGATCAAGTATAGTTTCTCATCTATCATCTTGTGCAGCTCTGTCACTATGACCCTAAATGTTCTCATATCTGTTTTTTTCTTTGCAGGTTGCAGACAATATTTTCCCGGTTTGATGAAGCCCTGAATTCTGGCAACATGGCTCTCAGCCCCAGTCATGGTCAGTACCAACATTTGATTATTTTAGAATTTTTAAATAAAAAGTTTTTTGTGGCTTTTCTCTGTAATTGTGTTTATTATTATGTGCGAGATGATGAGAAGATGAAATGGAGATTAAAGGAGAGGTGTCATAGTCTGTTTTGTTATTTGGTTTGAACTTGTCTCTGAGGCAGCCACCGTACAAGAGCACCCCTTTCAACTCGTATCTTCTCTGGGGGTGTGGCGCTTTACACACTAGCACTTTGTTACAATCTGATTTGTTTTGTATGTTTTGCTTGTTTTCATCTTATCTGCTGTGAGGGAGAAACTTGGATTACCTTTTGTTGTTGTTGTCAAATCCCACTGAAACCGTGTAACCCACTCTGTGCACCCTCCACTACCGGTGTCTTTATTTACCTAGAGGACAATTTGGCCATATGTTCTTTTGGCCTAGTTCCTGAAGAGAACTTCTCCACAGATGCTTCGTTAACCTTGGCAAACTTCCCTGGAGTCGGCCTTTGCTCCCTGCAATGTACTTACTCTTAGGCCCTTCATATTATCTTGAAATGGGAGGATTATTCAAAATACACCAGGCTGTATGAAGGACGGAAACTTTATCTGAGATTTGTCTTCCAATTAGTAGTTGTGGCAACACCTACATGTGAAAACCAGATTCAGTCAGACCTCTGAATATAAGCTTGGCAGGGCCTGGTTAGTGCTGTGATGGGAGACCTCGGAGAATATCAGATGCCACAGTGAGGCAATACAACTGTTGTTGTGTCTGTAGGCAAGACATTTCTCATGCATTGCTTAGAATGAGTCTGGTGGATTCTTGAACAATTGGTGGTGGTCATAGAGGGGGTTGATGGTACACACTGGTTGCCTCACTTCTGTTTCCCCCAGGGCGGCTGTGGCTACAGTAGCAGCTTAACACCATTGTGTATGGAGTAAATGAATAATAATCCCCTGTGAAGCGTCTTTGAGTTTCCAAAAAGAGCTATATGAAAATGCCTGCATTGATAGTGAATATACTAGTTTGAGTTTATCATTTTCAGTTTCTGTGAATACATATTTGCAACAATTTCAAAAGCAATCACTTCAGTGTTCTTGGTCTTATTCATTTTTGACCATTCTTGGACAGCAGGTGATAAGACTGAGAAAAGAGAGAAGGTCAGTCGATTGTTGGAGGGAGCAGAGTCATAGAGCGGTGCCTGTCACTACTCTCCCTGATTCACCATGACAGAGACAGAGAGAGAGAGAGAACAAACAACAACAGAAATTCAGAGGACAAAGGAGCGGTCACTGGCAAGATCACAGGAAAACTCTCTTGATAATTCAGCATAACTAGGGGAGGATGCCCTCGCTGAGTGTGGTTAATCTCATCTGGTTGTTGATCCTGGCATCCAGACAAAAGCTTGTCAACATATGGTTCAAAATCAGCTTAAACTTTCACCCCACAAGCTCTGGCTCAGCCTCCAACTGAGAGGCACGTGAAAAAATGAGCAACATGGACTGTCCCAATTACACACAGCGCTCTATAGAATCACTGTAATTGTTTCTATTTATGTCTTCCCATTAGGATGTCATGGATCTTGATGTTTTTGATTGTAGTCTTTCATCACCAACTTTCCGTAGACCTCAGCTCTTGCACCTGCACATTGCTTGTGTGAAATACAATTTGAGGTGAAATCAGAAGAATCCTTGTTGTTAACTGTCCATTGGCTGCAGCTTTCCTTGCATCTCGATGTTGACACACAAACGCACACTCAGCGGTGGCCTCAGACGCGCTCGTTCTGCCTCAGTGCATATTCAGCTTTGCCAAGGAAACCGTGACCTCATTTACAGGCCAGGCTCGTGGCTCTGGAAAAGCAGGAATTTAAATATGATTGAGTCTTATTTTCAAGTCCAGGAATTGGGATCGAAATAGACGTGTTTTCCTAAATGTTCTTAAGTAGAGCAGAAATTGGACTGCACTGAATTCACTTTGAAAATCCAGCTCAAAAGCTTCTGCTCAGTCGAAATTCGCTGAAAGAATCTCTAATGTAGAACTGCCACCTGGAACATTAATGATCAAGATGTTTCTATAGGTTTCTGTTTGGTAACTTAATGTTTGTGTAATTTGAGAATGCGATTCAAGGTGGTTTTGTAGTAAGCATTCAACCTGCTTACAGTTTGAAAATTGTCTCAGCATTTTGTCTAAATGACAGTGCTGCCATCATGTGGTTACTTACAACTACATGAAAGAATTAATGTTTATTTGGTCAGTTGTTTGATTGATAACATATTCCATTCACTGACTATATTACAACCAAAAATAGGATTAGGCTGAAGCAACTTGCTCATGTGAGCACAACCTGACATCACGTCACATACAGGTCATTACATCCCTTTTGTGAACAATATGTAACCACTTAATTCCGCCCATTCTTTTTATACAGACATGTGTCCCACTCTGTACAATCATGTCTCCTTAACATGTTGGTATTTGGCAGAATGGCTTCAGTGTTCAAATTTGAAAATGTAATCTCAGGGAAATGGAAAAATGTTCACCACTCCAGTATTATTCAGTAAATACTATATTCTTGTATCTTTTCAAACTGTTTCACAAAAAATTTTCTCGAGAGCTCAGTCTTTGCCCTTACTCACATTTGAGAATGTTCAGCTACGTTTCCATAGCAACGCTGTCTTCCGATGCGTTTTTGAGCATGCCAATTTTAAACGGCACATTTTACCATCCTCACGACGCATGGGCCTTATTCATCTTTTTACTGTTGCTTTTCCAAAATCACAGTTCTGCTGTCCGTCCGCTGTGAATTCTGCATTTTATTGTTCTGCTCTGGTTGCCATAGAAACGGCATGACTGCTCCCTCCCCTGATCCGACATACTCCAGATGCTAATAATGCTATATTACTTACCTTGGCTTTTTGTGAATGTAGTAGTTATTTGTACGTGATCTCGATTTTGTATTTTTGTCATTCTTCTTTTTTTGGTTGTTGGGAGATGTGCTTGGTGATATGTTTACACAAATACGTGACATCATAAAATCCAAGAATAAAGTCACTGTAAGCAATAGTATTAAAAAATTATCATCATTTATACTAAAATTAGAATCAAAACTAGATTCTCATTTCAAGTATCTACTATAATAAGATCATAAAAAGACACTTTTTGAATGACTTTTAACTCTGAACAAGTACAATCTCGTGGTTCTTTTCAAAAGTAGTACTATAATGTTGTATGGTTCCGCTCAGTGTCAAAAAAATGACACATGACATGTTATCGGCATGGTATCTAAATCAGTATCAAGTCAATTTCCTTTAATCAGAACAATTTGTAATTTCAGTATCATGACAACACTAGTAACACATTTTCTCGTGTCTGATTAGTGAGAATAACATGTTCCTGTAGTGTCAGCAGGATTCTTAAATATGAAAAACAGTGATTTATGTGGTTATGTCTTAGCTGCTCCCGTTTGAGATCATTTGGGAAACAGACATCCATACGTGATTAAGGCTGTGCATATAACATTTGCAGTCATTTAAAATACTATTGATTTACTTCCTGATATTTCTGCCCCATGGGGTCTTCCCATACTCTCCTTTTAAAAGAAACTGTGCAGGCTAGCTTATTTTATTCTTTACTTTCAATGTTTATATATCTGAAAACGGTATAATACTTACTATATGTATTTCATTGTTTTATCATTGATTTCTTTTTTTTTTATATTTCCATGGATTCTTGTTGATAGCTTAACACAGTAATAAAGTGCTATCTTTTTAGAATCTTGGGAGCTGTATGGAATCACTGTGACATAAATTCTAGAATAAAGAAGTTAGTACCATGTAGAGATGTAAATTTTACCCATTATTCTTCACATGGTGTAATTATGATCAGTGATTGTTAAGTCATAATGAGTTAAATATTATTTATTTGTATTGCCATTGTGAGTAACAAGAAGTCATAAACTAGGAAATTGCTTTGGCTCTCAGCGCAAACAAGTTAGGAGGTAAAAACGGAGAAAGGTGAGGATTAATACAAAAATTACGTTTTTTTTTTTTAAATATACAAGTACACACAATAGACATTTAGCAGTGCAGTTGGGACTGTGATGTGTGGCTGCTTTACAAGGACCCCTGTTAATATTCTTGGAGTCTGTCCATGTTGTGTGTTTCTTTCTCTCCGTCGACACATTCACATTCGTAGAGCGGCTGTTGCCTCCGCACTGGCTGCACATGATGATGTCACCTGCGTTGTGATTGGCTGTGAGGCCGCTCAGAACAGAAGCCGAGATGCTAGCGGAGGAGGGAGAGCGGTAGCAGAGAGAGAGAGAAAGATGGAAAATGCCGGTTCTTGAAAGGGCGGAGGGTGTGCAGGCTGTTGTGTTTGGGGGTGCGTGAAGACTGGGCCCCAAACGTGAGGATGCAGTGACGTCGGCGTGTGCGTGTTGTTGGGGTACAGCTCTGTGGAAAAGGGGAGTGTGGGTACCCCATTACCACGCCCTCCCAGAAGCATGAGACGCCTTATCTGCGAGCGCATCTGTGACTGTGAGTGCAGGGATACTGTTGTGGGCTGTGGATATCTGTGCTATTTCAGTGAATGTGCTTTTATCTCATTGTTTAGCTTTCCACTTGTTGTTGCCCTAAGCCCAAAACTGTTTTGCAGTTCTGTCAAACCTGTGGAGGCCTGATAATACGTTTGACTTTGCATTGTGTAGGAAAAGTAAATTGATTCGAGTCAAGGTGTGGGGTGGTGGCTTTGGCGCATTTCATTGCTGGTTGTCAGGACGACAGCAGTACATATACATTCCTATGCTTTGAATAGTATCACGAAACAGACGCTTTTATGGTAATATTGTTATTCCCAACTACTAGTCATCTTTTTAAAGTGATGCCGCTACTTGGGTTGAGCTTGTTCATGTTTACTTGTTTTCAGATTCAAGGTTTGCTCAGTATAGACTTCTGTCATTTAACCGTCGTCTGAATGTAGCTGGTCATCATTGAGTTGTAGTTTTTTTCTTTAAAACGCTACGTTGTCTGTGAGCGTGTAATTAGTATTGATTTAGTTGTTCCTGATCAAGCTCTCTGAAGGATATACCCTCCCAGTTATAGTGCCTCCTGCAAACCTTCATCAAAACTAAGACCATTCTAATGTTTTCTGAGTGATTGGGATACCATTTTTTTTTTAAATAATCCCAAACATTTCAAATAAAGGTGACATTTCTAACTTTTTCTTTCAGATCGTAGCTTTGACGACGATGACAGCGTGGATGGGAGTCGCGCTTCCTCGGCTCAGACCTTCAAGGTTCCAAAAGTTCCCAAAAAAACCGCAGAGCCTTCATCTGCTCGCAGGCCCAGTGCAACTGGTGGCAAGCTAGGTATTTGATTTTAAAACTCTTTAACTATGGAATAATATTGTTGTTGACTGTGCGAGTATCGTCCAAAATTTACAATTCCATTTGAAAATGTTTGTTATCCTTTGAGTTTTCCTAGTGTTATAGAGAGGAATTCTAGTAGAGTCTTGTTTGAAAGTGTTTTAACTGAAGTTCCTCTCTGTCTAAAGTCAGTGTAGAGTTAGCACTTATCTTTTGCTTGTGCTGATTTCTTCTGTTCTCGTCTGTGTCAGCACAAGCAAGCTCCCCTGTTACATCTTGTTACATCTTCACATGCTAGGTTCAATAGCTAACGCTCATGTGGAACATTACAGTCGAGTTCTGTCTCTTATTCCTATTAGATACATCTTTATAACATAAGTGACTTTGTGACCAATATTTGAGTTTCTACATTAAATGTCAGAAAAATCTGCTGCAGTATGTTTATGATGTTTCAAGTAGTTGTGATATTAATTGTTTTCCTTTAAGTGTGTGCGTGCTGTTTGAAGTTTATGTGCTGTTTTTTTACATTTTTTATCTGGACATTTTTAGAACATTGAGGGCGAGTTAGACACGATGCTGTCAGTTGAAGAGCACTGCTGAGGCCCATTTGTGAATTCAATATTGTGAATGAAATGTTTTGATTCTTCCAGTGTCCAAAGAAAGTGCTGGTGCTCTTGATGAAGAGGACTTTATAAGAGCCTTTACAGACGTCCCTCCTGTGCAAGTCAGCAAAACACAGAAATTATTATAATAACAACAAGAATTACTCATAGGTTTTCACATTATTTTATTTTTCTTGGTTATAGATTTATTCAACAAGGGATCTCGAAGACAACCTTAACAAGATCCGTGAGATCTGCTCTGATGACAAACACGACTGGGACCAAAGAGCAATTGCTGTCTGTACATCTTTTTAAATCCATCTTCTTTTTTGTGTCCAACAATAATTTCAAGTTTGTTCTTTACAGCTGAAGAAAATCCGGTCACTGTTGGTGGCTGGTGCAGCCAGCTATGACTGTTTTTACCAGCACTTAAGACTCCTGGATGGAGCCTTCAAACTCTCTGCTAAAGATCTGAGATCTCAAGTTGTTCGAGAGGCCTGCATTACTGTGGGGTAAGTGTTGGCCAGGTGTCTGGTTAAATTAAATATGAAATTATAACTAAAACATGTTTAATGTTTCCTTTTTTTGTCTTTCATTAGTTACCTTTCATCTGTGCTGGGAAACAAGTTTGATCATGGAGCTGAAGGCATTGTCCCAGTCCTGTTCAACCTCATCCCAAACTGTGCCAAAATCATGGCCACCTCCGGTGTGTTAGCCATCCGCATCATCATTCGAGTGGGTTCTCCTTAAATAAACATTTACTGCTCAGTATCCTGGCTGTGTTTTGTTAATCATGTTTGTTCCAACCTTCAGCACACTCACGTCCCTCGTCTAATTCCTTTGATTACTAGTAATTGCACATCTAAGTCTGTAGCTGTCAGACGGTAATATACATTTTCTTTAATATACAATACTATTTTTACACATTTTATCACTACAATAATTAAAGTAATAATAATACATCATTTGTACTGACCCGTTATCCAGACGCTGTTATGACTTCTTAGAACTTCTCCTGCAAGAATGGCAAACACACTCACTAGAAAGGTGAGTGCAGAAAATATAAACCAATAGTTTTATCAACATGTTATTTTTCTAATGGCCGCATCTTGTTTTTCTCAGGCACACTGCAGTTCTGGTTGAAAGCATCAAGAAGGGAATTCGAGATGCTGACTCAGAAGCCAGAGTGGAGGCTCGCAAGTAAGGCTTTCACAAAATGTCATCATCTGAAATGAGAGCGGCTCTATCCATCAGTCGTTTGATGTTTTTATATTTCAACATGGATTTGTTTCTGTTAGGGCCTACTGGGGTCTCAGGAACCATTTTCCAGCAGAAACAGACGCTCTGTACAACTCTCTGGAACCGTCGTACCAGAAGACTCTTCAGACCCATTTGAAAAGCTCTGGCAGTGTGGCCTCCCTGCCCCAGAGTGATCGCTCCTCCTCTTCCTCTCAGGAGAGCCTCAAGTAACAATTCAATTTTCTGCTAATTTAACTGCCGGGTTTGGGAAACGGTTAAGTTATTTTTACTTATTTTTAATTTCTTTCCAGTCGGCCTTTATCTTCAAAGTGGTCAGCAACTCCAGGCCGGGGTGAGTCAAAATGAAGGACAAAAACAACCTGTGATAAACATATTTTTAAATTGTGAAAGCAGACAGACCAAAAGTGCACAGATCCATTTCCCCTCACGCCTTCTGCCTGTGACCTGTTCTCATTGTGCTGTGTTCATATATTGTGGTACCTGCATGTCTTGTTTTGTACATTGTATTGTATCATCACCTCCCAACCCCCCTCCTTTCCCATCAGTCCCCACGGCCTCTAAGGGCAGGTTGTCGTCAGCCGCACTCCAGCGTTCCCGTAGTGATGTGGATGTGAACGCAGCCGCAGTGGCTAAGCACCGGCTCGTCGGACAGTCGGCAGGGGCGAGCCGACTGGCTGCTGGCTCCTACTCCTCTCTGGGTAAGAGCCTGGTCAGCAACCAGCAGATTGTCAGTGAGAGAACATTTCTGAATGAAGTGTATCAAGTCTCTCAAAAGAAATGGACTGACCACTTCTTCTGCTCTCACCATCTAAACGTGTGCATGTTCAATGGATATTTGATGTTATGTATGTTACTGCATGGATCTATGTGGAAATAGTCTCTTACTAATGGATATGCCACTCTCTTTTCTCTTTTTCTCCTATCTTTCCTGTTATTTTTTGTTTATTCCTTTTCCTTTTATTGTGGTATATCTTTTTCTGTGTCCATTCCTTTTTCTGCCTCTAAAGATGATGCCTCTGATAAAAAGGATGGTAAGATCATCTGTCTTCTATGCGTCAGAACATTTCACCTTATTTTTCTTAGTCTTCCCCCTGAGTAGTTTTCATTCCAATCATGTCTCCCTGTGTCCCTTTCTGTCAACAAGTCTGCATTTATGCAAAATTATTTAACACAAAAAACAATATTTTTGATATATTTCCTTTTAATATTGTTTTCTTGAATTCTTCTTTGCTATTCTATTGTTTTTGTCAAATTTTAATTCTAATCTAAACTACATTCCAGAAAAATTTGAATTTGCTGCAGAATCTAACTATAACAATCTCTCAATCGCAACTCAAAATGATTACCAATTTCTCATTGTTTAACCTGTTATTCATTTGACCTCTTTATTTTTAATGCTGCTCTGACATCTACTTATTTGCATTAATAAGACTGTGGTTAATGATAATACAAGGGTCTATAACAGTAATTAAAAAATACTCCTTGGTCCTTTTGTTCATAGGGACCAGATCAGACGATGGTAAGACTGGTTTGCCTGAATACAGGGTGTTTTGCGGCGCATCAATTATAGAAAACGTAACAAATTAACATAATCCCAATAGTGGACTTGCATAATTGTACAAATAAACTAATCAGTTTCCTTCAGTATGGGACAGTGTTTCTCAAACTGCAGTCAAGATACCTCTAGTAGTACTCAAGCTCTTGATACAGATTCGTCTGCAGGAAGTGCTGAATTTTTGTCTCTTCTGCATCAGTCCTTCACTATAAAGCGGTTCATCTTTTTGCGGCCTTGCTATTTGTAAATTTTGTTGTGTGCTTTTCATGTGCTGCAACCAACAACATCATATAATTGTTAGTATAACATGACGGTTTATTGATTTCAAGTTTGTGCGCACCGTTGTGATAAGTACTACTGCGGTCTTCCCGTACTATACAATACAATACAATTTATTCTTGTATAGCCCTGGGTCACAACAGAAGTCATCTCAGAGGACTTAACAGAACCATTGACATCACCAACACAGGTCAGAGAATCAACAGTTAAAATACATGAAAAATATAAAGCACACACAGAAGAATGTTGTAGAATGTTAAAGTGTCCTGATCATCACCAATCCTTTCTGTTGTCCAACAAGACCCTCCTGCATCAACAAGGAAAAACTCTTAAAAAACCCAGTGGGAAAAAGTGAGAAACCTTGGGGAGAACTAGGGAAACCCACAGGGAGCTGCTTCCTTAACATGAATGTGAAGCTGATTCCACAGTAAAGGAGCTTGGTAGCTAAATGCTCTGCCGCCGACAGTGATTTTTGAGACCGTAGGAACCACCAGACGTCTGGCGTTTTGTGAGCGCAACGCTCGACTTGGTTGATATGACACTAACGTGTCTTGGAGATAGGAAGACCTGCTACCTGCTAGTGCCCCTTAGCGTGGTGTCCCCTGCAGCTGTATTTTGCAGTGTATGCACTGCTTTTGACAGCTGCAGGAGCGCTACAAGCTAAATGGTTTGATATCTCTGCAACACTTAAGCAGTCGTTGTCTACTGTAGCCCTAAATTCCAGCCTGGTTTAGCCCCAATTCAGATCTCAATCCCGTTTAGCTGTGATGGAATTATAGTGGTATTCAGAAGGCTATAATTATCTTATGTGTCAAACTAGTCCTCAAAGTGCTGGTGTAGCTTCAGGTTCCATTTCCAACTAAGCAGTAAGTTGGAAATGACTCCACCCATTTCCTCAAGTGAGTCCAGTCTCAGTGCTCTTGCTTGGTTTGAAATAAAACCTGCTGCCACACCTGGTGACGCCCCTGACTTAGGTGGATTCTTTGGTGAAAAGTTTGAGAACCACTGCTCTCCTGCTATCCCTGGTGCTTTTGGTCTCAATGGACATCATAGAAGTAACTGCTTTATATTTCTGAGATTACTGTGGCTTCGAACAAGTATCACTAGCTGTCTTGGTTTGAATAATAATAGAATGCATTATGTGATAAATATTCTTATCTGAACTTTTTAGGTCGTGTTCGCACCAAGCAGCCGCTGTCCACTGCCGGAAGTATTTCAAGTCAAGTGGACTCGCGAGGACGAAGCCGCTCTAAGATGGTGTCCCAGTCCCAACGTAAGTCTGCTACTGATCCACAAATGCATGCTCAATACATCATGACGAACAGGTGAAGGTGGAGTGGCACTTTTGGTGGAGTTTGATCATGTGTTGCCCAAGAGGGCAATAAGCTCCATGTAAATATTTTTGTGCCTTTAGGTTCGGACGAATCCGATTGCACACCAGGTATTTTGTCTGTGTGTATATCTCTGTGTTCACATTGGGACTGAGGCCCTCAAACTGTCGCTACTGTTTTGTTACAGTACTTTGTACTGAGGTGTGGGAGTGTGTTGTAGCCTTGCATGCAGTGTCACATTACTGGTACAGTCACTACTGCTTTAGTCTGGTTCAGACTCTAAAAGGTCCTTATAAAACCTTTAAAATGATGTTATTCTAGAATTACCCAAACCTTAGCTCTGCATCTTAGATGTGACAGAGCTGTTAATTTAGTTTAAGGAGATAATCTGTGGCCAACATATGTCAGCTACTTCATTTGGACTATGAGATGGATATTTTATTTATTTTGTTAGTCTTGTCATGGTGGCTGACTTTGCTTCATGCTAGGGCTGCAGCTAACAAATTGCACATTCATTTTAGTTTTAAACAGAAACAGTTTTTCAAAGATGGTAGTTGAGGACCTTACATTACAAGGATGTGCACATTTTTTGTGAACGGTTTTGACTCTAGGTATTTTGAAACCTTGCATCAACACTTTTGAATTCGGATTTTCTCTCACTGGGTATTTTATTTCACTGTCTTTGGGTCATATGTATGAGTTGTTGCAGCCCGACTCAAAAACATGATGTGACTGGTGTTTGTAGATGTACATGCACTGCTTTATCATCACAGCTGGTGAAGTTTGCTGAATGTCTCAGTTTTAGAAGCTAAAATGAATTAACATCATGCCTTCATTTGTTCTTTAAGGCCTGATCACATTGTTCTTTGTGCTTCATGGCGCTTTTTTGTGCACATAATGGTTTTAACATGATTGGTTTAATCTGCTGTTCTTCCCTGGGCTCTGCTTCCCTCGTTCCTCCCATGGCCTTTATGGCTCAGGATCTCAGTCGGCTAACCCTGTTGGTGGTAAGATTAAAATGCTACGATTTACCTGCTTTTAAGTCTATTCTTTCTCTGCCCTGGTGTTCTGCCCTTTCTAAATGTGCACAAAAAGGTCACTCTCTGCAACTCCCTATTTTACACTGGAGCACTTTTGAATTCACACAATGTGGCAGTTACTGCTTTTTTTTTTTTTTTTTAAATCTTATTTTAAAAACCTATGTATAATTACAACACCCATCAGCTGCAAAAGGTGTTAATCTTAGAAGTTTGTGTGCCTATATAATGTATATTTACACTTTTTGTAACTTGTGTTTTGTGTGAAATGTCGCTTGTAGTTTAGACATTTTTTGTAATGGAAGTTTGCACCCTTAGAACCCACCACAAAATACTCTCTTAGTAGATTTATATTTGTTGAGTCACATTGCATTTTATTATAGCAGGGGTGTTGAACATACATGCAATGCTCAAGAAAATCTTTACCTTAAATTGTGTTCAAATATTATTCCCTTATGTTGAACATGCCATGATAGCCACCCTAATTATAGCAATAATTTAAAATCTAGGAAAACCGTGAATACCTCGAGAAAAGTTTTATCCGTAGACCAGCTCTCAATATTTTAAATTCGGCCCCCCATCCAAAAATTATTGATCCCTGCTTTGTAGGAAAGCACAGGTGTAAGCGTGTTAAAGAGTGGAGAGTGGGGAAAAACTGGGGGCAGTACAGAACCACCCACTGTTCTTTTTGCTTTGTTGTATCCACTATTTAGGCTCTTAAGCTTTTGGTTTAACATTGTTGACACAATAAAAGATTTGTTGTTGTTGTTTCAGCTCCCCTCTATATTCTTTCCATTTGCGTTTAATTGAAAGGCATCATTCTATTTTGTTATAAAATCTTGTTTATTGTCTCCCCTCTAAAGCGGGCAGTCGGAGTGGTTCCCCTGGGCGTGTCCTGACCACAACAACCCTCAGCACCATGAGCTCTGGAGCCCACAGAGTCCTGGGCGGGACCACACCGGACAGCCGCAGACGCAGCAGGATCCCCCGCAGTCAGGGCTGCTCCCGGGACTCCTCCCCCACACGCCTTTCTGTCGGTAAGAAACTACTCAAGTGTTGAATATGCCCTAAGCATTCATATCCTCGATACACACACACGAAGTACGTACACGTGCACAATTTAAAGATTACATTTTTCATTTTTATAATCTTTTAAAAGGCAGCATTCACTTCTTAATATGAAATGGGTTAATTCAATTGTGATTGTAACCGTTTGCTTTACATTAAAGATGTGATTTGCCTCTGGCTGCTATATACTGATCCATCAATCATTACATAGGTTGTACTTGAAATCTCGCCACTGAAAGGATATACAAAATATCATATCTGCATCTCCATTAGGGACCGACCAAAGTGTCAACTGATTTTGAAATGATGTACATTTGCCAAATATCATTTTAACGATAAGAACTTCTAGAATTCAGTCAATGTTATTTATTTTTATTAATTATAAAAGTGGGGCATTAAACTATCTAAAAAATTCCTAATGACCGCTGCCCTAACAATTGGATAGAGCTCACCTGTTTTTTTTTACGTTGCCGCAATGATACAGTGAGAGCATTGTGGACTATATATATTGTAATACATATCGCGGCAATGCACACTCCTAATGTACTGGTTTATACACAGACCAGAGGGATCTGGAGGCAGCACCCGGAGTTCTTCAGGCTCCTATATATCGGCCCCTATCACAATAACATAATAGAATAATAGTAAATAGGTTATATATGTAAATGTAAATCTATTACTCACAATCATACAGGAAATATACCTGCACTAAAAAGGGTTGATTAATTAAATGTCATAATGTTGAAAGTAGACCTCACCTTTCTCTCCCTTCTCCCTTTGTGTTTGTCGTGTCTGTTTGTTCCCTATAGCTCCCTCCAGTCTTAGTAGTTCTATCTACAATGGGGCTAGCAGAGGAGGTAAGATTCCATCCTGAGACTTACTGTTCCACCAGTCCATCTACAGCATTGAAATATCCCTCTCATAATGCCATTCTCTAACACCGTCCTGCCATTAATCTCACCATGAGCTCACTGACACGTTGCACCAGTCTTGTGTGCGTCCGTGGCTGTTTGCCTGCGGCGCTGGGTGCTGATGATCCCACTTGTCGCTGTCTGTGCTAACCTGTAGTCCATGGTCTTTGAATGAAACCCATGGCGCAAATGGCAAAGCTGCATCGGGGCTGTGTGATTAACGCTGATTGGCTAGGTAGATGCTGGAGCTGACAAATGGAGCAATGAACAAACGTTGATTGCGGAGTCTGTGTTATAAATGCCAATCCTCAATCCTTGTCCTTCATGATCTCACAATTTCATGAAGATGCTTTCTCCTGTTTTGTCGGTCACTTGTGCAAAGCGTTGATTGCATGTAATGTATGTTAACGTATATATGTCTATGGCTTGGATCCCTCTGGGTGTATCTTGGTTGAAAAAAGCAAACTTAAAGTGACATATCTTTCCACATCGCTTTAAATCTGCTCCCATCAAGATCATTTGTACCATGTATCACCCACTGGGACCTGATGTCGTGTGTCTTGCCGTCTTTGATCTCTCGCCTCAGCTGTTCTCCACCGACTTTGTCCTGTTTTGTCTTGTGTGTTTTATTACTTTCGTTTTCTGGTCCTCTCCTTGCGGCCTCGACTGTGTGCCCGCCCCTCTTTTCCTGTGTGGCATTAGCGCGGGGAAGCCGTATTCCGCGGCCCAGTATGAGTCAGGGTTGCAGCAGAGATGCCAGCAGGGAGAGCAGTCGGGACACCAGCCCGGTTCGCTCCTTCACACCTCTGGGTGAGTAGTTGGAGTGGACACGTGCCAAGCAGGGATCAAGAATTAGGATTAGAAAGAACGTTTCATTAAGCTGAATATCACTAAACAATCAGATGAAGCAGATGAAAAGTGAAGCACAGAGTAGGTCATACATTTGGAGACCACATGTGTCATTAGATACTAGATTCCAGTGTATTCATTTTAGTCCAATGATTTTAACATTCCAGATGTCTGTTGCAAGAAGCCGGTATAGTTCAAACATCTTTTCAGCAATTTTCAAAAAAGTGTAATTTTCAGTGTTTTGAATTTTTAAAAATAGATTTTTTTTCCCTAATCTCACATATCCATCCATCCATCCATTTTCTTCCCTTTAATCCATTTCTGGGTCAGGGGGATGGCAGTCAGAGATGCCACCCAAGTCTCATAGCACCAGCCCCTAATCTCACATATTATATTTATATTATAGTAGACGTGTGCAGATTCAATCTTTTCAAAGTGATCCAAGCACAGTTCAACCTGGTTCGATTTTGTTCTGATTTTATACAAAATCTGTGATTTAGATGACCAAGGTGTAACTGAAATCTTGTGAGGGCCATGACCAGCTGCAGTCGATGTGTTTTGTACCTCGCCTCCCATAGCAGCGACCTACTGCAGATACAGATTATACCTCATAAATCCATTGTAGTTGTGTATTATTTAAAACATTGATGATTGTGTTTAAGCAAAGATCATCACACGCAGTAATTGACAATAATACAACTGCTGTATATCATTATCTAGACGTTGTGTGTTTTTTGTTTGGTGAAGTTTCTGGCTTTACTTTAAGTGTCTTCTGGTGTCAGTAGTTTGCTGCACTCTGCTAGTTTCTGTGTTGAAGCAGTTAGCAGTGGTTCAGTGTTTGACGTTACTTTGACAAAAGGCCTCTGAACTCCTTCTGTTTTTTATTTGAACATTTGTGATCGCTCAGAATAGTTTCTCCCGAACCAGCATTCATCTAGAAACCTTCCTTTCTTCTTTCTTGTGCATGTATGCTTTTGGTAAAACTGTGTGTATTTGAATCTTGGTTGCAGCGACGCGGAGCTACTCTCGCTCCACTGGGGCTCTCCACACACCTGACTCTTTCGGGGCAGCAGGTGAAGGCTGAGTACCTTCCTTTTCTGTAATTAACCCACCTACTTTCTTTTTTTTCTGTTTCTTTTATCTACATGTTTCTCTTCACATTTACTTTGTAGTTAATTATTGTTTTTGCTCTAGGGCGCCCTCCAGTGGAAATGCATGGTTCCACACATATGAGTTGCAGTCATTCTGTCCGTTTTACCATTGCATTATTTAGCTCCAGTCCGTGTCCATGGAGCACCAGTTTTATCCCATTCTTTATCCTCCGTTGAATCTAACAGGGCATCTCATTGACCTGCAGTATTTATGGGAAGTGGTTTAAAGTGTGTGTTTAAGTTCTAACATTTAGTTTCTCTTTGTGTAGGCTCAGGGTTTGGGATCAGCCAGTCCAGCCGCCTTTCGTCTTCAGTCAGCGCCATGCGAGTCCTGAACACCGGCTCTGATGTGGAGGAAGCTCTTGCAGATGCATTGGTATGAACAAATGCAAAGACAATTATTTGTTGTTTAATTTGTGACCAGAGTGTGTATGGAGTTGTGTGTGTTTTGTAAATTAACCCATACTTCTACCTCTGTTTAACGCTATCAGCTGTTGGGAGACATGCGATCCAAGGTCAGCCTATTCTCCCGCCTCGTACCTGTGTGCTTTGAGTCTTATCGTAGTGCATGGCTATTCTCTTGTCTACACTTTTCTCTCGTAATCAATAGGTTTTTTCCACATTATGTAATAATGTGTTTCTTTTATATTTGAAAATTAAATGATTATTTTTAATCAGATGGGGAGGGCAAGGTAAACTGAAATCCATTGTTTTGAAAGAAATTTGCAAATGTTTTTATTTAATTTTTGCCCTATTACATTTATGTCTTTCCACTGACAGCCTATTGGTGAAAGACTAATGAAGGGAGAAACATGACAGCATTAATGTTGATTGATGTAGACAGTGATGTAGATATTAACCCCAAACCATGTTCATTTTAAACCAGGGGTGACCAACATTAAGGCCCTGGAGGGCTGAATGAGTAGTGTATTTGAATACATAAATAAATGTTATTTATATAAATATTTGGATTTCTGGTGAGATTTACGGAACATTGTGTAGTCAATAATTCCCTTTGACTAACGTGTTTCAAAATGGATGCAGAAGTAAGGCAAACGATGTTCAAGTTTAACATCTGCATTTAATTATCTTTACAATCAGATACAGAATGTTCAACAGAAGTGCTCCTATTCTCTGCCTGGTCTTTCCCTGTCCGTGCCCTGTCCTGTCTGACCTCAAAAAACACACACACACGGGCTCATGAGGGAGACTTCCGATGACGTCATCCTTATGCGTCCAAGGGTGGAGGTTTCCGGGTGTGCTGACGTCCCCTATCCACTGGGAGGCGTCAGAATGCAGTTGGTGAATCTCCCAGTCTGCCTCAAGATCAGGTTCTGTACTTTTGTCCTCGTCAAAATGTTTATTATTTAAAGTTAATAATTCGCCCTGTTTAAACAGCATTTTATCTTTATGACTCATGTCTGATTATCCTGTGTCCTTGGGGTTTTTCCTGAGTGCACAGAGGTCTTTCTGGCTATGATGTTCAAATGGTCAAATATTAAAATATACAACAATTGCTATTCAATTACAAAAAATAAGACATAAGAGAAGTTATCTTAGAAATGTGATGGCTACACCAAAACAAAACAAAACCTGTGCAGGTAGCATGCAATGGCAAGGCTCTACTGATTGTTTGTCCTTCTCATGGATCAACTACTTGTTGTGGATTTTGCCATTAACTTCCTAGTTTAAGAACAGCAGGTTCAAAAGTACAGAAACATTGAGATGTTGGACTAAAGTGCATTGAAACATTTAGAAAAGAATTAATTTCAATTTTGGGCTCATCCTGTAATTTCACCCGAAAGCCAAATATCCCTTGTTTAGTAGATAGTGTATAATCTTACAGATTCACCTTTAAAATTAAAACCAAAACATGAGCAATTTGGACAACTAATACAAAATATTTGCACCGCTGGCTGAAAATGTTTGGATACCCCTGTTTTAAACTCTTAAATTAAAAATTTTCATTTGACTTCAACCCATTATAAGAGTCCTATGAAAAGTCTTTTTGTTGTTGTTTTCCTATAGAAGAAGCCAGCACGGCGGCGGTATGAAAACTATAGTATGTACTCGGATGACGATGCGAACAGTGATGCGTCCAGTGCCTGCTCCGAGCGCTCGTATAGCTCCAGAAATGGAGGCGCCATCCCAACGTACATGAGGCAGACTGAAGACGTGGCTGAGGTCAGACTCCTGTGACTGCTACACGACTATAGCAAGAGATTTTCCTCATTATCTGTTACATTTCATATCATGACGAACGTTTGGGTCAATTGACTTTTTTATATCAGTAATTTATTTTCCTTTTTAAATTGGCTTTTTAACAAACGCCATCTTACTCGTTGTACATATAAACAAATTAGTTTCTACATATATTCCAGGTCCTGAACAGATGTGCTAGCGCTAACTGGTCTGAACGAAAAGAGGGTCTTTTGGGTTTACAAGCTCTGCTCAAGAATCAACGCACTCTCAGGTCAGCCACACTTGAAGAGACTTTTTCTATCTTGTTCCCGATGTAACTTGTGCTAATTTATTCTTGTAATAATCTTTATAGTCGGGTGGAACTGAAGAGACTATGTGAAATTTTCACTAGAATGTTTGCTGATCCTCATAGCAAGGTATGGCTGCATGCAACACACAGCCTGGTGCACAGGGTCACATGTCTCATATCATCTTTCCCTGTGAAGTTCATCTCATGTTTCTTCACTCCTCTTCACTTTACCGGATTCTGCCAAAAAACGCACACACACAACCAAGAGAACCATAAAAGTTCCTAAATGAACCATAATTGGGGCATGCAAATGAGTTCTGTTTCTAACGGCATGTCGCGCTGAGTGACCTCACCTCGCGCTGATCTGTCACCGTCCGTTCCTCTGCTCGCCAACGCTCGTTGTAGTTCTGGCAACATTTGCCTCTCACTCAAACACAGGTTTGGGTTTCTAACTGAGACTAACCAGCTGCGGTTCGTCTTTTCTAACACCGTTTGAGCACCGTTGCCTCACTCACGTCGTAAGGTGCGCTCGTTTTCTTTGTTAGTTTTTCTTTCTTTGACGATTTGATGACTTTCAGCGAGACTCCGGCAGGGTGTACGGCACGGCAGAATCCGGTATAAGCTCGGCGTCCTTCAAGGTATTTCATCTCATGGTGGACCATCAGTGCTTTCCTCCTTCTGCCCTACAACATTGTGTTACATATCAAACATAGTTTTAATGTTGAAAGTACTTTTAGCTTGAACGTCACATTTCAGGACAACAGATTAAACTTTTACATTGTTAGAAAGCTAACGGCCGTGTCTCTCTCTCCTCCATGCGACCCAACTTTGGAACTCTCTCTAGAGAGTAAGTTTGGCCTCCTATTTGTTTGATCAAAATTGCTTAGTGATCAATTAATAACAAGTTGCCAATCAGATGCTTAACACTCACATACTAACCTGATTATTGCTTGAATTTATATTATCCTACACCTCATGAAGTTAGTCATTTGTCATGTTCTAATTTTAATGCAAGTAATCAAATTTTAGATATATTTGTTTTTGTTGGGTTTGAGGGTGTTGCTGACTAAGAGTGAAAAACTACTAACCGCTTGTTCACTGGATCAGCTTCAGTGCCTGGTGTGAGTGTGTGTGTGGTGTGACTTTAGCGATGATGAATACTCTGCCTCTGACTGTGTCCTTGATGTTCAGGTTTTCAGTATGTTCCTGGAGACTCTGGTAGACTTTATCCTGGTGCATAAGGAGGACCTGCTGGACTGGCTTTTTGTCCTGCTCACTCAGCTACTCAAGAAGATGGGCGCTGACCTCCTCGGCTCTGTACAGGCTAAAGTTCAACGGGCACTGGATGTCACGCGGTTAGTTGTAATCTCCAAGTTTAGCCATTTGTCGGTAAATGTTGGAGTTAAGTGGACATTTTCAGATTCATGTCTTTGTTTACTTTTTCCAGAGAGTGTTTTCCCAATGATCTCCAGTTTACAATCCTCATGCGGTTCACTGTGGACCAGACACAGACTCCAAACCTCAAGGTAAAACCTTGTACTTTAGCCAAAGCAGAAATGGCTGAGTTCGGTTACTATGGAAACTGCTCAAACTAATTTGGTGCTGTTGCTGCTGAGCCCCAAAACCCCACTCCCTGACTCCTGGGCTGTGATTGGATAGCTGCTGTGATGATCTCTGGCTGTCCATGTTGACCCTTTTGCCTTCTTTCCATTTCATCCATCTTTGTCTCACTTGTTAGATTGATTATCCTAATACTCCATATATATATATATTTTTTGTCCATTTAGCTTTTCCCCTCCTAACTATATTGAAGTTATTTTCAGCTGAGCACTATTTTATCTTCCCTTGGTAAATTACAATTGGGTATTGTTACTTTATGCACGTTAGTATTTGCTGCTCTTGGTTTTTACTAATTTAAACTTATTTGAATCTTAAGCCTTCATCTCATTTAACCCTTTGAATCCCATGTAACTTGGCTGCCCCAATAATGGTTGCCCTCGAGTCTGTTTTTGCGTTGATTGACACGGTGCTTCTCCTCTTTCTCTCTGAAGCCCGGGCAGAGCTCGTGTTGCGGGCGTGGCAGGGGAGGTGCCAAGGTAAAATTGTTTCCCCCCAGAGCGTGGCGCCACGCCTGCTCTCTAGACGAGCAGGCCGCAGCCTGGAGCCAGTCCTCCCAGGTCAGTGCGCTCCGGGGGGAGCAATTTGTGCCCCAGTGGCACATTGCAGCTTTGTAGCTTGGACACTCTCGGAGGGGTCTTTGTGGTCAGACATTAAAACGTTTACGGACGAAATGTACAGTTCAGGAGTCATCTGTGGAGTTTTGGAGCCTGCTGTATCCATTATTGTTTTTGTTTTGTTTTTTATTGCTTGTCTTCTTGCTTCCAATCAATTGTTGACTTTTGCTGAGCATGAACATTAGTTTTGTTTGGTACATCTGATGAATGCACATTTGGTTGTGTGGATCAGACATGTTTCATGCTTCTTTGTTTATGGGTCATTGTTTGGAATGTTTAATGAGGACTCTACCTCATACTTCTATCACTTGCCTCACTTGCAGGTAAAGGTGGCTATTCTGAAGTACATAGAGACACTGACATTACAGATGGAAGCTCCCGACTTTGTGAACTCCAGCGAGACGAGACTGGCTGTGTCCAGACTCATTACCTGGATGACTGAACCAAAGAGCCCGGAAGTTCGAAAAGTAAGTGAAAGTCTAGAAGATGTTTTTTTTTTAAATCCTTTTGTGAAAAACACAAGGTCACATAAGATCTTGTGTGTTTGTTCAGGCAGCTCAAGCCGTGCTCATTGCCTTGTTCCAACTCAACACCCCTGAGTTCACTATGCTGCTTGCTGCGCTGCCCAAAACGTTTCAGGATGGAGCCACAAAATTGCTTCAAAATCATCTGAAGAACACCGGCAATGTAGCACAGGTAAAACAAATGTGTACAGATGTGTTTGGTTTACCAGCATCTGCATATTTTGAGGGGAAAAAATAAGTAGTTTGTGATGTTATGGGTTTTTTAAACAATCTTGATCATTCAGGCACAAATTGGAAGCCCTCTTACTCGCCATACGCCCAGATCTCCAGCCAGTTGGTCTAGTCCAGTCACGTCGCCAACAAACATCTCTCAAAACACCCCTTCACCAAGGTACTTTTCATATGGCCTTCTCTTAACAAACAAAAGTATTGGATTAATCAATGATCTGTGCTGTTTGTGTGTAGTGCTTTTGACTACGACACAGAAAACATGAACTCTGAGGACATCTACAGCTCACTGAGAGGTGTGACTGAAGCAATTCAAAACTTCAGTGTTCGCAGCCAAGAGGACATGAACGATCCACTTCAACGGGAAGACGTAAGTAAAAACTCTCATTGTGAGGGTTTCTCTCAAGCTGGCAACAGGAATTTCAGAAACTACTGCTGATGACAAAAACGTGGCTAAGTGGAAAGCACTCTCTGGGTTCAAATCCCGGTCGGAACAAGGCCTTTCTGAGTGGAGTTTGCATGTTCTCCCTGTGTATTCGTAGGTTTCCTTCAGGTACTCCGGTTTCCCCTACCACTAAAAACAATGGGTCTAGCATGCGCCTCCTGTACTGGCGACCCTGCTCCCATCTCTGTGTGGAGTGAGAGGACAGTTGCCCAAAAATAACAATTGTAAACCGCTTTGTGACTGGTCTGTGAAAGGCGGTATATAAATAAAGATTGCTTACTTACTTACTAATAGGATATTTACAATATGTAGATGTATTAGCACTAAGACCCAAAAAAAGTGAATATTTCCATATTCATATATTGTCTGCAAACACAGGGACCAGTTTTATTTTCAAGTTATGTTCCTAAAAATGAAGATCTGTGTCCAAAACAACAAACATTTCGCTATAGTAAATTTACAAACCTGCAGATTCACTTGTTTGATACAGCTCTCCACATCCTAATGATTGGAACATGAAGAATGTTACATCCAGACAGAGCGCTGTGTCCAAACGTTTAGAAAATACATGTTTTACCGGTGATTAGTGATTTCCCCCGCTCGAAGACTGTTTATGTGAAACCAGCTGTTCATGAGCTGCATCCAAAAAAAATTAATATTTTATCCTTTTATCCTTCTCCGTTTATGAAATAATGTTTGTCTGGTTTTAAAACATGATACTCAAGAGACCAAGCCATTACTTTGGCTGCAGTAGTGCAAGTCTATAAACAATGATTTGAATTTGGACTGTGCAATAAATTGATTTCATAAAGGTCATTCTAATTTAATCATTTATTTATTTAACAATGGTGTAATCAAAAATGTATTAAATTAATGTGCTTTGTTTTGTCTGCAAAACGAGCAGAAAAGACACTTTGCCTAATAAAATTTTAGTTAATAACAGGTTTTGAAATGGCCGTGTAATTTTAGTACATTTGCTTATTTACTGATAAACAAGTCCATATGTAAGTTCCAGGACCTTACATTAGGTCCGATTGCAGCACCTCCCATAACCCCCTTTAAGGGCATGCTGTATAGAGGTGTAACCTTTTGACATTTCCCCCACAAGAAACATTTGAAATCTAAGCTTACAAGCCTCAGTCAGCCATTTGGGGCGCACCTGACGCAACGACCTCACAGTAACCAAAATGGCATGATCCACTACGTTTCTATTGTATTTTTATTTCCAAATCACTGACATTACTGTACATCGTAGTGGGTTCTCTTAACAGTGTATATGCGAAAATGTATAACAATTTAATAGTCTAAACTGAACGTTGGGTAATTGTAGGGCGGAAGTGATTGCAGAGCCTCCGATGCAGTGGAAGGTGGGCGCATGGCGCTGGACAACAAAACGTCTCTCCTCAACACACCTCTGCTTTCATCGAGTCCACGAGGAGGCCGCGAGCACTTTGACTCTCCGATCAAGCACAGCCGCAAACACACCAGCCTGGACGACTCGGAACTCACAGATGGTACTCTCTCTGCATACACGTTTAGATACTAGTGACAAATTACATCTAATCCAAATGTTGTTTTACAGAGAGAAGCTTGGATCAATCTGAGCTAGTGGCAGAGCTGTTGAAAGAGCTCTCCAACCACAACGAGCGGATCGAGGAGAGAAAGGCCGCACTGTGTGAACTGCTCAAACTCATTCGTGACAATACCCTGCAGGTTTGGGACGAACATTTCAAAACCATCTTGCTGCTGCTGCTCGAGACTATGAGTGACAAAGAGGTAGAGTAAATTCCTCACCACCACGACAATGTCTGTACTGCGACGCCTTTCCGTACTTACTTATGTGCACTTTTTAGCATTTGATACGAACGCTGGCTCTACGAGTTCTGAGTGAGATTCTTGTGAAGCAGCCCTGGAGGTTCAAAAACTATGCAGAACTCACCATCATGAAAGCCCTGGAGGCCCACAAAGACCCACACAAGGAGGTAGGGTTGTAACTTTAATATTTTTAATGGAAGTATTGTTCTGTTTTTTTGTAATATTGTTTGTCTGTAGGTGGAAAAAGCAGCTGAGGAGACTGCAGCGATGTTGGCCCAGTCCATCAATCCAGACCAATGTATCAAAGTGTTGTGTCCCATCATTCAGTCTGCAGACTACCCCATCAATTTAGCCGCCATCAAGATGCAGACTAAGGTCATCGAAAGGATTCCTAGAGAGGGCTTGATATCAATGTTGCCAGAGATAGTGCCGGGTCTCATACAGGTATAAACTGCTGCTTAGAAAATGTTTATGCAGTTTTCCCATTTCTTGAGTTTAACAGTTTTACTTCTGGATAATTAGGGATATGACAACTCTGAGAGCAGCGTACGAAAAGCCTGTGTGTTCTGTTTGGTGGCAATTTATGCAGTGATTGGCGAGGACCTCAAACCTCACCTCAGCCAACTATCAAGCAGCAAGGTATGGTCTATGCCTTCATGAGCACTTAAGTCTGAAATAGTGTTTGATTTAAATCATCTTTTTTACTGTTTACAGCTGAAGTTGTTGAATCTCTACATCAAGCGTGCCCAATCTGGCTCCAGTGGAAGTGATCTTGCTTCAGAAGGCCTATAGGTGTCTCAGTGGCCGAAGCAGGGCTACTGCAGATCTGCACCTCTGCCCTCTAGACAGGAACTTTCATTTTTTCTCTCAGACTGAGCAAACTGCTTCATGAACCATGCTCTGTAGGTACATGCAGTCCAAATACATTTCCTGTCACACAGAATAGTGTCTCATCTGATTTCACAGATTGAAAGTTATAGAGTAAGACACTTTTGTCTTTCCTTTCCCCAAGCAAATGTACGTCCTCTGCTTTTCTGATTTTCAACGTCTTCGAACCGTTGTACTTTCAACTGGAGGTGGTGCATGGTTACCATTCGTTTAAAGATTAGTAAGCCAAAACAACTCCAACAGTGTTGTATCTAGTTTTTGAACCATGTCTGGGGTCAGGAAGACAAGAATGTATTTTTTTTATTTGTCTTAATTGGATTAATTTAACAAACAAAGTTTTAAAAGTAGTCATCTGATACATACAATGGATCACTTCTGGACAATGAGGGATCATGTCACTTTGCCAATTTAACATTGTTTTCCCCAACAAATGTGCGGATTAGCCTCAATGATATGACCAAATTTTCATAGCACTAACGCAATGACATTGGTTCATTCCTGCTCAAACAACACATAGGTGGAGGCAGAAGTCATGTGCTTGGCTATGCATGAGACACACACTTTTATCTGAATAATATTGAAAATATGGCAGGTTTAAATTATCGTTAACAGTGTCTGCCCTTTTTACAGTAATATGTGGAACTAGTTACTCCCAGCTCATAAAGTTAAAAGGAAATGAGTTTAAAGCTTGTTACACAAAGTTGTCAAAACATGGCTTGTTATCACGGAACAGATATGTATCTATATATAGCATTGGAATATCGGATAAACAATGTCACTCATTTATACTCTTGGGGGGTGTATGTGCACCCACTCCCATTATTTTAATTCTGTTGCGTGTGCAGTAGACTCACGCTTTATTTGAAGAAATGTTTTATTTACAGCTCTGAAACTCACCATCATCCTTTCTTTCCTTTCCTTGTAACATTCTAGTTTTTACTGTTTATTCTGTGCATTTACAAATGAGTGCTTACAATAAACTGAATAACTTGTACAGATACAACTGATCATTTTCATTTCATTCTATGGGGAAAGCGCAGTGTTTGTTCGTCATAAGTGCAGATAGTTCATTTCCAGTGTTGTGGAGTAACGGAATACATATACACAGAATACATATCCGGAATTCTCACTTTTAGTGTCATACGGAATACAATAACAAAACTAAAGGGAATACATTTCTTTATTGGATCATGCAGCTGACACATTTTTATATCTTGACACATTAGTGCCATTGTGAGATAATATAGTAGATTATACAAATGAGCTTATTCAGAATTTGGTACCCTGAAAATGCAATTGGTTACAGAATGCCGGCTGTTCCAAAGTATTCTCAACACTTAGTGTGACCTATGTGTAAAGTGTAGAAATGACTTCTAAATAGTTAAAATCGGGACTGTTGCATTAAAGTAACCCTTTTCACGTTATGCAACAGTTATTTCAGATCCAGGTGCCACATTTCATGTATGTAACTGTTGACTGCTTTAAATTTAGCTGCAGCTGAAGAGTCCCAGATAAACTGCACCAGAGACAGTGGACCAATGCACAATTGTATTAATGTCTTAAATATAATAACGTGTTTTCAACGCCTGACACCACGTGAGCGCTTGTCTTATAATAAAGACGACACTACTGTGCAGTCATTTTTTTCTATGAATGTGTTGTCATTACAAATGCTGCATGTGGTGAAGTCATGAGGCGGATTCAGTGCTAAAATAGCGTGTGCTCAAAGCTTTGGAAAACACGCAGGGGAACAGTTCAGGGTCCGACAACTGCAGGATAATCATTAACCTGTGCGTAGTGGAGACGCCTTGCGCAATATACGGGTGTTGCTGAAGTCAAAATGGCAATAATGATATTTTTAGGGAGTCTGGAGCTTCTTGGTACCGGTTTGGGTCGACTCCACTGGACTGCAGCTTAAAGCACAGCTGTCACGGAACACAACATGTTGTTTTGGCAATCGTATACGGAAAACTTCCGTTCATCAGTTGAAAAATATGGGGACAGCTACACCGGGTATGTACCCGCTCACGGATTTATTAACCCCGCACCTAGTTATGAAAGTTATTTGTTTGGATTCAGTTGCTACGGCGACATGAGTGTCGTGTCTGTGTTACATTTGTCTAATATGGACCTTCAAATGTCACTGGTTTTACAGTAAAGGGAACGTGCTTTTTAGTTAACATTTTTGATATATGTTGTGTATTTTCTGTTGCGCACAATGACGGCAGCACGGAGGCCACTGATTGGCTGAATGGGTCGAGCTTGGCACAAGGGGCGCGCGTTGATTGGCTGAGCTGCTGGCATCTTCCTGAGGCTGGTGGTGGCAGCCGCAGGCTTCTAGACTGTCCGTGTGAATTATAGGAGGCCATGTTGATGGCTGGTTTCGTGCTCTTTGGGTGGATGAAGGATATCGCCTCTGTGGGCTAAAGGCTTTGTGGCGGTCGCAGCGATGAGAAGAAGAGCGCAGCTGGAGATGGTTCACGGAGCGACAGACGGGAGCTGCTCCTAAGCGGACGCCAGATTCAGAGCAAGTGAACTTCATGCTAGTTACCCGCAAAGCTACAGCGAGAACTAGCTGCTACAGCCATGGACACTGCGTAGATTCACTGTAGATGACAGCTGCACACCTATCTCCTCATGTTATATCTGTTGGATGTTGTTGAGCCAACATCGCTCCTCTGCGCTCGGCTGTGTGCAGGCTTTCACCTGCATGTTGTCTTTGTATGCTAGCTAGCAGTTAGATAACATTAGCAACAGCCCATCTTCAGTCACGACTAACAATTGTTGCTGAGTGAATTATTCCGTATGGTTATATCCAGACTTCCATCAAGTAAAGACACAACACCTTGAGTGTCAGAAGTGCAACAGATCCCTGTATTGGAGACATGGCGTTAAGCAAAATGCACAGTTTCCCCTGTCCAGTCTGTGCAGGAGCAGCTAACGTGTTAGCTGCGTAGCTTTGATCCTACAGCGTCTCCCTGAAAGCTGCCGAACCACTTCATACTTTGTCGATATCCAGAACCTGAGACAAGCTGGCGGCCTTACAAGTAGAAGCCGAGGACAAAGAGCTGGGGCCCATGACCTGGGTGCTGAAGATGGAGGACGCCACCATCGAGTCGGGGCTGGTGCACGACTTTGATGCCAGTCTGTCTGGGATCGGACAGGAGCTGGGAGCTGGAGCCTACAGCATGAGGTTAGAGATGGACGTGTCGATACCAGCTTCCTTGTAATCCAGAGAAAACCTCACACATGCCCGGTTTTTGATGTTATTGCCGGGACAGGGATATGGATCATCGAGGATAGCCTTGATGAAAAGTTGTGTTTGTTTACGTTACAGCATTCCCAGAAAAAGGGGTGTAAAAAGCATTGTCTAATAACCTTTGGCTCTAGTGTCAAGGGACAAAGACTGCACACATTTCCATGGCTTTACATGCAATACAACATGTATATATTTTACCATGTTGGCCAAAGAAGGCACTTTACTCGTGTCTCCAAATCTTAGTCCATGTGATGAAATTACAGAAGTTTGTAAAAGTCCCATTCCTATTGTTGTAACAAAGCCTGAGGCCATTATGACAAAACTTATTTTCTTCACCTTTTTTTTTTACTACAGACAGGGAGTACTACACTTCTTAATCAAACAAAATAAACCAAAAAAAGAGGTACAAGTTAACCAGTTACCAAGGTTTTATGTTTTGGAAAAGCTACAATTAAAATTAATTTCAGATTCAGCAAATTGCTCAATCGTTTAAAATAATTAGAATTCCTGCCAAATGAAAATGTGCAACAACAAAAAGTTTATCAAACCAATTTTGTTACAGCATCAATGAAGATGTTCTCGAGTGACATCCCTTTAGGTCACTAAATATTTATTAAATATGGGATTTATTTTGGCCAAAACTAAACACTTTGTTACCAAAATAAACATATATTCTAGTCCTACTCATCTTCCACTCGTCAGCCTTATTGGTGATGTAAGAGGTATGTAATCTAATGCAAGTTTAGTGCTCGAGTGATGTGTGTGAATTTGTGAAGATGGCATGTGTGGCTTCAGGGTCACTGGTGTTGGTGCGACATTATCTGCGAAGGGTATATGGCTGGGTTCAGCAGTTGGTAGGAACAGAATGTCTGCAACAGCCTCGGGTTTCAGGAAGCGGATGATTTCCCTGTTCAGCAAGAAGCAGGCACAGGTACCTAGGCTGACAGGATGTGGGTACCCTTGGCATGGAGCCATTGAGGAATATTTTTGAAGAGTTGAAGTTTATCATTTGTAAAAATCTACATATCATTTTGGATGCCACTCTGAATGTCATCCAGACGTGATCACACCCCTCTTCTGTGTACCCAGTGACACTCCTGCACTTGTCAGGGTGAGCTCAGGACGACCGGTTTGTCTTGTGTGCCTGCCAAATGTGAGATAATGTGTGATAATTTTCCTTGTAATGGACTTGCACATGTTTATACAGCACCACTCCATGGTTGTACCATTATGGCTTAAGCAACTATGTAATGTTCAAAGTAATGTTATATATGGCTCTTATGTCTCTGGTGTAGACAATTATTCCACAAGTTCCATTGTTTATGATTCAATATTTTGGATATTTCTGCCAAAATCAGACGTTCCAGTCATTATGGAAGAAAATATTTGGTGTTTTTTATGGAGACGCTCACATTCACCAACTGTTTCTCTGTTTTTACTGTGACTCAGTGATGTGTTGGCGCTGCCCATCTTCAAGCAGGAGGACTCCAGCCTTCCTCCTGAAAGTGAGACCAAAAATCCCCCATTCCAATATGTACTGTGTGCCGCCACTTCTCCAGCTGTCAAGCTGCATGACGAGACACTCACATATTTGAACCAAGGTAATGGCTCTGGGCTATGTGTTTTGTGTTTAAGGATGTTTACATAATAATTGCTTCTCCTCACAGGTCAGTCTTACGAGGTGCGCATGCTGGACAACAGAAACCCAGGGGAGTTACCTGAACTGAACAACAAACTGGTGAAGGTGAGGGTCTGTTATGGTCCAGACGAATGAATGTCACGCTAAAGCTTCTGTTTGCAGAGCACTGTTCGAGTGGTGTTTCATGACCGGAGGCTGCAGTACACAGAGCATCAGCAGCTTGAGGGCTGGAAGTGGAATCGTCCTGGCGACCGTCTCCTTGACATCGGTAATTGTCCCCTTTTGAAATATTGTAATACAAATTGTAACTGGTCGGACCTAAACTTATTGTTTGTGTGGTGCAGATATCCCTATGTCAGTGGGCATTGTGGAGCCAAAGACTCACCCCTCACAGCTCAACGCCGCTGAGTTCCTCTGGGACCTGAACAAAAGAGCCTCTGTTTTTGTGCAGGTGGAGGCCCATTATATTTACAGCCTTTTTGTTGGTTAGTCTTTCGATACTGGCTTACACTGCAACTGCACTTTTAATAGGTACACTGTATCAGCACAGAATTTACTCCCAGGAAACATGGCGGCGAGAAGGGTGTCCCCTTTCGAATTCAGATTGACACGTTCACACAGGGAGACGGTGGAGAGTACACAGAGCACCTCCACTCAGCATCCTGCCAAATCAAAGTATTCAAGGTTCGCTTATTTTAATATTAATAGAACAAATGTTTCCATTAGTTGTCCACTGAGTAAATATCTAAAAAAAATGTGTATATAGCCAAAGGGTGCAGATCGCAAACAAAAGACTGACAGGGAAAAAATGGAGAAAAGAAATGCACAAGAGAAGGAGAAGTACCAGCCTTCTTATGATACCACTATCCTTTCAGAGGTCAGTTTGTGGTGCTTTTGTGCAGGCACTTGACTCATGTTTTTGGCTAACATTCTTACTATGTCTCTCTAGACGAGGCTTGAACCCATAATTGAGGATGCAGGTGACCATGAGTTGAAAAAGTCCAGTAAACGAACACTTCCTGCTGACTGTGGTGACTCCTTGGCCAAAAGGGGCAGTGTAAGTTTCATGACATAACTTTCTGATTGATGATGTTCTCTATAATGTCCAGTGTTGTGCCAGTTACTCTAAAAATGTAATGTATATATGTTAGGTATAGTAATAGTTGTAACATATTTGAATTACAATATTAGCTGAAGCCCTTTACAAACAGCTCACACAGAGAATAGACTGTGGATCCAGATATTCACCGGCACCGGTGTAACTTGGGTATATTGTGTTTTGAATGCAGCTGTATGATCTCCGGACGAGAGGGGGGGTGAGGGGGGTGTTGACGTATCAGCACAGACGGTCAAATCAAAACACATAAACACAAAGGCCCTTGAAGGATCATCTCCAGATCAGAAAAAGTGCTTTGACTGAACAAACTGCCATAAAACTCTGGGTGCATGTTTGTAAAGGGCTTATGTTTACATTTTCTATTCCCAAGTTACGTTTAGTCCGAACATGAATTGTATTACACTGACATTGACCTAAGTTTTGTTTTGAAGACTTCTGTAAGCTTTGATTTTTGTCCCACCCATATTCTTTTAAACTTTTATCATATATTTTATTGTCCCCTTGCTATCTATTTTTGAACAAAACGCATTAATAAATGGATGTGCTTCTCTTTTCAGTGTTCCCCATGGCCAGACAACGCCTATGTCAGCACCAATCAGGCAGCTAGTCCCTCCTTCACCTCCACGCCTCTGTCCACTTACACGACACAATCATCCATACCTGACAGGTAGCTTGTTTGTAATCACTCACGAATCTTAAATATTCAATTTACTTTTAACATTTCCCTTTTAGTGATTCGTCCTCTCCCAATCACCAGGCAGACCAAGGCAGCTATGGCAGTTCAGAGGTTTGTGTTAACTTTAGTGCAGTGATATTCTTCATTGTTACTTCGTTAGGTCCACATCAGGTTAAATGTCGCTGCTGGTGTGCTTTCCTCCAGCAGTTAAGCCCCACTGCCTCAATACAGGACGCCCAGAAATGGCTGCTGAAAAATCGTTTTAACTCTTATACTCGACTCTTTTCTCACTTCTCAGGTACATTTAATCACACGTGTGTGATGATCTTGAAATGCAATGTTTAACCTAAAGATGTATTTTTTTTTTTTTGTGTAGGTTCTGATTTGTTGAAGCTAACTCGTGATGACCTAGTTCAGATTTGTGGTCCAGCCGATGGCATCAGGCTTTTTAATGCACTCAAATCAAGGTATGTGAACCATGCATTTTGTTGTGATATGAAGACATATTATTCTCTAAAAGTGTCTATTCTCAGGTCTGTGCGGCCTCGGTTGACGGTGTATGTTTGTCAGGAGTCGCCTCGGGAGAGCCCTCTGCTGGAAAGACACAATAATAGTAATGAAAATGGAGAACACAGCGTTCCCTCTAGTTTACACGGTAATTATGACACCACATGGCAATCTTAAGCCTGATGAAAGAATTGAGCTCCCGTCAATATTTTATTGTCGCTCATAAAAGATGGATAATGTTTTAGGATGGGCCCATATTCTGGTAACGTCTTAAAATGTCACACAGAAATGTGTGAACAGTTGTATAAACTTACATTGGGTCAAGTTTAGTGTTGTTAATTAGATCATTTTCTCTCTGATTTTTTCCAGTGTATCACGCTTTGTACCTAGAGGAGCTCACAGCAGTTGAACTTATCCGCAAGATGGCAGCCGTGTGCAGCCTGCCACTGGAAAAGATCCACCATGTGTACCGTCAGGGACCCACAGGCATACACATCCTGCTCAGTGACCAGGTAACCACCGCTCTCATTAAATAAGGGGGAAATTGTCTCACATTTGTTTCAGAAAAGTTGGAGTAATAAGAATCTCTTAATTATTGTTTCTTTTAGATGGTATATAATTTGACAGATGAGAGCTGTTTTTTGATCAGCTCTGTCAAAGGTATGTGTTCTCTTTTTCTTTTTATGCATTTAGAGAATTGTATTGTTTCATAAACTCTTGTTTGTTTCAGATGAAACTGGTGAAGGACTCCATCTCATCCTCAAGTAGTGCTTTGGACAAAGGCATCACTCAGTCTTGTCTTGGAGGAGAAGAACCTCTTTGTCCCCTTTTGTGCGCCTCTACTCTCCCTTCATGCCCCACACTCCTCCCTTTTTAACTGGGTGCTTGACTGAAAGCAGGGACTGACCTAAAGCCATGTAAAATGTTAGAATCTGACTTGGGAGTGTCCATTGTTTCATATTGAAAACACTATTAACAGAAGGATTGAGTTAAAGAGGAGAGGTTGAGGGTGTAGGGGAAAAGATACTATTCAATGCATTTTATTTTATGTTTTTGTCTTATTGTGTGATAAAGGGAGATGAGAGGCTCCAGAAGAGCATTGTTAAATGTAGAAAGTTTCCTTATTGCTCGTTGCCCTTCCTGCACAATGCACACAACCAGCACTAGGCCAGTATTTATTTATACATCAAAACAGCATGCAAACCAGGCATATTAACTTACTTTCCTGAGTTACTGTACATCCTAACTGCCTGCAAATCATTCTTGTGGGGCTGTCTTAAAAACCAAATCAAAATGTTGGTTGCTGCAGGACAATTTGGCTCTTTACCAAATTTCTCAACATTTGCACGTTTGATCTTCAAAGACTTTTAAAATTAATTGATTTAATGTAGATTTCACGTTTTTAGTGCCCCTCCCACCAGACTCATGCTATTTTGACGACTTATATTCTTAGAAGGATGTGTCTTTTTCATCTTAAGCTTTTACTTTTTTTAGTTGCGCATTTGTGTATGTAGCAGTTGCTTTAATTTCACATGTTTCTGGTGCCATACTGGCTTTTCATTATTGTCAGCATTATTTTTACTTTTTTCATTTCACGCAATGATAAGCCTTCACATGGATAGTCCGGGACTCTTCTGCCTTTTCGGACCACCTTCAGGGGTACTTGGCCTTAAATGTTTAAAACTAACATCTGTACCTTTTAGAAAACCTACTCTTATGCGGACCAAATGGTTTTTGATTAATAGGCCAATGTTTTCCTCACACCCCATCTCGCTTCAGACAGGATACACCTAGATCGTATTATGAGTCTAAAATACTGGAACTACATTGGAAAAGTAATGCATTAATGCTGCCTGAATGTTCATCATGTGGAATAATTTGTCCCATGTTTTTGTACATTCAGAGTAGGGACCTGTTTTTATTTTTTTTCAAATTGCTATTACATTCATAAATTGACCTCGGATAGACAATGGAAGTTTCCTATTTTATTTATCCACACCTCTTTCTCACCTCTTTTTGGTAGTCTGACAAAATTAAGTTGCACATGGGGTGTGTGTGTGTGTGTGTGTGTGCGTGCGCGCGCGTGTTCGCCTTTGCGTGTGAACTGCACGTCTGAATGTTTGCAAGTGCATTTTCTGGTGTTTTCCTCTTTTTTTCAAATAAGGCTCGTCTGTGGTTGTCACAATTCCTGGTGTTTGGTAATGTGTTAGCTTGTTTAGAAAAGAGCATGTGGATATTTTATAAGAGGGTAGGGGGTCAGTTGTGAATCCTCTGTATGTTCCAAATATTAGAGACCAAGCCTGCACTGAAAACACAGAACTAGCTCGTCATGTAGTCTAGTTTTTAACCATGCACCTTTCCTGCCTCTGCCTACAAACAAACTAACCCAATGTTGAGTTTTGGTTTCATTTCACAAGAGCCGGTATGGTAGCTCTGTGGTGTTTACAAAGACAATGCTCACAGTAGACCGTTAAATCAGAAAAAGTTTTATGAAATTCCTCTTGAGCAGCAGCTGTAGTCCCTGGCAGTCTGATCATAGTCTGTGGGAGTGAGCAGGACAGCTGACCACTGTTCCATGTACAGCCTAATGTCAAAGCTTCTCATGTGCACATGTGCTGGACATGTATACAACCACATGTGCTGGGAATAAATTACTATCATCTGCGCCTGAGACTTTTCACATCATTTGTTATTTTATTTTTTTTAATCCGTTTTGCTAATAACTAAATATTGCAACAACAAAAAAGTTATCTAGTGAACATGTTTGCATATATAACTGGAGAAGCCTGTCTTTGTGATGTTATAATTATTATTACTGACTTCTACATGGGTGAATAGACGTTTGATCAAATCAGACTTGTTCATATAGATCTGTTATTTATAATTTTAAATTATTTTATTATTATATAACATTACATGAATTATTAGCTCCGTATTTTTATTGAAATGTAGTAGAATGGGACAGATCTTTCATTATACAAACAATAATATATACGTGTGTTTACCATAGACTGTATTGTGTTTACCATAGACTGTTCTCATCCCGTTCCCATGACGTAATCTGACGGCTGTGGAGCGAAACCAGGAAGTGGAGCTGCTGTTGTTTGTGTTCCGTGGTCTCTGCTCAACACGCTCTTTCTGCGTTCATTGGGGCGAAATGGCAACGTTTATTTCTGTCCCGTTAAAGAAATCGTCTGAGGTGGATCTAGTTAAGCCGCTGTCCAAGTTCGTGTCGTCCACATATCAAGGCTCCGAGGAGCAGGGGGAATATCTGCGCGCAGTGGAAGAGCTCAACAAGCTCCGCAAGAGCGCTTTGGGAAGGCCGCTGGACAAACACGACAGCTCACTGGAGATACTGCTGAGGTGATTTCATCGTGATTTTGTCTTATATGTGTTTGATTGTTATTGAATAGACCGAGTGACACCGTGGTGCCTGTCATGCTCAGTTTATCCCCCGCCGCACCCATAGAGTTAGCTCCTGTGCTAATGCTACATGCTAACATCTGACTGACTCATGTCTTCTGCTGAGGTGTCAGGTGATAACTTCCATTTGGACGGTGAGAAAACATGTGTTTTTTTCATCAATTCATCGAAAACAGTTGCTCTGCGTTATTTGTTGCAAGACGTTTGACTTAAAGAGAAAAGTCCTTGTTTCAGAATACTTGGTCTGCAATATCACAGCTAAGTAGAGCAGTTTCCTATCATTGAAGACACCAAACAAATGCAGCAGACTATGATCTTATAATGTGGTGGCTGCGCTACATAAGTGTTATATAACCAGCAATCATAATTATGTTAAAGCCTGTTCAAACAAGTTACTGTTAATATAATATTACATGTATATTACATATGTATTCTTAATTTGGAGTTTTGTCTTGTACTATGTAGTTAAAGGACCCCATTACACATTAGACTTTGATCTCTGTGACAAGACCGCTTTTGTTCTCCCTGGGTATGCCCAGTTACCTGTACAGCCAAGTATGCATTCACTGAGGCTGCAGCCCCACCTTAACTATGAATGTCAATGCATAATGAAGATGGAGCTTGACTACGGAAATATTACAATATTAGAATATGTAACTGTTATCTCTCCAGCACACTACAGTCAGAACATCTATTTAGAATGTCATCCATTTTAGGAATGAAAGAGCGCTGTTGGAAGTCTGAAAGGACATCTTTTTAAACGTCGCTCTTTTTTTCTACCTTTCGTCCCTTGACCATGTGTGTGAGTCCTAGAGTTCAGTTTTACTCTTGGATCAGATAGAGCTCTCCAGCGTTGCCTTGACATCAATGCACATGCATCTTAGCTTTTATTGAAGCATGTTAAATACAAATCTTGGACATAACTTTTATGGGATATTACAAAGAAAATATATACACTATGTCAAGCTTCAAAACTAAAAGGGGATTCCCAAATTATTGCTAATTATAGAAACTTGCGTGTGCTGCAGTCTGCTTCTTTGCTCTCGATGTCTTTGTTCCTGAGTCATTGTCACATGACTCTTAATGAGTATAGATTTCCCAAATCGGATATCTGATTGATTACTACACAAGTATTTATTCTGTATTTGCCCATTACTAAAATGTCTCCCAAATTTGGAACTCAAATACTAAATGATTCTATTTTATCATAGGTATTACGACCAGCTGTGTTCTGTTGAACCCAAGTTCCCTTTTGCTGAAAACCAGGTAATTGCATTATCCCTCTGTCACATGCATGACTGTTGTTCTGAGAAGAACCACTCCAACACAAAGCTCTTTTCTGTCCACAGCTTTGCTTAACCTTCACATGGAAGGATGCCTTTGATAAAGGATCTCTATTTGGTGGCTCAGTCAAACTTGGTAGGCACAACAATCTCTCTAAAAAAATTTGTCTGTCATCAGAACAATTGCATTGTTAATTCCATTACAAATTAAGATTAAATCTGAGGTGGCAAGTACTAGTATTATCATTTAGTTTAAAGTTACTTTAGGTCGGCTATACAGCTCATTGTTCTTCTCCTAAAACAATAATTTTTAAAAATTGAATAAAGTTTAGAAGATTTTTTGATTTCTTGACCTCAAAACTGTGAAATATTAACTTCTCTAAAGTGTAACGGTATTTTTTACAATTTTGTGATTTAACTTCTGTTTTAGCTCTGGCTAGTTTGGGCTATGAAAAAACATGTGTGCTGTTTAACTCTGCTGCTCTGGCAAGTCAGATTGCGGCAGAGCAAAATTTGGACAGCGATGAGGGGCTGAAAGCTGCTGCAAAATACTATCAGGTGAGTGCAGTGTGTGATGAGATGAGGCCTATGTATTTGCATTAATTTGCCTGACACCACCAACACAATGTAACTTCTGTGTGGACATAGAAAAAAAGAAACCTAGGCCAACATGGTTTAGCACAATAAAGACATATTTAATTTTAAAGTTTACCATAACCTTTTTCTGTTGTAGCTGGCCAGTGGAGCGTTTGGTCACATAAAAGACACAGTGTTGTCTGCTTTGAACCGGGAACCCACCATGGACATTTCCCCTGAGACTGTGGGTACTCTGAGTCTTATTATGTTGGCTCAGGCGCAGGAGGTCTTCTTTCTCAAAGCTACTTCAGGTACTGAAGTGTACACTATTCATCATGGATGTTAAAAGTTTACAGCTAAAAACTCAGCCTACACATCTTAGCAGGGTGAACAAATTTAGCATCTTTAATTGGACACCCATGACTATAGTTGCCTCAAGAGTAATTAGTAACAATGACAAAAGCAGTTTTGATGCACGTTCTCTCCTCACAATGTCCCAAATATGTCTCTGAAAGTGCCTACTGAAAGCAAAAAAGTTTTGAAGGTTACCTGTCAAGGGAATTTAGTATTAAATGCATGTTCTCTGCTGAGGGTGGCCTTAATTTGCAAATCTACCTTTTATGCTAATTTGATTCCCTGGCTCATGCACGCTTGTTGACTAACCCATATGTTGAATTTGTAGATAAAATGAGGGATGGTGTCATTGCGAAACTGGCCAACCAGGCGGCAGACTTCTATGGAGATGCTTTCAAGCAGTGCCAGTACAAAGACAACCTCCCCAAGGTATGTGACAGAAATGCACTGCACAAACGCCACAACAACGTAACCCAACAGTTTGAGATTGCATTGTTGTCTGTTGTTTATCATTATGTATGAGTGCTGCAAACTTACCTGGGGGTAATGGGCTTTCAGCCTTTGGAACTGAAACATCTCTCTGTACTCATTGGGTCATTCCATCTTCTTCTCACAGATTATTCAATTATTAGATGGTCTTTTTATTCTGGCTATTTCTGTTAACATTTTAAGTTCGATTTAAGTGAAGAAATTTATTTTCATAGAGAGCCTTGGAGCACTATTCTAATCCATTAAACATAACATACTGGAACATTAGCCAAAAGTTGAATAATCCTGCATCAACATGTATTTGTCAGTATTTGTTTTCATAAAAATAAATCTTGCATGTGACAATATAGTTGAAAAATACAATCATGACAATAGCTGGTCCAGTATTTGCTTATAGTATTAAAACCTCAAGAAGCATAACTTATGGCCTGTTCTGTTTTTTTCTCTTGTCTTCCTATCTTTCTGCATCCCCTTGTGCTGGTGGCCCTGGTTGTGTCTTGTTGTTTTGTTTTTTTGCATTGGCTTCTGATTGGCTTTTGTTGTGTCCTTCTTGATGAACGTGGCTGGTGTGCGTCTGCCATTTTGTGGTCTGCCCCGCCATTGTTGGTGTGCCTGCATATATTTGTTTGCACGTCTGTGTGTGCTTTGTGGTTGCCTCTCCCTGGTCAGTATTTTTATTTTCAGGAAGTGCTCCCGGTTATGGCAGCCAAGCACTGTATCATGCAGGCCAACGCCGAGCTTCACCAGAGCATGGTGGCCAAACAGAAGAAACACTTTGGGGAGGAGATTGCCCGTCTGCAGGTAAACAATGTCTCATCATTATGTCTCAGCCTGTTGAATATTATATGTTGCTCTCTGACTGATTTTAACAAATTCCGTTTGCAGCACGCAGCAGAACTTGTAAAAACAGTAGCATCTCGTTATGATGAATATGTGAGCGTCAAAGACTTGGGGGAGAAGATCAATCGAGCCCTCACACTCGCAAAAAAAGACAATGACTTTATCTACAACGAGCGGGTGCCTGAGGTCAAAGATCTGGAACACATCGGCAAAGCTGCACTGGCCAAATCCACCACCATCACTCCTCCAATCAGTCAGAAGTTTTCAGGTAACATATTTGTATAAAGATATATTTTCCAGCATCTATATATTGTCGTCCATGTAATAAGTTTCTAACCCATCTTGGTCATTTGCATTGTTTACACGGTGTGATTAAGAACTTTTAAGTCACTACATATTTGGGTTTGTTGGAGCCCTAACATTTCCTCCCAGTGATAGGTGGCTTGTCCAATGCTAAAATAACCTTTAGTTACTCCCACTGATAGAAGAGACGTTTCGGTAGTTTTAGCTTCTTGTGTTTGTGCTTCGCTTGCGTGCAGATTTGTTTGAGAAGATGGTTCCCATGGCAGTGCAACAGTCCACAATCATTTACAACCAGAGGAAGGCTGAGACTGTGAACAGACTGGTGGGAACAATGAGGGAGGCGACCAACCTCTGCAATGGGTACGTGAAGTCTACATCCTATTTGTCTTCATGCACAGTTCTACATTAAATATTCAACACAGGAGATGGTGCTCCACATGAACAGGTCAATACATGTTTTAAAACCAATATGAGAGCGATAAATCCCTTTAAACATTTTTAACAAGCATTCAGTACTATTTTACCTTCTTTTCAGCCACTATATATTAAAATTTCCTAGAATTTTTCAGAAAAATTCTCATGGATACTTTTGTCTTCAGTGTTTTGGCCTCTCTCAACCTGCCTGCTGCACTGGAGGACCTCTCTGGAGACTCAATCCCACAGTCCATACTTGAGAAGTCTCATGCCATCATTCAGCAAGGAGGGCTTCAAAGCATTGAGCAGCTGATCAATGACCTGCCTGGACTGCTCACTTGTAACAGAGAAATACTGGATGAGGTTGGTGTGCATGACTAAATTCGAGGCTAAGGTTTTGTGAATAGCTTAGATGAATGTAGGTTTTTTTAAGTTGCTGTGGCAGATGAAGGACTTAAAGTTATGATTTGAAAAACAGCACAAATACCTTGTTTTGTAATCGTCCCCATTGGCAGAAATCCCAGAATAGCATCATTATTGATATCTAATCCACTGATCTCTGGGCCAAGGACTCAGTCAGCATCTTGTGCCAACGCTTGCTTAGCCATGTTTATGACGAACAGAAGGGTCTCAAAAGATAAAACAGCCAAAGTTCCATGTTTGTTGTTGGTGATGAAACGTCCAACACAGATTGTCCCCATTATCTCCAAAAAGTCCCCTCTTTGAAGTTCTGTCATGAAATATGATTTGTAGCTTGAGTGTAAAATCAATCTTCTTCACTATGGGCATATGTGAGTTACTTTGTGCTTTCTCAATTAGTCACTGAAAATGTTGAATGATGAAGAAACTACAGACAATGAGCTGCGAAGCAAATTCAACCAGCGATGGAACAGGACCCCATCTGGAGACCTCTACAAGCCCCTTCGTGCCGGTACGCTCACATACAGCCCGTCTGTTCAAATACGTCTACGTGCACAGCAGTTAACCATTCTCCCTGTCTCACTGTCTTTCTCCCCCAGAGGGTGCTAACTTCCGCAATATCTTAGACAAAGCAGTGCAGGCAGACCAGGTGGTACGAGACCGCTACAATACCCACTGTGAGATGATTTCTCTGCTGTGTAAACCAGAAAATGAGTTGACTGCTGCCATCCCCTCTGCAAACCCCACCAAGACCCTCCAAGGAAGTGAGGTCTGTATCTCATCAACCTTTAGCAAAACATTATAGATGTAAAAAACGTGCCACTGTGCTCTTACCAAATTCCTAGTGGACACGGTGTGCTTTATGGCCCTGTCCCCAGTTTTCTCCCAAGCTCCATTTTTCATTGTCTTTGCTGACTGTGCAGTGTATTTCACTGGGGAACTTAAATAACTATGCAAGCAGAAAGAAGGTCTGTCTCAAAAAAATTGTTTTGTTGTACTGTCTCTTCTGGCCTAACAATATCGTAGAGGGTGATTTTGAAGGCCAGTAAATGGCCACAAGCTGTGTGTGCGTGTGTTTGTGTGTGTACATCAATCACTAAAACAAGCCTTTATTGCTCTGCTCTGGCTTCATCTTGTTTTTGCAGGTAGTGGGTGTGCTGCAGTCCCTGCTGGCGCAGCTTGATGAGGTGAAGCGAGAGAGGGAGTCCCTGGAGGGAGAAATCAAGGCTGTCACCTTTGACATGTCTGTCACGTTCCTGACAGCACTGGCTCAAGATGGCGTCATCAACGAGGAGCCGCTCTCACTGTCTCAGCTCGAGCAGCTGTACGGCTCCTACAACCAGAGAGTGCAGGCCAGCCTCAGGAGGCAGGAGGAGCTGCTGGGCCAAGTGCAGGTATAAGAAACCCTCCTCTGCAGCTCTTTTGAATGTCTCAGTCATAAATACACGGGAAAAATGCATCAACTGTGTATGGTATAAATAACCTTTCAATCCATTATTTATTTGAATATGCAAAAAATAATCTTGAATCTCAGCAGTATTCTGAAAGTTGTAGGCAGGTGCTGTGACTGATAACATATAATTCATGAATCAATGTTAGTTAATGTTAGTAAGGGCTATGGATATCATTAAAATGTAGCATTTAAAAAACAAAACACAACAAAACATTATTAATTTATGTTCTAGATTAGTAATTTATTGTATTGAAAATGCTAATATAATTGTATTTAATTTTGGTCTGTTTTAATTGTGCTTGATTATTTTTAATTGCTTTCTAACACTATAATTGATTTATATGATCTGCGGTTTTAATATAATCAAATAATCCTTTTCACATACTGTGTTGATAGAAGAGATTGTCCTGTATATGTAACACTGTTGCAAAGTGAAGCAGTGGGATGTTTTTAGGACAGCTTTTCAAATTTCTTCATTGTAATCAGAGAATCCTCCAGGTATTCTCCAGACTCCTCACATTTCTTTGTGGCTCTAGTAAACAACAAACCAAATTGGTTATTAAAACATTTATAAATAAGATAAAAGGTTTATCAACTCGAATGCAAAAGCTCTTTAGAGCAGTTTTAAGAATTAAAATTTGCTCACACTTGCCGTGTCTTAAGTGAAAATAATTAATATTTTGTGAGGTCAAATTTACAAATAGTGAGTTTGAATATAATGAAAATGAATCAGTCTTAAGGAGAGCTTGCAGAGGGATCTGGAGTTCTCCTGAGTTTTTCTTATTTTAACCCCTGTGCTCTCTATGCAGACATCACACCAGGAGTTCAGTAACCTGAAGCAGTCAAACTCTGAGGCCAACCAGAGGGAGGAAGTGCTGAAAAAGCTGGCCTCCGCTCACGACAGCTACATCGAGATCAGCAGTAACCTGCGTGAAGGCACCAAGGTACCAGTCAGCCCAGGTCCTGCTCCAGCAGCCTGTCACAAACTTTCTTCTAAAAGTTGTTACTGGATAATGTCAAGCCACACGGTTTATTTGTGTCCTGTGTTTTTCTTCCAGTTTTACAACGACTTGACAGAAATTCTACTGAAGTTCCAGAACAAGTGCAGCGACATTGTTTTCGCTCGCAAAACTGAGCGTGATGAACTTCTTAAGTACGTTCTTGTGTTTACTGTTCTCTCATAATGCTTCTTGTTTTTGGGCCATTAATGATTTTGGATTTGGCCACAAAGCACATTTTTATGCTTGTTCTTCTGTACTCAAAGACATTTATTTCTTTTACTCCAGAGATTTGCAGCAAAGCATTGCACGTGAGCCCAGCGCTCCATCCTTTAATGTACCTGCATATCAGAGCACTCCTGCTGCCCCCGCCGCTGGACCCACACCTGCTCCCAGGACTGTGTTTGTAAGCACAAATCCCAACGCCGCAATGACGCACACTCACAGCTGCACACTTAACTCACTTGTGCCCTTCTTTCAGCAGCCGCAGGAGCCTCCAGCTAAAGCCGCTCCTCCAGCCAGACCCCCTCCTCCCGCAGTCACGCCCCATGCAGCGTCGGGACCCCCCACTGTCCCATCGACCAACAACCCTCCACCTGTGGCTCCTCCCACCCAGGCACAAGGGCCGCCATACCCATCCTACCAGGGTTATCCCGGGTGAGTTTGCACAGCGCATTTTCAGTTGGATGTGTTTTGACACTTCAGTTTTAAAGGCACGGAACCTCATTTAGTGACCTAGAATGTGACTATTTGCCTAAGTCCAGACTTATTTCCTTTCACACTCAACTCCTGCCATTCTAACTATTCATCACAATCAGTTTATTTGACGTTTCAAAGCAGATAAATTCCAACCATCACAGTAGTTCAAAAGATCTTTCCTTGTTATGTGCACTTTTTTTTTCTTTCACAAGCAAAGTGAGTCAAGTAAGCATTAAGATATCTTTGCTGGAGCTAAACTAATTTAGAATAATTATAAATGATGTCTGTATTACAATTATTAGTAACCAAATACCAGTGACGTTGTTTATAATGGACTGTAAACCTGATCCATGGAACATCCAGTCTGTCAAGTTCTTTAAATGAAAATGGATCATTCTTACCCATTTTTGTGAACATGACTATATATATATATTTTTTATGCATCTTTACCTCGTCTGCTTTTTTTTGGTCAGGCCAGTCGGCACACGCATTACAATTTAGGTTGAGCTTTTTTCTTTTTTTCATGTTGTCTATGCAGATACTACCAGATGCCGATGGGTTACAACCCCTACGCTGCCTATGGACAGTACTACATGCCCCAGTACCAGGGCCCTCCAGGGCAAGGATACCCGGGAGCGCCTCCTAGTGGACAGCCATACCCTGGTTACCCCCAACAGCCCCCCCAGCAGCAGCCCTTCTATCCCCAACAGTAACTTCTTTTCCTTTCCGTTTGTTCCTCTGCACATATACGTTAACATATACAACTACCCTCCAGCAATAACAGCTTTTCTCTGCTGGCTTCATCCTCCTCAACATTCGTTCATTCACAGCACCCATTTAAATCCAAATAACAGGTGACCTCGTTGCCGCTTTTCACTTCTTCCAAATAACCTTATTACTTTGCCGCAGTGGCTTCTTCTCATCTCTTTTGAATCGAATCCCTCTTTTTTGATTTGACAGCACTTTTCTCTAGTCTAACCTCCTTTTTGTTTATATGGGTGTCGTTTGTACTGCTACTTTTCCAACAACGTTATTCATTTTTGAACCTGTTTGGCTGGACTGCTGTGCTGCACTTATAGAAGCGCTAAAACTGGGACACACATTTCCTGCTATGGAAATTTGTTGAATGGATGGACTTGTCACATCCTCCTCCCCCACAGTGCTCCTTCACAATATTCCTATTTTTATAATGAACCCTGATGCCTCGCTGATGTATAAACCTATAAAAAGGAATGGCCTGTAGGTTTTGTAATGTAGACTGTTGAGAGTTTGGCTCTTCTGTTTCTCACCCAGGGAATGTTGGTATATTTCTGTCTTACAATCAGAAGCTGTACAACTGGGGAAATTACTCTCTATTATATAAATATATGTATAAAAAGACTGTACGTGGTTAACCAGGACACTTTGTGTGATGCACTCATGCTCTGTTTGTTATTTTAATTCCTCAGCTCTAATGTGATTAAAAAGAAATGACATTTAACAGATTTGTTTGTTTTAATTGGTTAGGTTTAAATTATGACCATTTGAGAAGTGTCCAGAAGAGGGCAGTCCTGTCGCTCAGTCTTGGCCCACCACTTCACCCGCCACAGCCGCTCATATCCGTGCCAATAGATAAGAAGTGAGTTGTCTTACTCGACTAATCGGACCTCTCTTGACCGCTCATGCATCCATTTAGATGACATGCAAATTGCGTTTCATTGAGGTCATGATCTCATCCAATCTTATTTCCACGCAGGTAATTTTCTTGTTTTTTTTTTCCTGCCCCCAACACACAATATTTCATTCTACCGATATTTATTCAGTGTGGGAGATGATAATGATTCACATATCTCCTCCTTTTTGCGTTGTGCGCCTGTGTGCGTGGCAGAGGCTGAAGCAGATGGTAGCGCAGTGTGATGTCTGGAAGGATGCATGGCGATGTTGGCAGAACGCTGCTGGTCCCCTGCCTGCATCCATCACGCTCTACCTCTCTGCGTTTTCCCCTCTTCTTATCATTCCAAATAAAAAAACAACAACATTATTGGTCTTCCATCAACGCCATTTATTTTTGCTTCCTAAATGAAGACTAGTCTTTATTTCATAACTGGCTTTCTTTATACAAATATTTTGGTTTTCCTATCGAACATTTCAAACATCCTATCGGCCAACCGGTCCTCACTATGGGTGCATTGTCTATCCAAAAGGCAGACATCCTAATAACAATAGTTTACTGAAATGACTACATGAACCAGTCCTATTCTTGTCTTGTCTTTTCTCTATCGCCGCCAACGCCAACCGTTGCGGCAGATGTGTTTATCATAGGTGTCTGTGTCTCCAGTACTTAATTTTAACAAGACATTCTGCACCAGAGAAGTGTCATATTTTAATTGGTCTGAAACCAATTTAGGATGCGTACTAGAGCATTGCAGTGACAGGTATTAATTAGCCTTCTGCCTAATGCGCGCTCTTCCAAACTAAGGACTTATTGCTGATTCTGGTTCTTCTCCCTTTTTCGGTTATTTGCAACCATCTCCTCCAGACCTATATTTGTCTGTGCTCTTAATAACCCTGGATTAATATCAGACTGATATATTTATCCTAAGATATTTTTACAAGTGAGCCTGTGCAAGTTGAAGAGAGTGCATTGGTTTTCCAGCTCTACATGTTTTGGTTGCAGTTTATCCCAATAAAAGCGAGATGCCTAAAATAACTTTGATTGACAGGTTCAGACGCAGTTACTATAACAACTCGTGGTACTCAGAAGCACTGCCTCAGCCCCTTCACCTCTGCTTTTCATTTTCTTTTCCCCCAGCCCGCGCGCTCTCCCCCGACTACGCGCGTGTGGGCGTGCAGAGGAAGAGATTATGAAAAACTCACTGCAATATTTCTCTACATCACCGCCATGTTTGTGTTACTAAGACTGCGGCCTGGCACCAGCCATAACCTGTGTGGGTGAAACCAGAGTGGGAAGATGAAACGCACTTACACAACGCTATCATATAATGCTTTTTTTGTTTTTCTTTTTTTCTGTGTTTCCATTTTAGGTTGGGTTTTTGTTCCCTCTGTTGGGTCCAGTGTGTATCGCTTGTTTATCCTGTTGTCAAGGGGTGCAGAATGGGTGGTGGGTTTTAATGTGGTTTGTTTTATATTTTATGCATGTCGTGTGTGTGTTTTTAATATTGATTTTAATTTGCACCACCTGAAGCACCCCGGCTCCCCACGTGACAATTAGAACACCTGTGCCACGGTACAAAAGGAGATGGGGAGGGGGCAGGAGCAGAACACGGAGAGGGGGCCAGACACGGGAGCCAGGCGCGGCGGGTGAGAGCCCCGTGGTCTAGCGGCCCAGGCCGTGGAGACGCATTTTAGCCTGTTTTAGCCTCTGTTTTAGCCCTTTTTTTAGCTTAGATTTTTATTGCTTTTATTTACTTGTTTTTAATGTATTTTATAATAAACTACTTTTAATTCGCTTTTAATCCAGTGGTCCTTTTTAAATCCGGGTCCGAAGAACCTGTTTTTACCCCTGTGACACTGTGATCTGTGCGTGAAAGGGGTGCTAGTGCGCATAAAGCGTGCCAGTGCGGCCACTCGATATGAGTGCATTTCAGGCACGATAGTATCTTGTGGGAATGACAGAGGAGAGCGCTGAGTGGAGAGGGTGAGCTCGCACTGCTGGGAAGAAGACACACGTCATTGCTGCCACCTGCTTCACTGGGACAAAGGCCAGGCGCGCACACTGGCATGCATATGCAGACCGTCAAAGTAGAGGTCAAACCAATCTCTTTACATAGCAATAATGATATGATTTACTTAACCTCTTGAGTTGAAACTATCTACGCCCACTACCCCCCTTCTGTCAGTGGACGCCCACCTCTGCCACGGCTCTCCTTTCATCTTCCCGTCTTTGAGTCAAAATATGCGGGTGAGAGGTCTGAGAAAAACAGGCTGGCAGGGTTTGACATGCTATAACAATGCAGCACCTGTCAGCGTGTGTATATTTGTGTATACCTGTGTGGGTACATGCGCACAGCTGTCTGGACGCGCCTGTCATTGGGGAAAGTATAAGGAATGTTTCCCGGTTTACTGTAAATACAAAGGCACATGAGCTATGTGGCTTTTTTGTGAAGTTGCTTGGTCCCGTTATCGAGCGCCTGTCTCACTCTGTGGCAGGAAATGAGATGTTGCTCCTCTGCACCTGCGTGACCCCAACTCTGAGATCTGCTCTAATGATCGGAGCCGCGGCGCCCTGTGCGCTCTAGCGCTTCAACACTTTCCCCAACCCTGATCAATAGCGCACCTCTCACCAACCTGTGCCATGATAATAGATGCTTCCAGTGCGCCTTTCACATCACGTAATGAGCGCACCTGTGCGGGTCTCTGCGCCCATATTCTTGACAGTTTAGTGAAGTGACTCGTGCATCAAGTTGCACGCCTAAGTGCTTGCTATTGATCTTCTTGATGCCACAAATTGACCGCTGGCCCTCGGGTGTGTTTTTCATGTAAACCTGCGATGATGTCTGTTCAGGCATTCGATGCCATTTGCGCATCGTTCACCCAACGATAATTCAGAATTAATTAGACTAAGATACACAAGAGGGGAGATGGAGCCCATAATAAGACGTTTAAAGCAGAATGGGCTCTGGTATCCAAGTGCAGCAGGGTATCCATAGAGACTGTTGCTATGGCGTAGAGCAATCTCACCTCATTAGAAAAAAATATAAATAGCGTCTTTTGGCCACGTGCCCACATCTGAAGGGGCTCTGCCGCTTCCAGGCCATCATACTCGGATGTGAGTTAGAAGCAGAGGGGGCATGACGCCTGCTAAGACTAAAGAGAATTGGGTGAATGGGAGTGATTGAATGAGTTATTGGTGATGGTGGAAGAGGTGTTGCGATATTGTAGAAACTACTGTGGAACTTTTGTATATATTGGACAAATGATGTTTGGGCCTGGAGTGTGAAAGTGTGAAGATAAAAGGCTTTATTTACTGCATTGGGGAAAACTTTACCTGAAAGCTCCAGTTGTGTATGACTCCAGAATTGTGTGTTTCCATGTTCTGAAATGTTCTCTCCACAGTCCTGTTGCTCCATAATGAGGGAGAAGTGGAGGGTAGGACAGCAGAGGTTTTGTGGAGGAAAAGCTCCAAGTGGCGATTGTGAGAGTGGTTGACAGGCAAGTGCAGTGAAGACTGATGCACAGAGAAAAACTCCACACATTCACCACAACAGGTCTCAGCTCTCAGGTGTGCTGCACTGCACCACACTGTATACGCCCAGCTCAGTCTGACCACCCCAGAGTCCTGTAATGGCAACTGTTTGAATTCTTTGTAGTTTGATGGTAAGCGGAAAAGTCAAAATCTTCACAAGTAAAGTAATAAATTCCATGTGACAGGCCTATGCCAAAGTTAAAATATTTTCTATAAAACAAACATGGCTTGTTGTGGTCAGATTTGTTTACAAATGTTTACCTTCTTTATTGGGTTCTTTAATTGTCTTGGATCATTACTATGTCTTGATTGTTTTATCATAACACTTTTCATTCAGAAAAGCATTTAGTTTTATCTCTGCAACAATGTATGCCCACTTGTTTCCATTACTGATTTTATTATTGGTTGAACTTTCTTCTGCTTTTCAGACAGTCACAGAGACATGTGTGCTTACTCTGGCTTATCCATGGAAGTATTGAGCTATCAAAACATATGCTTGAGTCATTTCAGATGGCTTTTCTAAATGTGGAGTTTCTCACCTCAATTCCCAGGGAGCGCCTAGCCCTTTTTCAGAAGAAACCTTGTCCTTTCAACCATAGAGTGTTGCGTTTCAGCGTGCACCTTTTATCACAACAGTCATGAACCTCTCTGCCTGGCCCTGTCTTCTGGATATGAGCGTGCAGATATGAACGTGCAGATATTTTACACTCTGGTGCACACATTCCCAGTGCTATTGGAGGTCCTGGTTTGTAAGGCCCCTGATCAGACCCCTTTCTCTCGTTGATACCCTCGAATGAGACCAGGGGAACAGGGTTGAATGTCTCCTCTATATGTGTTTCCGAACATGTGGACAGGTTGGGTAAATGCATGATCTCTTGACTACCCCATGAAGTCTACAGTCCTTTTTTGTATTATTACTAATCATGGAATGTCAGAACAGATACAGCCTCCCAATAATGTCCTTGCAATAATGACCGTATACTCTTCACACCCTTTTAGACAAACGGGTTGCTCCATTTATGATGAGCAAAAGGAAAGACTCCTTCCAGATGCAAATAAACCATGAAAGCTTGTCGCGCCGTGCAGTCCTTCAAAGCTAAATAGTTTTCTCTGTCTTTTGTTGTAAGCAGTGTTTTTTTAACATCGGAACAAAGGTGTCTGTGACGGAGAAGATGAAAACGCGCCACAGCTGACAAAGATGCTATAGGGCTCAGACGTGTGACTGTGGGCTGTTTAATTGAGGAGATGGTTTGATTCCTTTCCCCCTGCACGTCTGTCTCTGAAGACCTGTCAAAATCGCAATAACGGGGAAAAACAACACGTGTAGAAAAAGCATTAGGAGGACTGGGAGCCGGGGGAGAATGGAAATGGAAAGACGGCATTGAGGAGGAGATAAAAGAACAAGTTTATTCAACATCCACTGTCTATAGAGGCCTATGCAAAGACGAGTAGATGAGGAGTCTGTCAAGCATCCGTTATAGACCACAAACCCACAGAGACAGAGCTTCCACTGAGGTCTTGCACTTCATGTGTGTACCTACAGCAATAAAGATTTAGAAGTGTGTGTAAGAGAATGCAACAAGGTGAGAAAGGTGCATTGTATCTTTTCTCCATTTTCTACAAGGTGATGATCTTCTCTGAATATGTGTTTGTATATATCCACAAACTAAGTATTCATAGTGAGTCATTGCCATTGATCTGAAAATAAAGCACTGGTCAGGTAAAGTCGTTCTAATGCCGGCACCGTTTTTCAGTTTCAGCTCATAATGCAGATGTAACCACTCTGTTATATCTCACCGTGCTCTAAGTTTGGTAAAGTTGCATTGCTGACGCACCGTCTAAATCCATCATTCTTCCCTCCAGGGGGTTGCACCACAGTTTTGTACAGTGTCATGTGCCGTGCAGACAGCAGCAGTGGGAGTTAACAAAGGCATATGTGTAATGGACTCGGTATCTGCCGCACATAGGAAATCAATCATTCCTTGACAGTTCTAATTAGGATGGTAATTCTGTGGGAAATACTTTACTGTGTCCCAAATTCTTTTATTCAGCCGATCAGAGTGATAGATTTGTAAGCATATTCAAAACTGGAATGACGAGTCTGCATCCAGCCAATGAGAATGGACTGATACACTTCTAATGTAAACCCTGTTGTGATGCAGACAAGGCTCTGCTCTATTTTGGTGAACTATTCCACAATAACCACATCAAACCAGCATGGACGAATACAGTCCGTGTGTTACGACTATTGTGTGCCTTTCTATGGGTCATAATTATACATCATGAAGTCTTAATTAGGATTTATATCAAAGCAGAGGGCAGCAGCACTGGTCTCATGGAAAAGCAAATGAGGAAACGTATTTCTCAGTAGCTGTCTAGTCACCATGGCCACATGCTCCATCATAGTTTAAATATTCATAGGCAGCCATTGAATATTCAGGAGGAGGGCATAAATATGTATGAGGCTCACTTGTTGAGGTGTCACTCGATCTCTTGTCCACACTTGTGCGCAGTGACGCTGGCCCACACTGATCAAAGCAGATAGTTATGTCAATGTGAGTAATAAGTGGCTTTGGAGTGGTGATGTAATGGTAAACAAACGCACAGACTTCCTGCGTTCGTGATCAAACAGGCAATTAATACATTACATTCATATCAAGGATCATAGCTTTGGAAAGATGTGTGTCAGCAACACATTCCTGGTTATAATTGTCTTTTAGTTTCTGTTGATCTAAGAGTCTGTATGTTTTACTAAAAGTTAAATAAATAAATGTAACCCCAACCCACCTTGATACACGTATGACCGCTCAATGGTGGTACAGTCAAATCATTCAGGGACATTTAAAATGTAAAATATACTACATTTTGGCAAGGACAGAAATCATTTTGATTTTTGGCTTCAACTTTGAAACAAAGACATACTGGGTTGACACAGTGTGGATAGCACTCTCGCTTCTCGGAAAGAAGGTTCTGGGTTTGAATCCCAGTCGGAACAGGGCCTTTCTGAGTGGAGTTTACATGTTCTCCCTGTGTTCTCCATGCACCAGTGTGTTCGCTTCTGTCATCACTGTGTGTGGAGAGAAAGAATATTTGAACTTTTTGAGTGACATATAAATGAAGATAACTTAATTACTTACATAATCTTCACTCTTGCTTATAGCATCAGGTCATTATTCCACTATTGGCTGCATACAATCAACACCATGTCCTTATTTCCTGAAAAGATTTTGTTCCCCTCTGCAGCCTTCCTGGGTCCAGTACAATAACCCCAATTCCAGTAAGGCCCTTTAAACTGACACCCGTCCAGTGCGAGGAGGAACTGATGTAACAGTATGACACACAAACATTCAGCTGTGCACTTTCTAATGAGTTGTGTTCATGTAACAAGCGCCACACGCGCCTCTGAGTCTGTCCTCTCTCATGCCAGCCACACTGCCAACACGCAGCAGGTGTGCCTCTGTTTATGCGCTCCAGACATTTTTCTCTGCAGATTATGCTAATATTTTTACTTTCACAACAGGTAATGGTGTCATTAAAACACTTGCATAACACATGGAGGATCTGCAGCTAAGAAAGAAAGCAGAGTCCTATTTGAAGACATTTGGTGATGCGTGGCCTTTCTGTACTGGTGGGTCTATTTTTCCACCAATCTTCTTATAATTTGATATTTACGGTGTTTCATTGATAAACAATCGTCCAACAGTGAAATTTGAATGTGTCTGAGATCTTTTTCTCAGTACAATCTGGTGAGGCAAGTTCTGGAGTGTGGCTTTTGTCTCTACAGAATACATTTATCATGAGGGATCTCTTATCTTGTGTAATGCTCTTTGAATAATGGGGTTTCTGAATTAATTTGAAGTGAAAATATGTCTTGGATTAATGAAAAGCTGCTCATTGCTTTACTACAATCTCCTTTGAGATCTTCTTGGCTGTTGGTTGTTGAGAAAGACGTTTTTTTTTTTTAATTGGAAGGAAAATGATCATCAAAACTTCAAAATCAAACTAAGAGCTGCCAAGTTTAGACTGAACACAGATTGCTCTATGATGTTCAATTTAGTCAACTTTCTTAAGCCATTATTTGTTTTCTAATCATGCTCTAACTTAAATAAAATAAATAAGTATTTTTAAATTGCACGCTATCTCTATGTATTATGTTGTGAAGTTAAAGTTTGAGTATGAATTTCTGCAGTATTTGACTGTAATATCCAAGAACACGACCATTTAACCACATCTCTGAGAGAGAAGTGCACCTCACAGCTGCATTGGTGCAAGATAACCACAAGATGCAGTGGGTTAGGGTCCTTTAGGCTATGGACCTTTTGGCCTGAATGAAATATTAGTGTATTAAAATAAGTGTCAAATGTCTTGCTAAATAACATAATATCACCAATTATGTCCATTAGCCTAATTATTGTGCCTAATATAGTATTATTAACAAATAACAAAATGATAATTATTTCAGGGCTCCAAAACAATTTGTTTCTATCACTTGTATCTGATCGCTGGACTTGTTTGGTCACATGTTTAGATCATATTTTTCAGTCAGAAAAGTGAAAAAGAGGACCACTGTTGTTGAGGCTGGCTCCTGACCCAAAGCGTGAGGTAAGCTCAGGTAAGGTAGTTATCATCCCCATAGTGAGGGCTCTTTTTTACCATTGTGCAAAAAATGTCTAATAAAATGAAGACAGCATTTGTTGCCTAATTTGTTCTTTTTTTAATCAGGCCAGCAAACAACGTGTATTATTGTGTATAAATATCATTTATTATGCAGAATACCCAGTTTAAGGTTATGGTATTATTTAATTACGTTTACACAAGTGTTATCCTGTTATTATAATAGATCCATGGTATTATCACTAGTCTTTTTGCCATCTCTGGTAAAATCATAGCCCACAGTATAGTCCCTGAGAGCCAGAGGGGGCGGGCCATGGACGGGAGGGGGCGTTGTTAGGAGCCTGCGCGTGGTTCCGGAGGAGAGACAGACACGGGCTAAAGGCGGAGGATGAGGACGGGGAGCACACTCAGCCACAGCAGAAGAATCAGAAAGCAGTACCAGCCCCCTCTCTCTACGGTCCCCTCTCTCTGCCCCCTCTCCTCCCGGGCTCTCTCGCAGCTTCACCGACAGCGGAGGGACACGCTTCACGGTAAGAGTCGTGACAAGGCACCGAGTTTATTTGATTGTTTTAGTAACTTCCGATCGGTCCGCGTCACACATGCTGCTGTCTGTTGTTATAAACTTGTAATCACACGTCTGTTTTTAACCGCTTTATGCACGAGACAAACTCCGGGAGAGTTTAACGGTCACGTCGGTTGGTCTGACCGGGAGCGCGCGCGGCTGTCACAAAGCTCTATCAACCATGGATATGGTGTTAACTCCCAAATGAGACTCAATATTTAGAGACATGTTATTTTTTGATAAATCTGGTACTTGTCCACAGTCAAAGATAGTTTCGTTTTGACCGATTATGAGCTTTGTGTGACGTGAAAAAAATTAAAAGAAATAATAAAAAAAATAAAGATAAACAAATTTTATACCGCTTTTTGACTCTGGTCTGTTATATAAATAAATATTACTTACTTACTTAAAATATTACATACTCTCGATGAGTGCAATGAAAAGTTTGAGCCTAGAATACTAGTCTCGGAGGATGTTGGGGGTAATGTGACATCACTCGGGTAATGCTGCTGCTTCTGTGGAGGTCCAAGAATGGTTTGATGCAGATGGTTTTTCCCCGTTCCTTGGCTGCGGCTTCAGTCTCTGCAGCAGCTGACGGTCCCTGTGCAAAAGCCCCATGTAAAAATAGCCGGTGTTTCTGATCCCGGGTTAAAGTAATGCGACACAGTCCCGTTATCTTTTATGTTGCTCTATGCTGAAGACACCTGTGAGGACTGCAGTCGTGTTGTCTGGTTGTGGTCTGTTTAAGTTAATCAACAGACCCCATCACAGCAGAGTTTCTGTCCCACCCACAAGTGACTTTGGTGGAGGCTGCTCTCTCCGCAGGTGCTGCTTCCTCACAGGGCAATGCAAGATAAACGCTGCCGACTCTGTGCTCTGCTTTTTTTGCTTCAAGTAATTGTATGGTCAATTTTTTACCCAAGCCAATTTTAAACTTTGAATTTACTTACCTCATAAAATATTTGTGGAATCTACATGAAAGGTGTCATATTGTTCATTTGAGTCATTTACTGTGCTGTTGTATCTGAAAATCATTTGGTACGCCCCCAGCTTTGTGTATCTGGTCCCGTCCCCCACTTTGAGACCCACTGTATTATTAACTCAGTGGAAACTGACACTAACCAGACACGACAAGCAGACAGTGATTTGGAAAGAGAAGGATGCTTGCACAAGTTGAATATTGTCATGATCTTGTTAAGCAGACATTCCCCTATAGAAAAAGAGAAAAGCAGCCTATTACGGGCTCAGGGGCACAGTGGGCGCAGATTATGGATAAACAAAGTGTTGCGGCTCTGCTTTGTTCCTTTGAAGACTCAATAATCATTTTACACCAAAGAGACCTGCTCTCCAGGTTTAAATCTCACTGAATCATTTCCTAATGAGCTCCAAACTGAGGGAGGGGAGAAAACCTCTCTTTATTTCATATGCTGCAGCAGCCTCACACTTACTCTCATAGTGGCTGTTCTTAACATTTTTGGAAGAATACATTTTTCTGAGAGATTTCTATATTTTGCAGAAAGAAGCCACCCTATCAGTGACACTGCTCAGCACAGGTGTGCCTTTAGGAGTATTTTTACTTGCACTGGTTGAACCTAAACTTGGTTTAGTGACAATGGTCATTCATCCAAGTAGTGTTTGGACAATTTGCCAGTGGCCTGCCTGGTCAGTGTGGATGAGCCAGGCCTTGGCGGGAGAAGAAAGGCATCCTGGTGAGTGAGTGGCTCCGAGGCTGGGGCTTAGAGGAGAGCAGCAGATGGATGATGATGTAGCGGGTACTGGCGCTCCCTGCCTCCCGCCACCATTCGTCACGCGCTAATGATCGTGTCACACCTTCTCCCCGGGCGGCCTGCCGCTTCTGCAGCACTCAGCTCAAAAACTGGTAGCTTTACTCAAATCCCTTCTTCTCAGCCGTCGGCTGAAAAACCCAGAGAGCTGAAATCCACTCTATCACTAATTCCCTTATTCTTGCATGGTCTTCCACCTCTGCTCACCCACAGCATCTGTTCGCTCTCCTTCTATAACCCCCCAGTCTTGTCATGTTCTCAGTATCGCAGAGTCGTCTTCACAAAACCAAGACACTTCCGCTTGTTTTCTCCTTGTTGAAGGGTTTATGTGAAAGCAGACAAGCTGCAGGGGCCAGCTGTGGGCTGCTCTGTGGCGCAGGGTAAAGTACACCACACGTACAACAGCGATGGAAATGCCATCGATGCATGTGGGGAAGTCCTGTGTTATTATGTCCTGCAGAGTGTGGTGTGTGCAGCCCTCGGGCCTCAGCAGACCACCTCTCTACGACACAAGAACAGACCCCTGCTGGTTTTGCCGAACAGCGAATGTCAGCTCTGAGGCAGAGCTAAAGATCTATTTTTACTGTGCTGTAAGAGCAGAGCACAGTCTTTGTTAGGTTCTTGTACCTTTTGAGTCAAGTCAGAGACCAACATAATGAATTCAAATATATTCACTTGATGCTAAATGAGGACATTCTCAATTACACATTATACCACAGACGTATGAAATGGGAATATTGAGTATTAATGATCATAATTAACTTTGAGATAATTCCAATGGCTATTGAAAAGATCTCACGCTCTCTTTATCTTCATCAGACAGATGTCATTGTCAGTTCGCTATGGACCTTTTTGTAATTAACTAAAGAAGCTGTCACTGTGTGATTCATTTGCAACAAAGATTGAACATCACCATTTATTTACTGTCACATTGATACAGTGAGACCCACACCCTTAGAGCTCTCTGTGACCTCAACACGGTCTGTCTCACCACTAACGGGCAATTAAAGAGCTTAAATATGGCTTTGGTGTTTTCTTTGACGGCAGATTGTCACCCAGAGATTATTCTCAAAATTGCATCTGTTTTGTTTTGTCTTAAAGTCCCTGCAACGCCAGAGCAGGAGGAAGTGTTATTTTAGTAAAAGTGCTGTTATCTCCAGTCAGGTGTTAAATAAGCGTCCTCTGAGCTTGTTATTGGTCCCAGGTGTTGGGGGAATAACTGTCCTCTAGACTCTAGAGCTTTGTGCCATGCAGCGCCCGGTGTGTCCCCGCTGAGCACAGTTGGCCCTTTGGACGAGATGCAGGAATCCCACTTCCTCTCATATGTGCGTGTCTTTGGTCTCTGCAATTCTCTCACCGCACAGATCACAGCCTCAGCTTGGCCTTCTGGGAATATCTTTGCTGGTGGATCGGATGATACTCCCCGCAGCTGCTGTTTCTAAGAAAAGCTCTTTGACATGCTCAAACACATAGACGCGGCACACATGTGTTGCATTCATGTAAATAGACAAGTACTGCCAATAAGTGGGGCCCCCACCCGAAATGCCCAGCAATACACACAGCAATACACGCTAAGCACCAATTAACCCTACAGCCAGGAAGCATTTGGAAGGCCCAGACAGATTTGAACACACAAGTGCACAAATGAGCTTCTTTGTGTCAGACTGTAGACTGCAGCATCTGCCTCATGTCTTGATTTACATTGACCACTCACTTATTTCTTTGCTCTTTCCAATCAAGATTCAAGAGAGGAAGGGTCGGCACAGAGGAGTGGAGACCATAACTGTGTTTCTGGACGCCTTGTGGGAACATGGGATATATGACCTTATCATTCACCGTTGAAGCTCGCTTTTAAACAGCACCATACAGGTTTGCATCACAACCAATTATATCAAAATCCTCATTTGTAACCATTTAGTCACATATTGATGTTTTTTTAAAGAATGGCTGAAGTCTTGGACAATTCAAATGTCACAATCATGACGTCTTGTGGCGTCACAGAGTCGGCACGATCACAAGTCCTCACCCATTACCAAGACGAAGGGGAGTGTCTCAGTGAGAAGAAGCCCTACTCCAATGTGAGCAAAACAATACTTCTAATGTCACAGCATTGTAAGGACTTCAGAGGCAACATTGACTTACACAGCCTTAGACCATGTTATTGTTGTTTTCAATGGACATAAACAAACTTGAAGTTGTTTTTAAAGCTATTTAAAGCATGTTTGAGTATTTAGTATTCAATGTATGCAAGACAGCCATACGGTGGTGTGGGAATAGTGAATGTGGTGTGGAGTGAATGATGTCATCATCATACATCAGACAGAATTATGTGGTCATCTTTAAGCAACTTTTACACCCCGTGCTAACTTTAAAACAAATATTTGTATGCTATCTAGGAACACTGTAACCAGGTGCAACCAAAGAAAAAAGTCAAGGTAAGCTAAAGTATTTCTGCGTCGCATTATTCATTCTCACTGAGTATTGATTGCACATGTTTATGAATTCATAATACTGCTTACTTCTGTGCAAATTTCAGGCCAAAGGGAAGTTGATGCGTAGTGCAGCTGTTTGTGAGGAGTCGCCCCCGCTCGAAGAGGTACCAACAAAAAAGAAGCTGCAGCTTTTTATCCATTCATGTTTTTGCAAAACATACTCCTCGCTTTACAGAAGAACAGTATCTCCGGCAGCACTGACAATGACAAAAGTTTGTGCAAAACAGACAACCAAGATCCAAAGAAAAGCTCTGAGGCCAAAGGTGTGTGTGCGATTGATATCTCCAAAAGGATAGAGACAGGCAGGAAAACCTAATTAACTAATTGCCTACATTCTTTATTTTTTCTTCATTGCCTTGCAAAGACATGTTGTTGTTTTCAGAGTCTGACACGGAGTACACTGACTCCACAGGCATAGACCTTCACCAGTTCCTCGTTGATACACTGAACAGTAACCCCAGGGAGCGCATGATGCTGCTTAAACTGGAGCATGACATGATCTACTTCATCACCAGCAATAGGTTTGTAATATCTAACCACTAACACATTGATTTTATGCAAATTGAAAAATGGGTTTTTCACCTCATACATCACGGCCGTGCTTCTGCCCATACAGCATTTTTATTGTTGTACTCAACATATATCTGATCAGTCATGCAAGTCTATCCATTTTCTGGATCTGAGCCAACATGGGCCTTTGGGGCAACTCAAACTTTATGCACAGCTGTACCCCATAGGTCCAACACAATTAATGGATAATTCCATTTGTTTTGTATTTGCCTTTCTACACTACAGATTTGTACAGTCCTGCCACTTTAAAGCCTGTTCGGAACTACATTGTCCAAGTTTTTTTCCTTACATACCTTTTTAAAATGATTTAATTATGAATTTTTGTTTTGAAGCATAAGCAGCCTTGCTTCTATCAGTCTACCACTGTAGCTACTGCAATAGCATCCAAAAAGCACAATGAAAAAACAAATGCTAAATATTCACATACAACTTGAAAAGCACAGTGGTGCTGTTTATACAGTTTCAGAAATATTTCATATTGAATAATTGTGTTCTTTCGTTTACTATATAGATACATCTATGCATAACTACGGATTTGTTTCTTACCAAATAATTTATTTTATAGCCCCTTTAAGAAGTTTCCTCCCATGTCGTCCTACCACCGCATGCTGGTTCACCGGGTGGCTGCGTACTTTGGCATGGAGCATAACGTGGACCAGACTGGCAAATCCATCATAATTAACAAAACCAGCAACACACGCATGTAAGGGTTTATCTGTGCTGCTTGTTACTCCTTACAAGGTTGCAAGCTTTGTTTTAATTCAGTGGCTTTTTTACAGACCAGAAAGCCGTTTTCTCGATGAAGTACAAGAAGACAAACGCAATGAAATGAACACATGGAAGACTATTTTGAAGAGAGACAGCAGCTTAGATGACCAGGTCAGTCTGTCCTTTCCTTTCTCAAGCCCTCAGTCTCTGTGGACTTTCCACAATAATTAACATTGATCGCGCCACCATATCAGCATGCTGACCTGTAGGTGTTCCTAGATACAGCCTCGTCTCCACCCACTGCGAGAAAGGCAAAGTAAGTCAATGGAAGAGCGAGAAGAAGAGTACCAAAGAGTTCGTGACCGAATTTTCAACCCGTTTCCAAATGTCAACCTAGAAGTAAGAAATCTACTGTAGGAGGTAGATATATGCAGGAAAGAGTTTCTAATGTGTCCGCTGTACTTTTTCAGCCACAAAACACCCAGGAGACCGCCCATACAGAAACCAGGTAACCTTTCTCTCACAGTTTGCTCATCATACACTTTTTCAGCGTATTATATTTAGATGAGAACATTAATATATGTCTGTGCGCCTGTGTAGAGCTGTGGAGGAGTACAATCCATATGCGGAGACCCAGAGGAGAAGGCAGCTCTTCAGGTAGACTAGTCTGCACCTATGCACACTCATTTATCATCCCAATACGGTCAGCCACAGCCTTCAGAGCAGCTGAATGCAGAAAAGACCTAGTTTTGTGTTTATTTTCACTATGCTTCACTGTCATTTAGCAGAGCACTAAACCTACAATACTGTATTTGTGAATTATCCTGTAGCGTGTTAATGGTTGCATAAATATCAGCAAAATTAAATGATTATGGTAATTTTCTATGTTCTCTGCAGAGGAAGCCGTGACAATTCAGGCTCCAGCTGGACTGGCAGCAGCAGACAAAGCAGCTTTGACACAGACTGTCGCTATAGCAGCGATCCTCGACCTTGGAGCAGCACGGATTCAGATTCTTCTTACCAGTGGTCAAGCCCCGCCTCCAAACCGTGTCAGACCACCAACAGCAGCTGGGACACTCATGGTGCGTTTCTGCATCAGAACATAGACAGACTCCTTAACACTTCCTTGTCTCACCTTTAACGTGCAAATGTAGTCACTGCTCAAGACTTATTTTTACACCCCACTTGGGATTTTTGCTGTGTATAAATCGTGCTATTCCATTTCAGTAGCGTCTCATTAGTGAAAAGCACTGGAAGGATTCTGGTGTGAAAATGTAACTAGATTCACAAATGTTCACACCATAGTTGTACATCTTTACACGACACCTCGAGGCCTCATCACTTGACAAAAACCGATAATATGTTAAAGCAAAGACAGAGGAGGAATTCTGTATAATAATGTAATGACGTTTCCAATTTCCTGTGCATAGTTATTAAAAATGTAATTTGAACAGTTGCCATTTCCTCATCTCTATCCTGTTCTTCCAGGCTCCATCTCTCTGTTCAGAGTCCCTCCCAGTGGCCAACACCCGTCTCCACCTCCCATCATGGAGGAACGGGCTCCAAACACAAACTACATTGTGGAGAACGGGATTCCTCCAGGAAGCATCTTGGTCAACCCTCACACTGGTACTCCATCCATAGTCACAATTATAGTGAATACTACTTTACTTTTCACATGTGGAGAGAGATGTTCTTTGTGCAAACACCTGTCAGGGATGAAGCAGTCCTGCACGTAGGCCATATTGCTATCTAATACTAACACACCAATTAGACCATGTTCATCCTCATTTCTGAATGTTTTCTAAATCCCTGATGGACAAGCAAGCCCTCTCCCCATTTAGATTTAGCTGTACAGCTAAACTGTACTGGTGGTGTTTATGCCAAGGGAAGGGACTATTGAATATTAAATATAAAAATATATAATAAATATATTTTATTTTATTTACCGAGTGTAACTAATCGTACAGGGCCTAGAGTCAAATAATACAAAATATATTTGAAGTTACTGATGATGCGTTGTTGCAATAGTAATTCAATAGTAGGTCAATATTGCTGTAATGAAGTTTGAGAGTTTAATCAGACTGTTGAAATGGTTTTGTGTTACATGGCCACATTACTTGCTTTGTAATTCATTTAACATTATAGACTCTTTCCTAATAGCACTCAGCACTCACAGCTTGTGCCTTTTACATTTGACCCCTGTTTAGAGCAGAGCACTTTATCCTAACTTGTGTTTACATTATTTTCCTCAGGGCAACCATTTCTCAATCCAGATGGGACCCCTGTGGTGTACAATCCTCCCGACAGTCAGCAGCCAATCAGGAGCCAGACGCAGCTCCAGGGCTCGCCTCCCCAACAGCAGGTACGATTGTGTTGCATACACTGCTGTTCGAAATGTGTATCGCTGTGGGGTCTTATCTCTATCTCTTTGTCCAGATGCTGCAGTACTCCTCAGTTGCCTACACGGCTCCGCAGATGTTACCTGTCACGCCGTCGCAGCCGTACTCCTCTGTATGTGTCAAATCAACACAAACTGCATTTACATGTTGTGTTCTATCTCGTCTCTTCTTATTGGCTTCCAACTGTGCCCTGATCTGCTTTGTCCGTGCGTGCAGATTGAGGAACTCTCCCCTCAGTTTGCGCATGTGACGGTGAGTTGTCACTCAAATGCTGAAGTCCCGCCCACATACCCTCCCAGTCAAGGTTACGTCTATGTAGCTCCACCCGCCCCGCCGCTCCCTACCCCACCCAACTACTGCCAGCCTTCACCACAGGTACCTTTCAATGCAATCACTCCAGTGTATGTGTTAGAGTGCCTTTTTCCATTTAAAACGTTAAATATTTTTAACAAAAATTACAACTTGTACCAACTGAAACAGAATTTTTTATTTAAATTTAAGTCCTTTACTAACACACAACAAATTATAATAATGTATCTTTTCCCAAATGCAGCTCAATGTGGGAAAATGTATATTGTTTTGAATATAGTCTTACTGCGTTACCAGGAAATTAATTTAATACAAACATTAATTTAAATTAATTAAATAATTCTAAGAAAATATGTTTAAGAAAAGAAAACTTAGTGCTCATTTTAGTGCTTATCTTTTTTTTTTATAAAATCAACAAATCGTTTCATTTGTTGACACTATTTTAACTGTTTTCTGAAATGTGTGGGAATCTTGTATCCTTTTATCTGTCCCGGTGCTTTCAAAGGTAACTCATACGTTGTTCCTATATATGCACATTCTTACTTTTAAAGCATATTGCACTCAATCCCAGCGTTAATATGTGAAAAATTGCAATTTGATATTTCTTCAAATTTATTCAGGCTGAATCTACCGTAGTGTGTTTAATAGAGCAAATCCGAACCGCTCCTATTTACTGCTGACATATTTTCAATTTCAATCGCTTCCCCCTCAGGTGCCTGTTTATTACTACGGCCAGTACCCTACCTCACCTCAGCAGAGTTTCCGGCCTGGTTCCCCCGGCGCACACGTCGTGAGCCAAACCGCACATCCAGCAGGTAAGACTAGTGGCTGCATTACATCACCTTCCTCAGAGCACAGCAGTAGAGGAGGGGGCCGTTACACTGTCAGAGATGTGGTCTCAAGGTCTCACAGTGAACCGGTCTCTTTTCCTGCTGCTTCTACTCATCTCAGTGGAATAACAAAGTTTAAAAATATCACTCTTCTGCCCCAAGGAAAAGTTCAGTACAGCTCCACCAGCGCCATTAAATACTGAACAAATCAACTATTAATTTAATTTAAATGATAAAATGTTGGTTTGATTTTCAATGTTTCATGTTTAAGTGCCGTGGTAGCTCCAATACGTGTTTTGTGTGTCTCCAATGACAACGGTGTGATGGTTGAATTGTATTTCAAAGCTATTTAATTGTATTATAGCTTAGCGACATAGCAAAACTGGCCATTTTTTCACAAAAGAAATAGCTCTCAAAACAGATTTGTTCTATCACTAGTTTTCACATGCATGTTATTTCTGGCATAATTTGTCGACTTTCTGTTGAGACAAACTACAGTTTTATGGGGAAAAAAGTGAGCTTCCTCACAGTTCTCTCTAGATTTTTCATTTGTTCTCTAGCTGTTTGCAGATTTTTTTTTATTCAATTCAATTTATTCTTGTATAGCCCTAAATCCCAACAGTTATCTCAGAGGACTTAACAAAACCGTTGAAATTGCCAACAGTTTAGAGAATCAAACAGTTCAAACGCAAAGAAGAGAGAACTCATAGACATTGGTCCATAGGGGGGAGTTGACCGAAGCAAATATGAGGCCAACTTCATATGTACAATAAATAAATGTATTGTCTTTGCAGCAAGTTACGCTCCCACTGTGCAGCAGACCTCCCCTCCGAAGACCCTGGGCAGCTACACCTCGCTGGCGTCTAATCACTGCGCCCTGGTGCAGGTGAAGGTGCTATTCTGTGTGTGAAAACTGTTGTTAGAACCACCTCCCCTCATGCTTCGTCTCTCTGCAGGGCGGCGTGCCTGTGTCCTATCCCCAAAGCAAAGTAATGGGCACTGAGGGGGGCTACTGCTGCGTCATGCCTCCAGCGGCCCACCACGGAACCTGCCCGCCCCCAGCCTGGAGCGCGCCATACTGATGAATAAACAATGCACAGACACCTTTGTGTTCTCTTGGCCTACAGGGTTTACCAGAGAAAGAACTGCGCACTTACTGTACCAAAGCTTAGAGTATATTCAAGAGCTAATGTATTGAATGCATTATTTATAACCACAAATGGAGTTTTATATTGATATTAAATTATATATTGTGTTTTAAGGAATTGCACTGTGTGAATAGAATAAAGTGTTGTGGACTGACAACCACGTTTCTATACTACCCTGTCTCCTGGTCATATCTACTGGATTTGTGAATTTTGATTAATATTATGAAATAAACTTTTTTGTTATATTAAATCTATCAGCCAGCAGGACATAGTTAAATTACTTTAGCTACGCGGTCAATGCGTGGTTCACGCAAATACAGACTTACTCCTTTTAAGACAATCTTTAGCGCCATCTAACGTTTAAAGAGGATAATACCCTGACACTTAGGGCCAAGTCAATGTACTTGTGAATGTCACAAAATACTATGCCTTTCTGCTTATATAAGGTGTAACTGAAGGCAAGAATTTAAGGCAAGTCACTATAACCAATGTGTTGGTGTGTAATGTCTTGTGAAGTGTACAACAAATATGAAGCGTGACATTCAGACACGAGTGCTGCAGGTTCCATGATCTTTAATAAAAGGCACATGTACAGCCATAGTGAGATGAGTGAGTCCACTGGCATAGAGACAAAGCATTAAAACACAGAAGTAAAAGAAGAGGTCAGGAGGAGAGAGATCAGTCTGCATTATAGTATAATCTATTTAAGTAACAACTTCTTAGTCTTGTTCAAGTAAATCTAACACTATGATCTTTACCCCCATTTCAGTCACACACACAGACACACACCAGATCTTAAACTGGTTTTGAGTCTAGAGGGTCAATGATGACCAAGAAATATCATTGATCAGTTTATTTATTTATTGTAGGCTCCCTATACTCAAAGGGATTTTACTGCTTCAATATCCTAACACCACCCCTCACACAAATCGTCTGCAAGCCACACGTTAAAACCAAACTAAAAGGAAACATGTTTCACAGGAACTTAAATATACAGAGTTTAGTGAAATAAAATAGCATTAGTGTAGGTGAAAAAAAAAAAGATCTAAAAATGTAATAAAAAAAAATAAAAGACACACACTTCCGAGTAATGTCACCACTCAAACATTAAGTTTAGAGTGAGCAGCGACGACCGGGATCTGTATTGACAAAGTCTGATTTTGGATGCTTTGGCAACAATAGAATAATATATATCGGTGGTTCTGAACACAAGAATGTGATAATAGTGAAAAAGCAAAAGGACAGACACACAGTACATTCACTTGTCTGAAACACGACTTGGTCCCTCCAGTTTTTCACCATTGTCTTTTGGACATTTGGACATGAGTCTGTGTTTCAGGGTCACATAAGAAAGGCATGTGATTGACGGGCGCTAACTTGGGCTGTGGTTTCAATTAGGAAACACCTCAACCATACAACAACCCCAGGCAAGCCCCCGAGCCACTCACCTGAGCCTTAATATCATATTTAGACCCACATCTATCTAACCAGTGCCCAGTCACATCTCAGCTCCCCCAAAAACATGGGGTTTCACCATCTCGTCCAAGGAGGTAAGTGTAAGTTAGTGGTGTGCGTTTGTAGATATGAAAGCATGTGTACAATGCGTGTTTATGTAGGTGTTAAAGAGGTATTAAGTGGTTCAGTGGCATCTTTCTATCTGTTTCAACGCTTGCCTTTTCTTGTTGCCTTAAACAAATCTTCCTCCTCCCGCTTCTTTTCTTCAATCACACATTTATTTTTGGACTTGGAAGATGAAGAGGCGCAAGTTTATGTTTTTGGCAGCCAGCAGTTTGTTGCACTCCACGGAGTCGGAGATGGGCAGAAGGACGTATTCTGTCTCGTTGGTATCATTGCTAAAACAGTGGTGGTGAATGACAGGTTTGATTCGGACATCATCATAAGGGCCCTTCAGCAACAAGAAGGAGCACTCTAGAGCAGAGTTCACCTACAAAACACCACACACTGTCAATTCAATACCAAGTATACGGAGGAAACTGAACATACAGCTTTACATCCAAATGTTTTTGATTAAATACAAAGAGCTTTCCATTAGAGAAAAATGAGAAATGGACAACTGTACTAAAGAAGATATTGCTCAAAAGCCGTAGCTTTGACAAAATTGCTTAATTTATTTTGTTATTGTGAGTGGGTGGCATCTACGATGTAAACATGTGTTTAACTGGTGTTTGACTGCACAGGGCAGCGTTGCAATAGGCTATGTGTTGATGGCCTCCACTGTATGAGTCGTGCCCATAAGGTGCAGCGTATTCAACTTTGCCTTATCACATTTTGCTGTAGGTGCAAACCCCGAGTTATTGTGTTTTACCGTACCTTGCTCTTGAGAATGAGCTGGAAAGAGAGTGTGCGCTTGCAGGAAAGGTTGGGGTTGCGCTCAGAGTCGTTGACGCGGGCCTTCAATACCCAGGTCTGGTTGAGAACAGTGAAGCGTGGGGTTTCATAATACAGGCGAGTAATGAAGTCATCTGTGCGGTATGGTCTGAACTGTACCTCTGGGAAAACAAGCATCAAAATGATTTGAGCAAGGTGAGTATACTTAGCTTTTACATAATGTCTGTCTCTGCACCTGTAAAGCCGATTTTTTCATAACAGAGCAGACTGAAGATGCTGTTGTAAAGCTGCATGTCTCTGCGGTGGTTCTGGTCCATTTCTCCCAAGATTCCCATGAGCTCTGTTCCAGTCTTAGTGGGGTGGGAGCACTCACTCTCATGTGCTGGCAACTCATGAAAAGGGCCTTGCCATGGGCAGCCAATCCTCTTGTACTTGCACTGTGTCACCCTTACAACGAAATAGCAGGTTTGCGTCACCGGCAGCCCACAGGAAGAAGAAAACATAGCCTCATCTCAATTAGATCCTTCAAAGAAGTGTGCTGTGATCAACGCATGATGCATACAAGTACAAGTGCAGAAGTAAAACATCCTAAGAATATATAAAAGGTGTCAATTCCATGTTGTGAAGTAGGGCTAAAAATTATTAATAGAGTGTCAAGAAGTAATCCCAAAAAAAAAATAGAAGTGGTCCTAAAATGTTCCATAATTAAGTGTTAAGTGTTAACACAATTATTCAATATTAATTTGGTAAGAATTACAACATAAATTAAATCTAAGATAATTTAAAAGCCAGTGTCAAAGACTTTGGGAACGGCTGCTGTTGGTCATACCTGGACAATTAATATTCCTCCAAAACACTGTGCATCCACCATCCTAGCATTGCATAGCATAATACTGTTGACAATATCTTGCTTCAAAAAATTATTGGGCTAAACAATTATATCAAACCTAATTTCTGCTTCTGGTAAAAGCAAAATACAAGATAATTATCGTTTTGTAACAATCTCTCCACCACGGAAAATAAAATGTACAGATGGTGAATGTTTAGCTCCAAAACATATTGTTCCATCCATGCAGAATACAAGGTCTATAACATAATATAGAATATTGCTCAGCAAAGTCGGTTCACTTTTATCTGTCGAAGAGTTTGAATAATGATGATGCTTGTGTTAGTTGTTGGGGACACATACCTGTCCTGACACTCCTCCTTCTGGTGCCGTTCTAAACTGGAGCGAGGGAATTGTTTGAGGCAGAAAGTGCAGTCTGTCGGCAGCTCACTGACAGCCTTCTCCACGGCCAGATTCCTGCAGCACAGGTTCTTGCTGATCTCACACCTGCGTCACACAAACACAACCCTTAACTCTCCGCTTTCACAGCATCTGTGACATGCACTGTTCTTTCATTACTTCTATTATTAAGTATAAAGAAAAAGAACATTTCCATAACTAAAGCCTGGATTGATTATGCACTGCCAATTATGCACGGTTAAAGTCACAAAATCCTTAAAAATGTGTATAATCTTTTAATTAGTGAGACACGTACACATACCGGCAGTTGGGACAGGTTGCTTGTTCTTCCTTTAGACGAGAATCGGCCAAAAGGTGAATAAAACAGCCTGCGCACATCAGGTGCCCATTTGTGCACTGTGAAGATGAAAAAAAGATACAAGAAAAAAAGTTTATACGGGCCAAAATGTAACTAAACAGATATTTGAAAAAACCAGCCTTCCAAAACTATGTTTATGGTTATTTGTTTTTTAACTTATCCGTAATGTGACAAACTAATTCTCCATCTACAAAGCGTGAGGGGGTTGCTGTATATATATCACTTGGTTGCTGTAAATAATATATATTTTTATGCTAAAGAGCCATTTTGTTAACATTGATATTAAATGTGATGTTGCAGAAGTTTTTGGATGTTATTGGCATGTGAAATTATGGAGTGGACACCATGAAGTGTATTTGCTTGCATTATTTGGGAATAATTCACAGTCATGTGTAATGTAATTCACTGAGCCAGCAAAGGCACAGCTGGCCACTTGGCCTGGGTGTGTCAGGTGTCAGCATGTGCCCCTGCCTCAGTTTGTGAGCACTTGGGTGTGTGTGGGACACTCAGAACTAAAAATACCAAACAGTTCATTCAACAGGTTGTGGACAAAGGCACTGTGCATGGGGGGGGGGGGTGTCATATGATGTCCACAGAGTTTGGGCCTGTGCTGGATGGTGATTGGCACATTTACCTGGTAAACTGACGCCTTGGGTAAATCTAGGCATACGGTGCAGCACAGCACTGAGTACAGTCTCTCCTCCAGCTTGCCCGCCTCTCCTTCGGGCACTTTGGCCTTCTTCTTAGGCGGCTCATCGGGGTCAGGCTCGGGCCCCTCTCTCTTGGACCCGATCTCCTCCTGCATGGCTGACACCCCGGCTCCGGCCTCCACCGCTGCCCCCACGACCCCCAGAGCCACTGAGGAGGAGCTGGGGGCGGCCACACCACCCACTTCTCTCTCCTCCAGCGAAGACATGGCGAAAAGTGTCTAAAGTCTGTGATGGGCCTGTCGCAACTGGTCCCATAAAACATAAATATTAGCAGGTTAGCTTACAGTAGCCCACAGACAGCTGACAGCTAACTGGTGTTAGCAGGCTATGCTAACGCTGTCACAGAGGAATGTAGACAGCTTATAACTTATTATTAATGTTGACCCCGCCTAGCAACCCTCTGCTCTATACGCTGACATTGTGGCTGCACAATCGTCCTGTTGAGCAAATTGTAATAACAGCTCTCCTGCATATTACGCAATTATAACTAGTTTTAATGACTTACTGAGTGGCTAGCAGAATATGTGGCTAGCTGCGTTGACAAACAGAGTAGTCCGTCCCTTTGCAGAACAAAAACAACTGGGCTTGTTGTGCTCTCGACGCAGTTATTCACAATGACAGCGGACAACAGCGATGTACCCCAACCGAGCCACCGATCCTCGTCCCTCCTGCGGTCCTGGCTGTCTGATTCTCCGGGGCCAACGAGCCCTGGCTGTCGGTGATTAAACAGAAACACTTGTGTTGGGACTCGTCTCTTTGGCTACACAGCCATCTTTGTTTTTTCCTATCTGTCTCCCCCACTTCACAGTACACTGCTTTTGCCCAGGTCTCGGTCCAAGTGGAGTTTGGTGTTTGAATGTTAATATTTCCTTGTCCCTGTCTGAAGACCCCAGTGTAATTACTACTACAGCCTGTCCGCGGATTGGCAGTCAGCTGAATGTTTTGTTGTGGCAGATGACTTGGGGTATTTAAAGAGCCGCTTAATGCGCATGCGCAGCAGACTTTGGTCAGCATATGCCAGGACATGACCAGAGCTATGCCAGGACTTGACCAAAACCTGATGTGCGATTCTAAGTGTGCGACAAGAAAAGCCCCGGATAAAAGTGATTGTTCTAAGATGGAGACCAGTCCGTCGAGATAAACAGGGACTTGTGACTGTCATGTGCTTTGCTGATTCGGGTCAATATTTAAAGTCTATGGTCGGGTCCCATCAAATGTGTATTTTTGGTTATCCGTTGTTTGTACTGACTCATGCACAATAAAAATGAAAAACAGGCAAGTCAATGCAAGTCACGACTTCTTGCCCCAAGAGACCGCGTTTGTCAAACCTACAAATACGTGGCTGCTAGATTGGGTGGGTGCATCACATGGGGGCTGTTTGGGACGATGGGGGCTAATATCAGAGGAGACTCTAATATTTACAGTCTATAGAGGGTACACGTCTAAACCACTTCCATTGGACCGAATGATGTGCCTTATTTGGTCTGAGAGAAATACTAACCAGTATATATTGCTAAGATCAACATCTCACAGGAAAAGAAACAAACATGAAAAGTCAATCTACTTTTATCTGCTATGTATATGATAACAAAACTCTACTATAGAGTAAGACTATAAAATGCATTTAATAAAATATTGGATAACTTGTTGTTACACCTTTCTTGATTAGTTTATGATTACAGTAGGAATTATTATCTAGTGGTGTAGTAGTCATGGATGCTTGTCATCAGATATTATTCAGACACTGGTGAAAGTCTCATCAGCGGAGTACAATTCACAAATGAGAAATCAAGGCTATTGTGATGGATGAGGTTTTTGTCAGATTTCTCTCTGGGTGGGTCCAGTATCTAGAGAGGCAGGATGGTTATTCCTTCATCAATCCACAGATGTGTTGCTCAAATATTCCTTGAAATGTTGAAGTCGGATGATGCTGGTTGGGGAAGTTGCTCTGAAACGTCACTACTTTTTGGATTGCCGTTCTTGCTGTTCTTAAAGTCAAATGCCTTTTCCTGTGTCCTTTCAGGTTGGGGTGTCTTTCCACTGTCAGTCTCTATGTTATATTGTCTTTCAATGCTCAACTCTGCATTGTAAATGGGCACATCATCAATGCTGATAAGTTTATCTTCTGAAACTGGTTTTGGCAGTGCCTCTGTCTGTGGTGCGCTGTGCTTGTCATCCGTGAGCATCCTCTGTTGGCAAAGGGAAGTCATAGCCTTCACCCATGGATGCATAAGGGTTTGTTCAGCAGTCAACCGCAGTGAGGGATCTGGCTGAAGGAGTGTTCGAACAATGTGCTTTGCCTCTGTAAGCAAATTAACAACAAAAATCAAAACGTAAAGTGATTGATAATGCCTTGTGATGACAGTAAACCCTTACCCTCGGAAATTAGATCCCAATATGGTGATAGGAAGTGCAGATGTGCCTGTTTTATCAGCTGGAAAAGCTCTTCCTGGTCTCTCTCTCTACTCCGAAATGGAGGGAAACCACACAGAAGAATATAGAGAAGGACTCCAAGTGCCCAGATATCAACAGGCACCCCATAACCTGTAAGTTTACAGCACACACATCACATTTATTCAGTTTAATGAAGACGGATCAAATGAGTTTCATTGGGTCCGTTTTATGATAATCCCATAACAGTTCCAAACCTGTGCTTACCTGTTTCCAGCAGAATCTCTGGAGCCACGTACGTGGGTGTGCCACAAATAGTGAAGACTGGTTCTGTCACAACCATCGCAAGACCAAAGTCACCCAGTTTGAGTCTACAGATGCCATCAGTCTGCTTCTCAATCTAAAATAGAAAATACTTTTCTTGGTTGATAAAATAAAATCATATTGTTTATTTTAATGTGGTGATTTATCAGACAATATCTATACTCCATTATCATTGTTTCAGTTATTATAACAACATCATGACTCGTAACTCACCAGCAGGTTTTCTGGTTTGAGGTCTCGGTGCACAATACTCTTGCAATGGATATAATTGAGAGCTTGGCTCACGTCTGACACCATCATGCCAGCCTCGACTTCGGAAAACTTTCCCTTCTCACTGATGGCCTCGAACAGGTCTCCCCCACTCACAAACTCCATCACAAGGTATGAATGGGTGTCCGTGTGGTGATGAGCAAAAAGACGCACAATTCGTTGGTGACATAGGCTTCCCAATAGACTCAGCTCATTCTGCATCATGTGCTCTCGGCCAATCAGCTTTGAGCGCTCTATAATCTTCAGTGCAAGGGTTTGTCCATTGTCACGACGATGACACTCACGGACCACTGCAAAGTTCCCATCTCCGACCACTCGTCCAATTTCATAACACTGCTCAATATCTAACAGAGTGACATTACTCTCAGTGAGAGGAGATGCAAAACTCTCCCTTGGTCTGCGAGACTCTACTGTGACTGGACTCATGATATGATGATGTGATTTGACAAATTCTTCATTGTCATCCAAACTTAGTTTTGAAGAAAGAGTTCCAAGGGCCTCAACCTTTGTTTTTCTTTCAGATGACAGAGACTGTGGCCCTGTTGGTTTCTTCATGACTGGTGGAAGTGGTGCTTTACCAGAGAGAAGATTCTTCTCTTGGCTTCTAGTTTGTCTAGCCAAGCAGTTACCACAGAGTGTTGGAGAAGCTAAGTCTCTTACGACATCTTGGGGTCCAAAGGGCCCTATAACTGAAGAGGGTCTCTGTTGTTGTTCACCATTTACCCTAAGTTTCTGCAAATTATTGGGGACTGGTTTACTAGCTTTTTTATAGGGTTTATGTGGTATTAAGTTGTTGGCATTTTTTGGATTTCTAATCTGTGCATGTAGTGGCTTTTGTTCCCCTTGATTTGTCTGCATCCCATTGCAGTCTGTGCCTTCACTGTATCCACTGTCAGCTTTAGTTGCTTTGTCAGGTGATGAACGAAGTCTCTTCTCCCATGACTTCAATGCATCTGCTTGATAATGAGTGTTATCTGGGAACAGTTCTTCCAGAGCCTCTCGCACACAGCTCAGGTCTGGACGCGCCTTCCCCAGAGCAACAAAAGCCACTTCTCCACAGAAAAAGTCACACACACCCTTCACCTTTGTAAACAAAAACAGTGTTAAGAGTATTTGGCCTCGTTATGATGCACATGTGGACTATGAAGTGAGGAGAAGGAATTCACCTCACGAGCGTGGACAGTGTAAAGTCGTGTTACTTTCGCTCGGTGCCATCGAGGAAACCCCAAAGCCTCAGAAAGATCCAATAGCAGTTGCTCAAAAGAGACCACACCTCTGCGGTTTAGAAGCACTGTCACCTAAAAGAGCACAATTAATAGTATGTTAAATGTGGAAAATTCAGGACATTCATTAATGAGTCATTTTATGGTTGAATGAATAAATAATAAATGAATGAATGAAGACAAATGTGAGGAGCTCGAGCTGCCTTTCTTTTTAAGTTAGTACAGGTTAACTGAATAATGTTATCATGGCTGTAGTTCTTGCCTTGGCCTGGCAACCATCACTAGAACCTATTTTTACTGTACTTATATACCCTCTGGCATGCAGGGATAGAATGCATATTTTATGCTTTACCGATATACAACTAATGCACCTTTCTCATTGCGTTTTGATCCCCGGGCCGAATGATGGTCAGCAGATGAGGACGCTCTGCACTCTCCTCTGCATGGCGAGTGTGGAAAAGAGGGAGTTGTGGAGGAAGGTGATGGGCTTTCTGTGGTTGTAAAGGCCAAGGCTGGGGCAACCCCATTGGACGCTTCAATGAGGGGTCAGGAGGCGCTAAAATGGAAGAAGGGTGGGGGGAGTGAGGGCATGAACTGTAAGAAAAGTTATGAGTAACATAATATCAGTTCTTTATGCTGGAAGCATGTGTGTGTGTAAACAAAGCCGTCTCTTCAGATTTGAGTGTTTCCATCACAAGGAGTGCAGGGGCCATTCGAGATTCTTTTGAGCACCTTGCACCATCAGCTGAATAATTCAAGCTTCCTTAAGTCAGAAGACGCTGCACACACATGCATACGCAGCACTACAAAAGCCACTTCGGCCTGGATAGAGGTTTGATGAATCTGCATGTTTAATGAGGCTCTAAATACAGACATACCCACAAATACACACACACACACTGACGTTTCACTTTCTGGCACAGAGGAAAAAGATGTTATCTGTGCTTGTCCAGTCTGTGGGGTATTCTTTTGTGGTTTGTCGCCAGTAGCTTGGAACTTAAGACATGACCAACCAGGGCTCACTTTTTAACAGGACACCAGTGGCCCCCTGAGAATAAAAACGAGTATAGCATAGACGCATACACTAACATTTCAATCAATTGTCAAATGACATTTGTAGGCCATATTTTTATAGGGAGTTCAATTAAGGTAATTAAAACCTGCAGTTATCCATTACACACACGCGAAAATATATGTATAAAAAACATTATATAATATATTTTATAGAATGTATAATAATAATATAACAAATATATTTATCATTTTGTAAGACTTACCTCTTGATTTCCATTTAGCGTTTCGAGCTGCTGCTTCACACCCAAAACGGCCTTTATGCGAGGTGGTCATTTTTGACCTGCTGGAAAAACTGCAGACATCTATAGTAGTGAGCGTAGACTGTAAAGTAGTGAGTTGTGATTGTTTACTAAGTCACTGCCATCGCTATGTGATCGGACACAACAACAGTGAGAGCAATGTGCCCGAGCACAGCAGACACCCGGACCTGTGCACCCTCGTTACCAAGGAGACGAGTCAAGTGCGCGCTTTTGCTGAACCGGAAGCTTACAAAATAAGACCTTTTAAGGTGGAAAAGAAAAACTGTACGCACAATTAACAGCAACATTAAGGTATATCCTATTTAATTGAACTGTATTGATGTAGTATTACTTTTGTAGATTTTATTAGCCTTCTTTAATATATATATTTTTTTTTTTACAGAAATGTACTTTCACTATCAATCAAAAACTACAGACAAGAAACGTACGCGGCATTTCAGCCATATGTTGCCACGTGGGAATGTACTTTTCTATAGATCCATGTAGGTGCCTCGGTCGTATGAACGGTCTACGGTGGTTCAGTATAACAAAAATCAGAGACAGTAAGTTCATTTTTCTCACGAAGGGAACAGTGGCTTTCGAAAGAGTTTGAATGTATCTAAAAGAATTAACTGCGCTTCTACTGGTTAAAAAAGTATTCCGCAACCACGCAATAGGTTTCGTTGATGTGACATCACAACATTACAAACAGCCTATGATTTATGGTATTAACTGTGGGGCAGTTTAAATCTTTCCTGATAACTGTCAAAAGTCACACTTGCGTTTATAGCTAATTTCTCTATGATACCTGGGACAAACCTATGGATCTATAATCACCGCATGAAGTAAAAAACTGTCACCAAGTTTCACATTTTTGACAGTACATAATTATCAACTGTGGCCTAATTAGCTTCTCGCAATTGTGTCAAGAAGTGTTGACAATATAAAAAAATGTGTTAGAAATGTAGAAATTATTTTCAGACAAAATAATAATAAGGCGAGTTTGTGAATCTATCACTATCAAATACATTTTCTTTCAAAATGTGGTTCTTTCCATCGGAGTTGACATTTTCCAACTGAAATAGATCTCCAGAACTTTTTAGCTGAAATACCAGTAGTAAGTCTTTTGGGGTATGACTCTCTAAGATTTGCACATAGAGACAGAAGGTTTAGCCCATTTCTCTTTACAAAACAACTCTAGCTCTGTCAAATTATGGATGAAGAGAATTCCACGGATTTTCTCTTCGATTCATGTCTCGGCCGTGACTGGGTCATTCTAACACGTTACATTTTGTTTTAAACCATTGTAGATTGAACTTTGCGTTTAGGGTTCTGGAAGGTGAATCTTTGCCCCAGCCTCAATTCTCCTGCTGACTCCTGCATGTTTTCCTCCAAAACCTCCCTGTATTTGACTCCATCCACCTTCCCACCTGTTCTGTACAATCTCCATACAAAATGTCAGTCATACAAAACGTTTTTCGTCTCATCTCATTTGTCTCATCTGCTTTGAGCACCTTTTTCCACATGGTGTGACTTTTGGCAAACTCAAAAACAGGTTTTTTATGGTCTTCTTTCAATAACGGCTTTCTTCTTGCCACTCGTCCATAAAGGCCAGATTTGTGTAGAGTACGACTGATAGTTTTCCCATGTGCAGATTTTGATCTGTTAGTGGACGGCCATTTCTTGGTGAGTACGCAGTGGTGCCATACTCTTTCCATTTCTGAATGATGGATTGAACAGTGCTCTGTGAAATGTTCAAATCTTGGGAAATCTGCTTTGAATTTCTCTACAACTTTATCCCTGCATGGCTACGATGCCGTGGCAAGAGCTCTGGCGTGTGCCTGGTGCACACTGGGGTCGTCTTACACAGTTTTTCCAATGTGGTTTTACTGCAAATGGCAAATAAATTCTTGAATCTGACCTCTGTCAGATTCAGATCGGTCACTTGCCTTCATGATGCTGTGACCGATGAGCTCTGAGGCCCTCACAGAACAGCTGTATTCATACTGAGAGAGATTACACACCAGTGGCCTCTATACAATCATTAGGGGAAGCTGTAAACATTCATTCAAAGTCATTAAAAAAAACAACAACAAAAACTGTATAAATACTTGTGCAAGCCCTACGTTTCACTTCCCTAATTTTAAAATAAAAACAGAATCATGTATCATTTTAATTTCACTTCACAGATGTGTGTTACTGTAATTCTAAATATAATCTTTGTGCTTATGGTTGTAAACGTGACAAATGTGCAAAAGTTCAAGCTATTATTAACACTTTTGGCACTGTATGTGACATGTGTCGCAGATGGATCAGGTTTATGTCTGTCTTTTTAAACGTCTTCTGTTTTGACTTGAAGAGAAAGAGGTGGGAGGGGGCCGGGGTAATACCCATCCCAGCCGTCTCCATAGTGTCATTCATGGCATTCAGCACAACAGCTCAAACACTCACTTCTCTGTCTTCACTCCATCTTTTAATACATTTCTCCCATGGGCCAGTTTCCATGGATACCGGTGATTTTGGCTGTGAGACCTTCGCCAAGGTCCTGGTGCTTGATTCACTATTGAGAGGCAATCAATTGTGTGTCAAATTCAATGGAGAATAAAAGCACTTCAAAGTGCTACAGGGACAATAGTTTTCAAAGTCTTCTATCCAATAAGCACAATGTATTTTGCAACTTCATAATGTAGTGAGACTAATACTCAAATTAAATTAATGTAAGGATGTTGCATTAACTATTGATAATGACAATGATTACAAAACCAGGACAAAGTTGTATTGCACTACTGCAAATAGCCAGCAGAGGGAGAAATGCACATGGTGAGTTTTAGCCTCAGCTATAACTCTCTCTCTCTCTCTCTCTCTGTCTCTCTCTTTCTCTCTCTCTATATAGGGCTTGTTTAAATTAATCATTCATGCATTAAAAAAATTAGCAACAATATGGTTTTTGTTCATTAAATTATCAAAATGTCCAGTGAAGTAGATGATTGCAGTTGTAACTGAACTGCACCGGTCATGGGCATTTGTTTTGGGTTGGTATGGTTTAAAGTAGAGCTAGAAATGTCAAGTCAAGACTTGGTCAACCACAATTATTGACACAAGAAATTAAACTGAAAGACGTCGATCATGTGACAGAAACAGTGAGAGATTTTGAATGAGGTTGAATGAAATGAAATTTGATTAAAAAAACAGAAAAATAATAAATACTACACATAATTAAAAATGACAATGAGACCATTTACTTAATAATTTTGTGTTTTAGAATGTGGAATAATATTATATTCCGTAGAAAATATATGATGAAACAAGTACAAAGGATAAAAAAAACACTTATGGCCTTTTTTGTTGATGTTTTGTTGTTGATATTTTACAAATTTGAAAATTATGAGAATTGTAATTAAAGGATTATCTTCTTCTAAAGAACGTTATTTCACTTGAAACATTTCCCAAACACATGAGCAATGCTACTGAATGGCAATAAAGATCCTGATATTGGCCTGAATGGATCTAAAAACAACTCCAGGTCTGTTCTCTTGATCTTCACGTTACTGTTACTGCTGTGTTTCTCTCCATGTTGTAGTTGTGTGAGATGTGTTGTGTTTCAGGTAACTATATTTGTATTATTACAAATATAGTATTTTGCGACCCCGCCAAGGTATGTTGTGATTGCCTCCGTGTATGTGTTTGTTTGTCAGCACGTTTAAAAAAAAAAAAAAAACGTTTTTTCACCTTAAAAAAGCATCTTTTTGCTCAATGTCACATTATTGAGAGAGGTAATTATTTCAAATTATTTATGTCACTTTCTACAGAAGTCAGAAGTATAATTTTAACATCTACTTATATTGTATGTTTATGTATTGTAATATTATACTGGCTAATTAAGTAATGATAATTATTAGGTCATTCATGTATAAACTTTCCTAGTTGCATCACAGTAAACATAAGCGCGGTCAAAAACCTTGTCTAGTCAGAGAGTTTGATTTTCTTCTGAACAAACAATTGTGATAAGGAATATCAATAACAAGTCAATTAACTTATTCTGTGGAAAATTCTTCTATAACGATTTCACTAATGATTTGAGCAGATGTGTGGGAAAGGCTTCTGCTCAAGATACAGCATGTCTCACTGCACTATCATTCATTGCATAACATCAGACAGCCCTCCTAAAGAACACTTGTGCTGCTTTTCACAAGCGGAGAACACATCCCAGACTCAACCAAAATACCTCCACCCATCTCTCACCCCTTTCTCACCCCTCTCTCGCCCTTTCTATTTGCTCTGTCTCACACCTGTTGGAGTCGCACATGCTGCAGATTTGTTCCAGCACTCAATCCTAAAACATAATGGTCTGTTTGGCTCAGGCTTTGAGGGGAATACAAGTAGATCAGGGTGTGCAACTTGTCTTGTTACATAATGTTCTCTATTCAAATCAATCTTTTAAACATCCGACTCAGTTGGTGTCACTCACATTATCTGATTTTTTCGAACCCCATAAGACATTAACAAAACTGTATTCAGCTATACTATTCATGAAATGTAAAATCTCATTAAAACATGCTGAAAGATGTTTAGAAATGACCGAGATAAATACTGCTACCACCATCACAAAACTCCAAAACTTTGAAGTCTTCACATTTTTCTGCATCTCTTGTTACAGATGAAGGGTGAAAGAGAAAAGCAGAGAAGTGGTCACGGTACCATTCAACCCTAACCCTGTCTCCACCCATAAAAACTGCTCCTTCCCCCACTCCGTCTATTTTGTCTCTCAGCAGGAGCATCGTACACGTCTGCCCCTTGTCACAGATTTGCATCAACAGCACTTCTTTTACAGCCTGTTGATATTCCTCGACAATATGTGTTGTAAAGTGCATTACCATATCACAAGCACTGGCTGTTAGAGTGGGAGCCCGTGTGATATGGTAATGAAGTTTACAACACACTCAGGAACAAACTAGTAAGCAGTTTTAAATTATATAGTACAACGTAGAACAACTGCAACTGAGTGTAGTGATGTGAAGAATGTGTGCTACTAACTGCAGCTGCTGCAAATCTTTTTAGTCAACAGATTTGCAGCAACTGTCCTTCCTGTTCCCATTTTCTTGATCACATTCAGTTGAATATTTTGGACATTAGAATTGAGAAATTGCACCTTGAGTAATAATGTTGTCGTATGCTTTTAACAATATAATAATGTCATCTTTTTCATATCGGGTTTTAAGTTAATATTGTGTTCAAAGTAATTCCTCAACTGTAAATATCTAAAGCAGAATCTGATTTTATTTTATAATAGTAACATTGAAATTGACAACCATTTGATATAATCCTAATCTGTTCTATAAACAGACTCCAGGCGTGGACATGTGCTCTTGAGACATTTATAACTATGATATAACAAACTATTGTGATGACCTCGAGTATCCCTCACCTGATCACCTGATCCCAGTCAAACTGATCAAAACAACTCACACTGACAGGACTCATGGGATCTGCACAATATGTATATGATATACAGTACAGAACAAAAGTTTGGACACACTTTCTCATTCAATGAGTGTCCTTTCTTTTCATGACTATTGACTGTAGATTCACACCCAGGCTGTGTAAGGGCTGTTTGACCAATAAGGAGAGTGATGGTTGCTGGGCCAGATGACCCGGCCTCCACAGTCACCGGACCTGAACCCAATCCAGATAGTTTTGGGGTGAGCTGGACCACAGAGTGAAGGCGAAAGGGCCAACGAATATAGTTATAGTTTTGATGCCTTCAGTGTGAATCTACAATTTTCATAGTCATTAAAATAAAAAAACGTTTGGTCTGTATGTATATATTTTCCACTTTAATCATTTCAATAATGATTAGTTGCTTTATTAGATAATGTGTAGTTTACTCTTAATCCTTGTGATTGTATTATTTATGGAGGAGATAATTATGTGGAAGGTGTTCCAGGCCTGTCCCACCGGGAGGAGATCCTGGTAAAGACCAAGGACGCGCTGGAGGGGCTGTGTCTCTCCGCTGGCCTGGGAACGCCCGAGGAGGTGTGTGTGGACAGGGCGTCTCTGCTAAGACTGCCCCCACGACCCGGCACCGGATGAAGCGGAGAGAAATGAATGGATTTATTAATAATATGCAGCCTTTCTTTTATGAAAACCATTTGTAATAGTTTTTCACATCACTTTTAGTCTAATAACTATTTGGATTGTAAGAAAGTTACACCCAATACTGCATGATTTAATTTATTGTATACATTGAACCAAAATGTTTTTTGGTGCTTAAATGATCCTGACCACATAAAATGGCAAACATTAGCACATTGGCTAACTGTCCACAATATTTCAAAGGCTAGCAAAACACAAACAGAAACAAAATAATTGCAGTGTGCTTGAAAAGAAGCATAGTTACTTGGAATTGTAGTCCACATGGCATCTCTTTTGTGCGCATCTCCCCCATATATCTCCTTGCTCCTCCCTCCCCTCTCTTCTCTCTGCGCTCGGACTGATGACGTCACAAACAGCCGGTATAAATCCAGCCAGTCAGCTCTCAGCAAAGCCTCTGCTCAGACCCTGCTCTCTCTGTTGCTCTTCTGCTTCTCCTGCTTCTCACACCTTCACTCATTCCCTCTGCCGCAGACATGGCTGAAGCATTTGTTGGAACGTGGAACCTGAAGAGCAGTGAGAACTTTGATGAGTACATGAAGGCGCTGGGTGAGTCTGCTGTCTGCATATGTGTGCAGGATGTGTCTATACTTTGGGTGTAAGTGTGTGTATGTGTGAGTCATCATATATAGAGGATGGCTGCTGCTGCATACAAGCGAGTACATGTTTTGATGCACATGGCTGGACAGAGATGTATGTGTAGGATCAGGGCCAAGTAACTGATCATCTAAGTTACTAACAAGAAGGCCGTATATAAACTGTTAAGAAATGTAGGATCAATAGAAGAAAAAGGAAAGGGTGGTTGACCACATGGCACGATGGTGAGCAGGAGGGGAGGGGGTGGAGCAGGCGTCACTTCTTTCAGAGCAGCAGCAAATCTCTCAGCTCTACCAGGAGCTGCTGGGATTGGTCACACAAGGACATTAACATACACACAACCCCTTGAGCAAATGTGGGTGACCTCTGCTGAAAGCTGTGTATTGTGAGAATGATGGGAGCGGCTGAATCCAAAGAATGCCCCCTATGACAAGCAGCACTGAGACTAATGGTGCAGAACCGAACTTAAAAACTAATTCAGCGCAGCTTCACATAATGCAAGAAAAAGTAAACTTACAACTACATCTCACCATTACTGCAGTACAACTTAATACATTTCCCACACAACACAATAGGCATGTAACAGTATAAAGCTACAGTGTTTAGTTTAACTTGTCTGTTTTATGTCTGTCAGTTGGCAAGAATTTCAGTGTCCATCATTGTCAGCCATTGATGGTCACCACAGAAACCTAGTGACCCCTGATCTCCATTACACTTCATCATGTGCCTGTCTTCTGCACAGTGACTTCTTGTTTGTGGGTTTGACTGTGGGAATGTGGAACACTCTAAGACCAGGGAGAAAAACGGTCCTGTCGCAAATAAATATGGCCAGATCATCACATTACAATCACTAACCAACAGAAATGAATGCGTGCGCTGAGCTGAGCTATTGTTTGCGTTTCTCAAGTCCAGACGTGTAGCCAGGTCAATGGGACACGCGGTGTTTGAAGAACATGTTGCTAAATTGACTGTCAACAAATAGAGATTAGAGTGTCAGTCACATGAGAGCTGGAGAGTTCAAGCTTCACTAAAACATCCCTTTAAGAAACTAATTGTTTTCTCAGCCCTATTCTATTGGACTAGTCACTAACATTATATGTATTCTTTTTTTTCTTTCTTTAGGCGTGGGTTTTGCCACCCGTAAAATTGGTGGTATGACCAAACCCACCACCATCATTTCCATTGACGGTGACCTAGTAACAGTGAAGACTCAAAGTTCTGTCAAAAACACAGAGCTTAGCTTCAAGCTGGGCGAGGAGTTTGACGAGACCACCGCAGACGACCGGAAAGTTAAGGTAATTCACTGAAATGATCTTTCTCCGACTGATAATGTTGTGGTCGGGCAGGCATTGATACAAGAAAAACTATTCTTCCCTATTTTTCCATGACTATTTGGACACATTTTTGGTTGTAAGATATGGGTAATACCAACTCTGCTCACTTTCTAGTATTCTTTAATACGTAAGTGTAGACTTTGTAAACCTAAATTAATGTTCCGTATGTTTGTCCAGTCTTTAGTAAGCATTGATGGCGGCAAGATGGTGCATGTACAGAAATGGGACGGGAAAGAGACCAGCCTGGTCAGAGAGGTCAACGGAAACGCCCTCACACTGGTCAGGATTGTATTTTAATTTCTAGTTTGTGGTGTTCACTGTATTTCTAAACTGAGTGAATGTTTGTTTTGCAGACGCTCACACTTGGAGATGTTATTTCCACACGCCTTTATGAGAAAGCAGAGTGAGGTACACTTATGAAACTACAAATGCGACTTCAGATCGGCTCGCTCGGCTGCACGTCAGTCCAATGTTACACTGTTTCCTCAGTTACTGCTGCTGTTTTTTTCCCTAAAAGTGTTCCTCTTTTACAAAACACTGATGAATTCCAGTACTTGTATTGTTTTCAGCTTTAAAGCTATGTCTGCAATTGTATAATGTAAAGCATGGTGCCTATGTTCAACCTGGAAAAACGTTTGTCATTTTGTTATTGATGCAGAAAATAATCAAAATAAACGTGTCCACATTGGATAAAATGTTAACAATGCACTTTTAAATGATTTTTGTGCGCCTAGCAGAACCGCATGATCTTGTTTCCACTGTACTTTAAACAGAATGCATTGTTTTATAATTAATTCACTTTAAGGTTTGTTTGTTAAACTGTAAAGCACTAACTTTACAAGTTCATGGAATCCTCCAGCCAATGGATCAGTGAATGGAAAATGTCAGTCCATTTTCTTGCGCCACACTTGTGTGTAATTTTCTATTTTGGGTTTAGATGGTCCTGCTGCGTGAATGGGTGTCATGTGCTGTATCAGGCTGTCAACAGTGGAACTATAACGGCTCAAGGGGAAAGGCGTCAAACTCGTGCTGAAGGGTTCATCTATAACAAACATTGTGATATGAATGACAGAGCAGGAGTTCTAAACATGATTGGTTTTTATATTGTCAGTTCCTCCAGGCGTTTGTCCGCGCATAACGCAAAAGGTTATGGGAAGATTTGGATGAAACAAAACAAGTGATTTTAAGATTAGTCAACATCTAGATGCATTTGATTTTCCTGAATGGAACGTATTTGGTAAGAATGTCAAGTTAGATTACTTCGGTTTGCAACCAAGTAATCTATTTTATAAAATTAAGTGACCCCCATGAGATGCTGCAGATTTATTGTATCAAGTAATCAGACCATGTGACAAATGTATCTCTTCAAAATCGAGCAACAAGTGGCAGAGCAATACCAACCATAAACAAATACAGGTGCCTTGTTTTGCATGCAGAAGCAAACACCATTTACAGAAGTTACTGAAATGTGCCCAGGCTTTTCTATGTGGGGTTAGTGTGAAGCGTGCTGCACGGGCCTGCACCTCTGAGGACTGTATAAGAGTGACTCAGTTTGTGCCTCTGGGTTTGCACCTGGAAACAATCTAACAAATGGCTGCATTAGAAAATCAATACAACTTAAACCCTGGTTTTTCTGTGGAAACTTTGACTCTGTCTCAAATCTGTGTGCATCATCTTTAAAGGCCATCTGCTGGAGTACAGAAAACGAACTCAACAGGACCCCTGGGCTCCTCCAGGATGGAACATTTTGGACAATAAGGGTTCTGTTACAGGGTGAATGAGGTCAACAAGTAGGTTTAATAGTTTACATGCAACACAACTACTCAATGAAAGGATGCAAACATTTATGTTTATAGTAGGTTCCTGTCAAAATCGTGTCAAAATACATTTCCTGTAATTGCACTTATGTTCCTGTATGAGGGGAAGCACAGTTTTACTAGTCACTCGAATACTGGATTATGAATAAAATGTAAGCATCGGAAATGTGAGAGGCGTAACACATCGCTGGTCTCCAAACGGGTTAGCTACATGCTGCTATATTGCTTTCCCATCTCGAATTACAAATGAAGTGTGTACTCTTCCCACTGTGGGAGAGGCAAAGGTTACTTCAGGACAAATGGAAACCACAACCAGGAATCTTTTTCTGCACTAAGAGTAAAAAGTATGTTGAAACTGTTGATGTAAGACCAAACCAGCAAACCAAATGTTAACTGTCCATCAGCTATGTTTATGAGATTTGTGTTTCTTATGTTTTTTCTTCTTTCGGTCTTCTCTGTCGTGACGTTGCCTCTTAGATTTGCATTCGCTGCTGCTGTCACTACCGCTGTCACTGTCCGACTCTTTATGCTCCCTCTTTCTCTTTTTCTTCTTCTCCTGAAAAAAAGCATACACATTTGTTTTTTCTCCCTTGAATAAAACAATACACAAATCATAAATACATAAGTTTCACAAAACGATTTGTGATCACTGTCCTGAAGCATAAATGTAAACGTTATAATACAACCAATCAGACAAGTTCAGAATGAGGCCCATCCCTAAGAGATGACAAAATCAGAGATTTACAAGAGACACAAATATTAATGTGTTAGGGCGTGGGCACTGGTAACTTACAATGCAAGCAAAGAATAAGTATACTAAGTATATTTAATATCTTAGTTTTGGATTACCTCTGCACATTTTAAATGCAGTGGTTGCCCCCAGTCAGGGAGCCTCTTCAGTCCTGGTTCTACAGCCTCCATCCTGGAGCTACAGCCTCAGTACTGGTTCTGCAGTCTGAGTCATGGTTCTACAGCCTGAGTCATGGTTCTACAGCCTGAGTTCTGGTTATACAGCCGTCCCTGGGAACAGATCCCTCTCTCAATCCTTTTTCTGAGGTTTATAACATTTTTTTCCCACTCAGTTTTATTAGTTGTTCCTTGCTGTGTGTCTGAAGACCGTGGTGATCCAGAACATTTATGGCATTGGTCTTCCTGCTTGAATGAAAGTGTTTTTAACTAAATCCCAGCAGAGGGTTTGCATCTGGAACCAGTGCTTAGACGCTACATGGGTAGTTAGTAGTAGTTAAGATTCTAGCAAAAATTGGAGTGTAATTGCAATACCTTAATTTATAAATTATAAATAATGTGTGAATAAAGTGCAAATAAATTATTCTAAAGACCAAATTGACATTACCTTCTTTTTCTTTCGTTTGTCTGAGTCTACAATAGCTGCAGATGTAGAAGTCTGCTGTAATGGCTCTTCAGCGTCCTCTTCAGGCAGGAGTGCGTACTGCAGGCCAGGTGCTGAGAAACAATCTTTAGTAAAGTGACCTGAAAACAAGCATATTATTGAAGACAATGAATATGCAACAAACACAAGCAGAAGCACAGGATTAGGCTTTGTACCTTTACAACCACATTTTGAGCACGTCGTATTCAGTACAGCCTCTAGTGTGATTTTATTTCTTGAACCGTCTCTGAACTGCCTGCGTCTTCGTGCATCCTGTCTACAAACACATACTTATTTAAAGAAATTCCCTACAACCCTGCATTATAACATTTTTAAAACATACTCAGCCATAACATTGTTCGGATCCAAGTCCCTGCCGGTGCCCTGATTGACAGCTTTCATGGAGAAAGACAACTTCACTTTTTCACCTTGCATCTGGAACATTGTACAGGATTAAATGAGGAAGTGCACAGGCTCATGCATTATACTGCATTGTTCAAGTTCAATTCTGTGATTTCAAATGCTTAAAATTACAACATGATAATCACATGAGTTAAAAAAAAACATTGTGATGTTACCTCCCTCCCAATGACTTTGATCCACACCTGCTCTCCCACATCAACAATCTCAGAAGCATTTTCCACTCGGGACGCTGACATTTCACTCACATGAACCAGTCCTGGACAAGACGGAATGCAGATATTAGTATAAATAACTTTTTTGTATTATTCATTTATTTATTGTTTCATAAATCCCAAGCATCATGGGATGAAACATCTCGTTTTTTGAGAGGGTCCTCAACATCACACTTAGTACAATACGGTTAGCACTGCTATTTTTACACTTACTAGGTCCAAATTGTTTGATTTTAAATACATATTATTCTTCATTAAAAAGCTAAATTTGAGAATTCAAGAATTGTGATAATGGTGTTTCTGATTGCGGTTTGAAACATACTGCCCTCCAGTGGTGAAAAAAAACAAAAACACTGTAAGTAGTAGTAGTAGTAGTAATCTTTATTTATATAAGAAAAATAAACTCCACTCAGAAAGGCCCTGGTTCGACTGGGATTCGAACCCAGGACCTTCTTGCTGAGAGTCGAGAGTGCTATCCACTCAGCCACCGTGCCGCAAACCGTACAGGCAAACCGAGCTTGTTAGAGATCACTCTGGACTTGTTCACTTCAGACGTTAATGCTCACGATGTCGCAGATTTGTCACAAAAGTGAACAGCCAGAGGCGACAACTGGACCAGGGTTCACTTATTTGATACTGTCACACCTCTGCCAATAATGCCAGGGTCCCAGAGGCCACTTATATTGGACATGTGAACTGTTAAAATACCATTCCATTTATGATGTTTATTAAAGTCATAAATGTTATTTTAGTGAGAAACAAAATAAATCATGTCTTTTTACACAAGGATTCTACCTTAAGTATCTCACTAAATGATAAATGGTCACACAATAATATTGAATTATCCATCCATCCATCCATTTTCTTCCGCTTCATCCGTTGCCGGGTCACGTGGGCAGCAGTCTAAGCAGAGACGCCCACACACACTTCCTCCAGCTCGTCCGGGGGGACCCCAAGGCGTTCCCAGGCCAGCTGAGAGACATAGTCCCTCCAGCATGTCCTGGGTCTTCCCCGGGGCCTCCTCCCGGTGGGACTTGCCCGGAACACCTCCCCAGGGAGGCATCCAGGAGGCATCCGGAACAGATGCCCGAGCCACCTGAACTGGTTCCTCTCGACGTGGAGAAGCAGCGGCTCTACTCCGAGCTCCTCCCGTGTGACCGAGCTCCTCACCCTATCTCTAAGGGAGTGCCCAGCCACTCTGCGGAGGAAGCTCATTTCGACCGCTTGTATCCGCGATCTCGTTCTTTCGGTCATTACCCAAAGCTCATGACCATAGGTGAGGGAGGGAACGAAGATTGACCGGTAAATCGAGAGCTTTGCCTTTCGGCTCAGCTCCTTCTTCACCACGACGGTCCGATACAGCAACCGCATCACTGCGCAAGCTGCACCGATCCGCCAGTTAATCTCACGCTCCATCCTTCCCTCACTTGTGAACAAGACCCCGAGATACTTGAACTCCTCCACTTGAGGAAGGACCTCTCCACCCACCTGGAGAGGGCAAGGCACCTTTTTCCGGTTGAGCACCATAATGCATAATATTGAATTAGGACCTGAAATAAAAATGAGGCCACTTAATGCAGAAATTAAGATGTCTTACTCACCCTGATTCTTGTATCCAGGGAGTCGGACAAACGCACCATACGTTTGGACAGAAACTACCTCTCCTTTAGAAATGCTGAACATTGGGGGAAGACCATCAAGGCCGGAAGGCTCTGCTCTTGAGCCACTTCGATCTGACATTGTGCCCTTATTTACACTGTGAACAACAATTATTTAAAAAAAATTAGACTTGACCTTGTTACCCTACCAAATGATCTGATAGGCGAACAACAATATATGTGAAGTCCAAAGCATTGAATTAAAACAAATTATTCATCAATAACCTCCTTACAGAAAATGAATCTGCAGAGGTATGTGGATGACACAGTTGTTCATGTGTCTGGAGAGCATTGTACCTCAGTCAGTGAAAACAGACATAATCTAAACAAGCCTTCTATCTGGCTTAAGTCCTGACGTTATTATTATATGGTCCTGACTGACTCAGAACAATAAGAAAACCAAGTGTATCTTCTTTCTCCAAAGTCTCCACTACACCTCTGAAAATGTTTTAGACTTTCAGGTGTTTATTATTTTGCCAATAGATGTCGAGCAATTATTCTTTTGCTTAGTTAGTTAGGTGAAAGGCCTGCAAATACCAAATGGCACAGATAGTGTAATGCTGTTTGAAAACATAATAGACGAAATAGATTTCTCATAAAAAAATGTGATTTGCTGAGAAATTACTAGGTAATTAATTGAACACCTCAGTGAGTTCCCCCCTCTTCTTTCAGACTAAGAAGGGAATATATTATTTAAAAAAAGATATGATAAAGAACAAAAGCATGTTAAGTTACGGTAACAGATTTTGGGGGAGAGAAATTGGTTCGCCTTTAATTCTTCCTGTAGGTTGACTATGAATGAACGTAAACAACATCTACGTTCCAGTTTAAAGTCACCCGTTTTACGCATATTAATAAACTGAAACAGACAGATGGCTTAATGGTGTAAATGCTGCACTTAAATTAACATACCTTCTTTAACACCATGCTCTCATTATAAATAAAGCTCACAAAAATAAATGTAAAAGACTGTTGTTACCTTAGCTTGAGCCTTCTCGCAGCATGCTAACCACTCAAACACTTCCGGTGCAATACCGTGTCACTCTTTTCTCCAGCGTAGGTTTTCCCTGAACCGAGCATATAATTCCTAAATCTCTTCCCATAACTAAATTATCTGATGCAAAACATATTACTCACTCTAAATAACAAATGTATAAGATATTACCAGAAAGAAACATGTGCTTGCCTGGCCAGTAAAGAAATTTTTTATGTTAGGCAATTCGGCAAATTTGCGTTGAAGAAAATATTTAAGCAGCGAAACATCAAAACAACCAATCAGACGCCTCAATTCACCGGAAGTGTTTTCCTCTCTTGTCGCTCGAGCTAGCATTAGGCTAGCATACGCCAAAGCAACACGTTCAGTATTTTTCTTTAGTTAAACCGAGTAAATTAGCTTCATACACTATTCCGTTGGAGTTTCCAGTATGATTGATCCTAAGAAAAGAGCCGCAGACATGGCCATGGTCCCGATGGGAGCGAAACGGCCCAGGAATGAGCTTGTTGCGGCAGCTCAGTCTCAGCAGCTCATGGCAATGGTAACTTAACGTTCATTGTAGCATTTTACTGCAGATATCGTGAAAGATGTAGAAACGGTTCAATTGAAGCAGTAACGTGTAACCCACGTTGGAAATATGAGGTTTGAATTTTTAACTGGCTGTTTACTTTAAAGATGCGCTACGTATTTTTTCTTCATTCGCTTCCTGTTTGTCTAAAATAGTCATGACCATAACTGTATGGGTCAAAACAAATATGCAACATTAAGAATTGTCATATAAAATATACAGTCTAGCAGCAACTTTGATGTTTTTTACATTGTACATCAACAGATCAGTTAATGTTTTCTAAAGAACAAAAAAACGTGCACATCTGCTGATAGACTGTGTTGTTACGTATGTAACAAGCCTAGATTGAGATGTAACAAAATAATGCAATGACCAGATTTTTTTTTCTTGCCATTTTTATAAAACTGAAAATATTGTCTTTGCTAGGGTCCCCCACGAACATCCAGTCTACAGGCTCCCATTATGCTGATGTCTGGGCATGAGGGGGAAGTTTACTGCTGCAAGTTTCATCCAAATGGAGCTACTTTGGCTTCTTCAGGATTTGACAGGCTAATATGTATGTAATGGTGCAAAGTTCATTGCATTTTCAGAGTAATTTGTTAAATGTGTTCTCTCTTTTATAGTAATGTGGAATGTTTATGGAGATTGTGAAAATTATGCCACTTTGAAAGGACACAGTGGGGCTGTGATGGAGCTGCAATACAACACAGATGGCGGGTATGACTACAACACCCTCCCCTGGAGCAATAGAGTAAAGTTTAGATAAGTTTAGATTCTCTTATTACAGTTATTTTCTCTTGTCTGATGCCATAGTATTTGTAGTCATTAAGGGAGTCGGCTCATATTGATGATCACATTTCCGTCAGCTTTATGAAGTTATTTTAGTGTGCACAGTTCTTGGGTAATGGTGAGTTAACTGTTAATTAATTGAGAAGTTTAAAGATACAGAAAATTATAATTTGTTCTGATAGAATATTTGTTGCTGTTTCAATGACAACTTCCCTGATGTTCTTTGGCCCTGATTCAAAAAAAAGTGCATTGTACTCCACGAATAGATCACTCATAAAATTATGTCTGATTTCTCTTGTAGCATGCTATTTTCCGCCAGCACAGACAAGACCGTTGGTGTGTGGGACAGTGAAACTGGAGAGAGGATAAAACGCTTGAAGGGCCATACTTCTTTTGTGAACACATGCTACCCGGCCCGACGAGGCCCTCAACTCGTCTGCACTGGTAGTGATGATGGTACTGTCAAGGTGAGTAAACATTTTCAAATCGCCGTAAAAAAAATAATAATTACAATCCCCATTTACGCTTTTCTCGTTTTTTTTTTTTCAAATGCAGCTGTGGGATGTCCGTAAAAAAGGAGCAATCCACACTTTCCAGAATACCTACCAAGTATTGGCCGTGACTTTTAATGATACCAGTGATCAAATCATGTCTGGAGGCATTGACAATGAAATTAAGGTTTAAAATGTTGTTTTCAAAATTAGTCAATAACATATGACATACACTGTAACCAGATAAGGTAATGGTTAAAATGTGTTTATCATGACAGGTTTGGGACCTGAGACAGAACAAGCTCATCTACACAATGCATGGTCATGGTGATTCCATAACAGGACTAAGCCTGAGCTCAGAAGGGTCTTACCTGCTCTCCAACTCTATGGACAACACAGGTCTTTAGATTCAACTTGACCTGAATCTTCTAAATGCCAGAAACTGTATAATCAACTCAAATCTTTCCCTACAGTTCGTATTTGGGACGTACGGCCTTTTGCGCCCAAGGAGAGATGTGTTAAGATTTTCCAAGGCAACCTACACAACTTTGAAAAGGTATTAAAAGACTTTATCAGTCTTCCCCAATTTTAAATATTTATGTAACTTGTGTCTGTCAAGATATGTTCCAACTTTTTCTGCATTCACATTAGGGAACAAAGAACTGTTTAAACACATACTTTGTCACCACTGTAAAGTTAGGGTGTGTTTGCACTTAAGTCCCAAGTGAAGCAATTGGGGTAAAGATGCTTCAGCTGGGGAGATGTGGAACTTCCAAACATGTATACACTTTGCTGCATTTCAGCATATTAAAGTTGAAATATAATACATCTTCACACATTGGAACTTTTCATTTGAATCATTTTTTGTGCAGGCATGGTGCTGTGCAGCTGCATTGCACCTAGCTGCATTCATGCGTGCTATCAACTTGGCATGATTGCCTGTCCTGGCTTTTTCGGCTTCCTCTGCTGTTTTTCTAATTGATATAGGATCATGTTTCGACTCATTAGATCTCTCTCGCTCTCACTCACACACACAGTGTAGTTGTATCAAATTGCTAATTCCTTTGCTAACATCTGTTCCTGTCTCAGAATTTGTTGAGATGCTCCTGGTCGAATGATGGCAGTAAGGTTGCTGCAGGCTCAGCTGACAGGTAAAAAAGAAAAAAGTATTTTAATATATTTTTAATTGGTTCATTTTGATCTTGTAATATAATTTCAACACATTATTATCACCATCAGATTTGTTTATATATGGGACACCACATCACGAAGAATCATTTACAAACTGCCAGGTCATGCTGGTTCTGTTAATGAAGTCGTCTTCCACCCAGAGGAACCAATTGGTGAGTGAAACTAGGCTCATATTAATTACACCAGAAATTAAGTGGTGACATTTGACTTTTGGAGGAACTGATTTGTGAGCACTACAAGAAACATGGTGTGTGGAAGATTCGATTTGTATCCCAAATGAGATTCATTTATTGGAATGTATTATTGTGTTTGGTATTTTTGCTCAGTATCTCTGTATTTCCCTACAGTGCTGTCAGCGGCCAGTGACAAGCGGCTGTACATGGGAGAGATCCAGTAAAGCGTGTGTTCAGCTTGAGTGAGTGCGTCTATGTTTGAGTGAACCCTAAAAGGCATGTGTCCTGCCTTGAAGACGACTGGGTGGTTTTCTGCGCAGCAAAAGCCTCTGTAATTAGTCCGCTTTAGTTTGTAACCGAAGAACTTCAGGATATGCGTTTGATGTTTATTTAGCTCTGTCACAACAACATACAAATTACCTTTTTAATGTTTTTGCTATGGTTTTTGCTGACCTTTTTAATAAAATGATTATAAAATGTCTTTGTGTAATGTTCTCTCATACCCTACTCTTACATTTGTATTGTCATATAAGAGTTAACATTTAGTTCTCTATATAATGTAATGCATCTATTACTGAGTATATTGATATTTTTCTTTTGTTTTTCTTTTATGGCCTTTTCTGCACCATTCTTTTCACCTCATTGTTAAAAGCTTTGCGGTATTGGCTCTTTTAATAGGCTACTCCCTCTATTGATTACATTTACCTTGGAGGATGGACAGCGGTCATTATCTACTTTCAAATCAGAGATAGTTCCTTTGGTGAGGCTGCTCTTCAGTACAGTTGCCTACAGCCCCATTAAAAGACAGTTGTGAGCTTGTTCAACTCTTGATAACCTCGGGCTGCCTACTCCATTTCTGTGATGCCACATTTTGGCTGCGTGTGTCTTCCTGATCCATCCAAAGGCCAGTTTCTTTGTGTTCCCTCCCCTGGTTGGTACAGAGCTCCTCCTCGAGGGGCTCTCGGTGCCTGAGCCCCCACCCCCTCGCCTCTCTCCCCGCGGCTGCTTGCGCCGCCCCGGCCGCGCTTGTTGACAAAAGACGTTTGGAGACTGATCGAAGACCCTCGCTCCCCGCTACGGTAAGGCTTTCCGCTCCTGTACTTGGCCGCACTCTCCAAAGTGCTCCTGAGCGGAGGCGGACTGGGACAGGCTGAGGAGGAGAAGCCTCCTGCAGGACTCACAAGAGCGCTTTGTGTGCGGACAGCAGAGTGGTAACACAGGGGTCGTCCCTCCTCCACCGCCCCCGTGTGATCCGCTATCATATGATGCTCATTTCTGTCTGCTGCCCGGGGCACATTATGACAGCTTTCCGTCTCTCTTTGTGCCTTTGTGTGTCCCGTCTCCTAAAGGTGTGGCCGAGGGGGTCTGTTTGTTGGAACTGGACGCTTTGACCGCAGAAGGCCGGCTTGGACGCCCCCACATCATATCCCCCTCTCCTCTTCTCTGAAATCTCCCAGCTTCTGGTACTTATCCAGCCGACAAAAGCGCAATCAAGATGGGCCACTTGAAGTAATCTTACGGCGTGCGCCAGGACAAGAGAGAAGGAGGCGAAGGACTTGGGTATTATTTTCCACTCGGGAATGGTGTGATCTGAGGCGGACAGGCATTCTGGATCTGACCGGGGACCCGTCTTTTCCCCGAGGTGTCCGTGGCTCCAAGCCGCGTCCAGACTCCTCCAAGATGGGGAAGTGCGACGGAAGATGCACGCTGCTGGTGATATGCTCGCTACAGCTGGTAAGTGTGTAAGGGTACTTCAGGGAGACAATCAGACCTCCAGCGTGCCAGGCCCGCACATTGCAAGCAGACATTTTTGTCCACCCCCTCTCCGCATAGTCTGTAAAGCTATGGGTTGCAGCTGCTGGGGGTGCGTGCCACATTTCAGGCTAGGGTGTGTGTCTTTGAAGATGAGAAGAGGGGCAGGGGACTTTTAGGTCTGTATAATAAGTAAACCATGTGAATATTTAGCAGGACGAGCAAGGCCACAACTGCTCTGATTCATTCATGCATGTGTCCTACAATAACAAAAATGTAATAAGTGTGTAATATGAGACAGTGGTGTGTGCTGATGCAGGCATGGACAGTGAGCAGGCTATTGTTTGCCCTGCTAATGATGTGCAGTGTAGCAGAGTGATTTGGCCCATACATTCTCATTAGTTTGGGGGCGCTTTTGGGGGATGCTCCTCTTCTCCCCTGGACTGGCTACTGCTCCAGGTAGTTACCATGGAAACAACTGCGGCAGACCTGTGTATGTGTGTCCCTGTCAATGTCTCTGAGCATTTATAATTTATTTATTGTGTAGCCACAGCATTTGCACATGGGAGCTTATGTTCTGTGTGATTTGACCTGTCTCTTGTTTTGCAGATGGCAGCCCTCCAGAGACAGGTGTTTGATTTTCTGGGCTACCAATGGGCCCCTATCCTGGCTAACTTCTTGCACATCATGGCCATCATTCTGGGCATTTTTGGCACAGTACAGTTCCGCTACAGATACCTCATCTTTGTAAGTTCTATAGCACTCCTTTCTACCACATTTGTTTTGACCACTTTGTGACTGGATTTCTATGCTTCTTGTGTTTCTGAAGTATGCAGTATGGCTGGTCCTATGGGTGGGCTGGAACTCTTTTATCATATGTTTCTACCTGGAAGTTGGAAACTTGTCCCAGGTAATTCATTTTGTTTCACATTATTATTTATCTTGTCAAATATTCAAGAATGGAACTTCTTTTGTTGATAAATCTATGGTTAGTTCAAAATCTATGCATTCCATCATGAAATTATATATTATTTTCTGGGAATGAGTTTAAGTAATTATGTCTTTTTCTGCTTTCTAAATTATTATTCTATACTGAAATAATTTAATAATTGGACTGTGTTAAAAGAACATCCTCATCTTAATGATTACCAGTTACTTCTTCTGTAATATAGTAATATAAAATCCTTCTCATTGGTTAGACTGACTTTGTTTACTCTCAGGACAGAGACTTCCTCATGACATTCAACACATCGCTCCATCGTTCGTGGTGGATGGAGCACGGCCCTGGCTGCCTGGTCACACCGGTGCCAGACTCTCGCCTGGCGCCTGATGACCACCATGTCATCACGGTCTCTGGATGTCTACTGGACTACCAATACATAGAGGTGCTGAGCTCAGCTGTTCAGGTCCTATTGGCTGTGAGTACACATTTATTACAAGACAAATCCACATATTACTTTGTAGTTACTTTATTTACAGTTGTTAAGTTATAGTTACATAAAAAGTGTGAGATTGAGATTTCAGCTTCTTAGAGCTAGACCATCTATCCATCCATCCATTTTCTACCCTTTAATCCATTTCTGGGTCAGGGGGGTGGCAGTCAGAGATGCCACCCAAGTCTCATAGCACCAGCCCCTCACTGACCCTCTGCAGGTGGTGAGTCCACAGGAGGACAGCTGCTCTCTGAGTGTGAGCATAGCCTTGATCTTTCAGTGGGGGCTTTTGGGCAAAGTGGGGTTAAGTGTCTTGCCCAAGGACACAACGACAGCAGTCATCAGTGGGAGTCCAGACCATCTAGCATCTTCAAATATTGTTCTGATTTGCTAAATATGGGTCAATCATTGGTGCACTATTAGACTAGGTCCTACATATCACTGTTGTCAACAAACAACACTGAATAAATGTGAAGAGAATACTTTAAATCAGGGGTCAGGAACCTATGCCTCGGGAGCAGGATATGGCTCTTTTGATTATCGTGTCTGGCTCTGATCTTAGAAGGCATTAATAGTAAAAAAAATAAATAAAAAAGTATGTATTGGATTTCCGAGACTAATATCTCACTCTATATGTGTTGATCTTGTGTTTGAAAAAATTACATAAAAAGGCATAACATTACACAAATATGCCTCCCACAGACATTTTTTGGCTCTCTCAGCTAAAAAGGTTTCCGGCCTCTGCTATAAATGACTGTTGATTCAATCTGAAAAAAAATGTATCATTTTGACACTTGATTTTGACTTTTTGTCTCGTTCTCAACAGCTCTTTGGCTTTGTGTATGCCTGCTATGTGAGCAAAGTCTTCCAAGATGATGAGGACAGCTGTAAGTATTACATAGTTTTGTCGGATTATTAGAGCCTGGTCCATTTACTCATAATGTGCTGTGAGGTTTTCTCATTGTTTTTATCAATCTGTGTTCATGCTGAGCAATATACCACAGAGGATTCCCTGTGGGTGACTGAGCACTCCATCTGTGTGGAGTATTAAAAAATGTGATGTCTGCCACAATATTCCCAGTGTCAGGAGTGTCTGTCTGTGCTGGCTCATGCGTGGAAGATTCTGTGTGCCATCTGTGGACAAACTGTCAACCACCCCAGTGTTTTGACTCTATTTTAAGCACAACATAACGAATCACTTATATAAATACCCACATTTTTGAAATATTGTAGTGTGTGAAAACATGCAGGTTTAATTTCTCGGCTCTGTTTTTCCAATTGGGTTGCTAAAATAAATCGATCGGGATAGAGTTATGTATCAGTGACTGTGAAGCTCTGAAATAGATGAGGAATTATTGCAAACCCTGATGTCATTATGTATGCATGCTGATATGGCTCTGTATCAAAAGCTATCTGATAGTATGATAGATTTTTATGTCAAAGTACTAAATGAACAAGAAATGTAATACAAAAAGGTGAAGTGGCCTTATATCTTGTTTCTTTTGTTTTAAAGTTGATTTCATCGGTGGTTTTGACTCTTATGGATACCAGCCCCCTCAGAAGTCCTCACATCTACAACTGCAGCCTCTGTACACGTAAGTCCTCTTAAAGTATCTCTCATTGATGCTTTAATTTAGAATAGTGCAAACATCAGCTAAAATAGACCACACAACAAACACATGATCCAAATGGCTAAAGAAACAGTACTTGTTGGACTTAAGTTTGTTTAACTCTGCAGCTTTTTTAGCAAAGCATGTATTATTTTTTTTGGTTAGTGCCCCCCCCTGGCTCAGAGCCAATATAGTAGCACCATGGATGTATTATGAGTAGCACACATTCCTGCTTCCTGGTGTGTATGTAGCCATTTTCACATGGTTTGCACTTGCACAGCACAATCTCAAAGTGAGTGGAGTCAGGCTGCTAAAGCGGGCTTCTCTGGCTCTAAGAGCAGGACCAGGGCAGGCTCGGTCTGCTCTGAGCAGGGTTAAACTCGTCTTTCACACAGACATTGAAGGAAAGTCACATTCACTTTCAGTTTGATTCATCAATCCATCCATTTTCTTCTGCAGTCTAGGCAGAGAGGCTCAGACTTCCCAATCCACAGGCCAGCTGAGAGACATAGTACCTCTTCTGATAAACTGCAACAAATGCTATAACCTATCATTGTTTAGTTTAGTTGTGGAGAAGAGAGGAAGGATATGATACACAAACAGAACAAGCACTGGATAAACATTACGGTTTTCTGTCTTCTGTCTTGGACCGAGGGCCACGCTTTATTGCAGCGATCAGAAATATGTGTTGATTTCAATGGACTGTAGTGCAAAGTTCACAGAGGTCACAGTGGTAATGGAGGTAGCAGAGGTCAAAGGTACGGCTGTGTGCTGGATGGATGGTGTTTCTCTTGCAGTTTATTTTTGTTGACAAGTGCCATCACATATTTTCTAGCTTAATTCTGTGTTCGAACAAAATTGCAGATGTGCATTATGCGGAATTTCTAATGGCTAGTGATTATAAGAGTTGTAAAACTCATCGCTGCTATATTGTCTTACTAACACGTGCAGAGCTGGGTCCATGTGAAGACGCCTTATGGGAGTAGCGGAGAGTCGACACAAGGAAGTGCAAGGAAAAACACATGTTATAAGGGAGGGGGCTGTTGTCAGAAGAGATTTTAAGGACCTCGAATCCATCAAGTTTTATTAGAAATCTTATTGTCAAAATATATTGGATTTGGAGTGTGTGTCGTTTCGCTCCATTACCTGTTGGTTAAGTGTTACATTACTATAAGAAATTAATATGTGGACTAAATGACAGGTGCGGTTAATAGTCCAGCAAGTACTGTATCACTTTTTGGAGGGACCTGAAGCACCTTTTCCACTGCAGCTTCTGCTTGCATCTCCATTACAAACTGTACTGTGCAGATCCTGGGGCAAATGCGTACCACTATCATCGTTCATTTGCATCTCAAAAGGATTAAGGCCATTCTATACTTATTTCACAAACTCACAGTAAATCATATTTTATAACAAGCAAAAACAGGAAAGCAGCAGCAGAAAAAAGACGTGAGATACAGACCAACTAATGAACTTAACTATTATCATCAGTGTCGTATCCAGGCCAAATATTTATCTCCTCATATTAAAAAAATCCAGCTGGAAGTATATTTCAGATGAAAAGTGGATATAAAAATATACACCGACAGCATTGTTTCCTAAAATCCATGCTTTAAACTGTGGTGAAGCAGTTATAATTGCAATATTTCCTGTTTTATCTATCCACAGATGATGACAGATTACATTTAAAGTAGTACTTCAACAGTATAAATAAGGCAGATTTGACACATTTACAAAATAATCTAACCGCTTTTACGGAAACAGCTATGTTCAAAATCTTTGCCACATAACTTTTATTGTGTATTGGAGCAAATAAGAAGTAAGCGCTCTCTCTTTCGTCCTGTGGGATTTTTTAATGATTTCCCTTGTGTCTGTGGTCTTTTCTTTTGTCTCACATTTATAATAATTAAAATCCAGTAGAAATAGCAATCGTATCCCCTACTTGTGTTTTCTCTATCCACTGCTGATAATGAGCCTGTCAAGTATTTGCTCGTTGGTCCCACAAAGAAGCAAGAGCTAAAAAGGGCCCGATCAGGTACCAGGGTAAAAGCACAAACCAAGACCATCCATCCATCCATCTTCCTCCCCTTAATCCATGTCTGTGTCAGGCGGGTGGCAATCAGCTGCCACCCAGTTCAGAGCACCAGCCCCTCACTGATCCTCCTGCAGGTGGTGAGTCCACAGGAGGATGTAAAAATGGATTGAATTTGTTCTATACAAGAATAATTCTGTTCCAACTTTCAATCAGAATTAGTTTTTTACATTTGTAATTGATCTAAGCCAAGGCATGCACTATTTCAAGCTTATCTGAATTAACTTGTATTGTCTGTTTCCTTCACAGAGCTGGTTAAAGTTTGGTGACGCTAAACCATGACAAATTCACTGTGGATGGAAGTTGGAGTTAGCCGCATTACACTCACTCTGCGCGTCACCGTTTGCTCAAGAATCAGACTTCTGAAGTGATGTGTGATGGACACGACCCTGAATTGAATGTACAGCGCTCAGGGATGAACCAGCATGGCAGTATTGTGAAGGAATGGAGGAATGAGGAGGACCCAGAGCTGAGGACACCTGTCACTGAAGACACACTTCCCCAGACTGCCAGCACTCAACACTCCACATGTGCGTTTAATCTAGCTGTTTAACTGTGTTACTACGGACTATGACTGAGGTATTGAAGTAGCAGCTGGTTTTAAAACACCCTAGTGCGGGCCATCCATTGCATAATGAAATGGCACTACTCGATGTTGTATTAGAATGTGGTGACAAACTAGACAAGTCTTCTGGTCGAGTCCCCAAGCCATGGTCCCACTATTTTATTATGTTTATAACTGTTCAGTGACAAATCCATGGACACTGTGTGAAACAAAGATCTACCTTGATCAAGTTTGCGTTTGACTTTGGGACCCGATATTAGTGTGTCTATGGCTATAGGAGAGCAGCGGGGATAATGCGCATGTAAATATCCTGCCAATTATGTTTTGTTGGTCCTATTTAGAAAAGTTAATCCATTTGGGGTGGGATATTTGGCCATCCTACCTGTTTCACTTCTCTCTCTTGAATGCTGCAAAGTAACACAACCACTTGTCTGGCATCAAACTGGTCTGGAGTCTTCAAACAACTGGGACCTAAACCTATCAATAGATTACAATAGGTTTATTATGTATTTAGAAAATAGCCCTGTACACATTACTTTATCCTCAAGTTCACATGCCCACAACCAAGGCAATAATACAACAATGTGTGTGTTCAGAGACTGAAGAGAGACAGGTATGAGGTAAACGGTGTCTTTGGGCACAATCTTGTTTGAAATAATAAAGGACTTTGTACAAAAGAGATGTGTTTTTACTTTTCTGAAGAATGTGTTTGTTTACATTTTTGGTAAGATGCAGTTTCAATATTTGCAACAATCTCCATTTGACAGGTTAAACCAGTAATTTCACAACATGGATCATTTATGATTTGACTAAAAGGCAAACAAGTTTTCCCAGTTCTTAAAAGTACTCTTATTGCTAAGTTATAATTGTAGTTCAAGTCAATTTCCTGTGGATGTTTTTGTGGTCAGCAGCACCCATAGACTGTAAATATTAACATTCAGGAGGGTTAAGGGAGCATCCTCCCTCAGTTCAGTGATGCCAATGGAGAAGAGATGGACCTCATGCAGAGTTGCTGTGATGAGATTCCCGTTACTGCAGACGCACTCCTATAAGAGAGCAATACAATTGGTTTGAACAATTACTTCATCATACATTAAATGCATTAATTAAACATTCCACACCGCCATATTATTTTTACATCCCATTTGAATACATTGCTTGCGGGGTTCAATATTGTGGACGTGATAGTTCAGTATAATAAATATGACAAATACAGTCTACGAATACAACAAAGGGACCAGTCCGGAGTGTGACCTCCCTCCACTCGTGGTTGACGCAATGAACCCACGAGCCGCACGCTCTCTCTCATCCCTTCCCGTCATGCAGCGCTCCTGCCTGCGCCTCCACCGAGCCGCCGCCATGTTGTCGGAGTGAAAGCCTGGGGTGTCGGAGAGAAACTGGGGCCGATATCCGCGACCATCCACCCTCTCCGCCGGTGAGTTGAGTGCATTTGGAGGGCAGGCCTGTGGACCATGATATCCATCCACAACTAGAGGGGCATATTGTAGGTATGAGGGCGATAGGACGGGGTTACGAGGGTGTTTTGTGAGCCCGGGCAGCAGCAGTAGCCTCCCTTTCTGCTCCCTTCTTCCTCCCCTTGTATCGGTCTTCCGCTCCAGACGGCTCTCGGGCCTTTGTTAGCATCTGCCTCACTGGGACCCGGTGGGATGCGAACAGGTAGACAACACTGAAGGGGTGCAAGCGACTGAACATGGGTGTTATGACTGTGACCGGGAGGTACAAAGGGCCTTTAGACTCTGTGTTTTGGACCCGGTGTAAGCCTGTGCAGTCGAGGCCGTGTTATTGTTACACAGGCGAACTGTGAGCCTCCATAACAAACCGACAGTAACTTCACAACACGCGTATTGGCCTGTGTGACCATCCGGATCTCGGTCCTGATTATTGTGTACAGTGTTCCGTGTTTTGTGTGTCGTTTTGATGTGTCATGTTGCGTTGGTGTTGTATGTTTAGTCTGAGCTCTGTGCTGCTAGCTTCAGGTTGGCTGCATGTATTGTCACACCCCTGTCTGTGGCCGGTGTGCAGTGGGTTGATACCAGCTATTCAATAATGATTAACCCACTGTTTTTTTCTTATGGAACACTGTGCATGTTTCCGGGTGCTGTGATAAAACCGTCCTCACACCGTACCCCTCGCGTTCAGTATGGCTCCTCGGGTTGAGGATTTCCGGGTCTTGCAGAGCGTTGAGATTTGTCTCTTTAATCATTGCAAGACTGGTTTTAGTGTGCTATAAATCCGCTCTAATGTCACGTGTTACAGAAAAATATTGTTATGGTCAGAAATACTGCATATATAATATGCATATAGACAAGTTGCCTTTTTCACAAGGGGGTGTGTTCCAGCACTTTAGCATAAGGGCATGTGTGTTATAATCTAGTGAGACTCTTTCAAACTTCACTATAGTTCTATGATATAGTAAGAGCTGCTCCTAATTTTCCTGTATGAAATCGTAAAACTATTCAGTTTAACCCCTTGTTGAATATTTGTGCTACACACCACAGGTGGTCAGACCCCATATCTTCATTACCAATGACAGACACAACATGTCTGTTTGATACAAGTTATGTGGGGGCTTTCTCCTTGCACAGGAGCTAATTGGGTGAATGGAGCCCCCCAGACAGTCAAACGCCCCTGACCACATGTCTGATCTTTACACTACTAGTTGCTATTGTTGTCCAGTGATTAAATGTCGATTTAAATACGCATCCTTATTTCCAATGGAAATTTCAGAAAAGTCCATCTCAATGTAGAAGTAGTGATTATCGTGATGACGTATTCACGGCCCAGTGTATTTCTTCATGTCTTGTGCATAACCGCTGTTAATGTTTGAAAAGAGGTTTGTTTGACAAGTTCTTGTACAAGACTCCGATTTATTGATCATTGAAGGAGCTTAGTTTGCTTTGCTTCATCCATGTCATAGTTGTGCAGTATTTCATAACAAGCCACAATCCTGTCAAAGAAACAGCATGAACTTGATTAGCAAAGTAAACTGTGAGAAACTGAACAAATAATGTAGCATAGATGGACTAAAACGAAGACCTAAATATAATTATGTAGGTCTTTGATTTATCATTATTTTTCAAACTAAAAGTTCATAGTTATTTGTGGCGTAAGGATACATTTTTACAGCTTAATGATGCATTATTAAATATAACCCAGGCGAGAGTAAAAGGCAGTTAGAGGATATCCCATCTGACTTTGCCTAAAATTCCATTAATAACACCAAGTTGACCATCTTACAAATATTCAAAAGTAATGTACTTGAATTCTCAAATAAATTAACCCAGAATTTATTCCGAGATTAGATGTGAAACAGACAAAAGGTGGAGCTCTGACATTTTACAAAAGATAGAAGGTGACTAAAGTCAATCACAGAACCAAGAGAGAAAGACAAATGTTGGGAGACATTAGTGGGAAACACGACCGCTGTGTAGGTTTCCTGAATCCAGGAGCTCATTTAGAATTTCTGCTATTTGGTTGCCTTAAGGGTTGACTTGTTTCTGCACTAAAATAGTATTAATATGGCTGCAAGATCAACATCAAGTCACAATTGTCAACTTAGCCATTCACAAACAACAATATATCCAGTTTTTAAATGGCTAAACGCTCTTGAGCTCATGCTAATTTGATCAAATTGCTCTCATAAGAGAGATTTGTTCTGGAATGTACAAGATTTTCCATTAGTTACATTAGTAACAGTTCATTTTGTCAGTTTCATCAAAAGAATTTCAATGTTCTGAAAATGGAGTGAAGTGGTTTGTCCGTGCTGAAAAATAAGCAAGTCTAATTCTAATCAAAAAGCTCATACAGCCCTGCAAAATGTTATTGATGGCTCAAAAGGCAGATAAAATCATCAAAGATTGGTCCACCATGTTGTCAAGAAACTATATTAGTTTTTTTTGCAACATTAGAAAATATACCTACTTTTATACCACAAATATTTCTAAATTAATTTTTTATTTTGACTAACTAATTTTTAACTCTAAATAATATGGTTTATGGGCATTTGAGCAGTAAGGTTTTATACAAGTTATATCAAATTTGGCACTGTTTCTTTAATTATACTTTAACCCTAGTCTGGCCTTATCCATCCGTACACTCCGCTCAATCATCATTTCCCTGCATGTAACGTCTGGGTCTTGTCCCCATGTTAGCGGCTACAATCGGTTGAATTTCGACCGACCTACCAGCGAGCGCGGAAGGCAGGTGTTGTAGTTAGTTGTGGGTGACGTGAAGAGTTTGCGTCGAACGGGGAGGTTGTAGTTTGGCAATGGCGAAAAATGCGATATTAAAGTAATCCGGTCTGGTTCTATCAAGACATTGAAGCTGGAGCAATAGGAATGTTTAGCAAATGTAACCGCTGGAAAAACTTGTGGCGCTACTCCCCACGGGCTCTGTTAGTGCAAAGGAGATGGCTAGGCTAAATGCTAACAACAGACTCGCGCAAAAGGAGTTAACCCCTCCTATCTGTAAACAGAGCTCAATGGAGCACCTCCAGACCTTAGTACGAAATGTAATTTGTGCTATGGTGTGGTACGACCCGGCTACTTTAACCCATACTTTTCGATATTTTTGAAATCTCTACCAGCTAATATTAATATTATTATTATCAATCTCTCTGGACTGTAGTCTTGGGCTAACTTGCATACAAAAATAAATACATGAGGGGAAATAGAAACATTTAATTGAAAATCTTGCACATCTGGAGAAAAGTTCTGAAATGCGTCCACGTTGGAATGAAATCCCATGCTTTTGTCGTCCATAAGTCCCAGGTTTCTGTGAAACAAGATTAACAATGAATAAGTACGTTTGAATGGACCTCCTCATTCTTAATTTGATTTAGTATATTTTTGCATAATACTTCAAATGTGTGCAGGGTTTTTGTTATGTTATTTTTGTTATTTTTTGTTTACCTTTTTTGTGTGTGTTGCTGTTTACATTTATGTGATATAGATTTTATTCATGTAAATGTTTTGTATAAAACTGCTGAAAAATGATCATAACAATAACTGAAAAAAAAAAAGATTAACAATGACATTTTCAACTTGTTTCCAGAAACTTTTCTCAACTTGTTCCCAGCAAAAGTAAAGTTGCCACATCCTGTTGTGTGACTTGTGTTGTTCTTCTCAGGCTGTGGTGGAATGAGCAGTGTGTGTGTGTTGAAGAGGAAAGCAGTGCTCTGGCAGGATTCATTCAGCCCCCACCATAGATCGACATCCCCCAGCATGCCTGTGGTGCTGAGCAGCGGAGGACATGCCCCCCCAGCAGGGCAGGCCCCTCAGGCCACACCCCCCAGCCAGCAGGTAAGGCCATTTTCACTTTTGCAATCTAAAGCCTGTGTCATACTTTACCACAATAATGCTAATGCTGGGGACTGAAGGAGAGCTCCTGGGTGCAGAAATCTTAAAAAAAAAAAAGACTTATTCCATCAACGATGATGCTCTGGTTTGGCAAGAGCTGTGATTGATCCATGTAAGAGCAGTGGGGGTGGACTGACCGAAATGGGGAAAGATATTTTTCTTGTCGTCCAGATCTCAACTTTTTCGGTGACGAATGCAAAACGTTAGTATATAAAACATGAATGAATGATAGCTTGTGCTGCGATTTTTATAGGATTATTTACACTCCTGCGTGAAAAGATTTGTGTGTTCCAAGTTTCGTCATCATCAACCTATCTTTCAAAGGAGATCAAGATTTGTTGATCTACTTAAAATGCTACATGCTCTTCTTGAGGTTATAAAGATGCAATGTGTATTTTGAATAATGTCCTTGCGTCCTGCACGAGCCCTGAATTCACTATAGCCTGTCTGCAGGGCAGAATCCATGAACCAACAGAGGACGTATGAGTGTTGTTGTTAGTAATTTGAGGATATTGTGCTCATGTCTTGTATGTTTTTCTTCAGGGTGTGGCTGGTGCTGGACGTTCCCAGGATGATGCCATGGTAGACTACTTCTTCCAAAGGCAGCACGGAGAACAGCCTGGCAAACACCGTTGGCCCACCGGGGACAACATCCATGACAGTCAGGTGTGGGCATTTTGTCACTGGATGCAACATTATGATACCATGGTACAGATGATCAGTTTACATGTTTTTTATAGGTGCGGTCCATGGATGAGCTTAACCATGACTTCCAGGCTCTGGCTTTGGAGGGACGTGCAATGGGAGAGGTAAACAGATTTATAAATCCTCATGTCAAACAGTGGTTGTAAGGTAGTACTTGCCCTGGGTAAGCTACTGCTGCGCTGTAGCCTGTGGACTGGCAGAAGTCCATGTGACCAGTGCTCACACGCATCACACTCACAATGGAAGCGTCTTACCAACAGCGTTAATCCAAGCAGGAAGTGCCGACCTTCAGGTTGGTGCTTTTTCCACAGTTGATATAAACTGTTGGACACCAAACCCAAGCTTGAAACGGGTGCTTGGTACTGATGAACTTTCATACATGCTCTGACTGTCCAGATCTGACTTTGTTCTTGACCCACAGGGTCAAGAACAAAGTCATAGCATTCCCCTATTGGATATAAAATATGTTCAGCTTCAAACAAAGACTAAAATATTTTAATTAGTTGGGTCCAAAACAAATGCGTATAACACCACCAACTTGATCAAACATCTGAAAACTCGCAACACTCGGAGTATAACACCTTTGCTTACACCGGAGCACAAAAACAACCAACTCTTCTCGCTTCTCCAAAGTTTGTTGTAAAGATGTCAAGCGTAAATAATGCACTGGTTACTCAGGTTAAAATTTCATCTAATGTTGATTGGCTACTGCTGATTTATGTTGACAAAGATTTACCAATTGCGTAATTTTGCTTTTACACTATTTAAGTTTAAACTCTCTAAAACTCTCTCAGTGCATTGAAATGACAGTTATTTCTTTGTACCATTTGTATGAGTGCAATATGACAGTGGCTCTTATTGTTGACTGTTAAAACAATTGCTAAAATTTTAAATTGTTAAAGCATTTTCTTAGTGTTGAAATTAGAAATAAAACATTTTCAATTTCAGTGGTATTAGTTTTATGAATTCCCAGGGATAACACAATGCAGTACTTGTATAATGCATCGGTGAATCTCTATTTTTATACATTTGAAAAAGGCAACCATAGTCCCACCAGGTAACACTGTCACTCAGAGGGAACTTCATCCCACATAATTGTATCTATCCAACATGGTTTTATAAGATTTAATAAAGGAAATGCTTTGCCAGATAACTTTAACCGTCTGCTGTGTATGTAAATGAGACCAAGGAGACGTACAATAGATTACAAAAGAGTCAAACCTGAAAAACAGGAATTCCAAGAGAAGCAGAACGTAGAGTAGACCCAAGGCTTTGTCTCCTAAAAAGCACAGAGAAATCGGAGATATTCTCTGTAGCTTTGTACACAACCATTTCTGTCTTGTCACTTTGTCAGATTTGCGTTGCAGTGTGCTGTTTCTGTTCAGGCCACTACCGATCACATTGGTGCGTTATAAATAAGATGCAAACATGTTCAGTCTATGATTTACTCACTTGTGATTTTGAATTGTAAATGAATTCTTAAACCCTGTTACAATTTCCTTTTTTTCCTCCCATCTCCTGCAGCAGTTACTCACTGGAAAGAAGTTCTGGGAAGCTGACGACTCCGGGAAGGACGGCCCTAAAGGGATCTTTTTGGATCAGTGGAGGGACAGTGCATGGGGCGCATCTGGTACTAAATAAATTTGCAAATTTTAATTTAAAGACCATAGATCACCATAAACCAAATATCATTTTAAGACTATGGTAATCCTTGCAATCACAGTTGGGAGATCGTGGCATTATAAAAAAAAAAGCCATTTCCCTATTCTATTCTATTCAATTATTACCACCATTTCAAAGACTATATTGTCTGAGAGTAGAAATTCTAGAAATGGAAGGTAAACATTAAAGTCTTTTATATGGTTTTATGGTTCTATTGCTCAATCAATTTATATTAATTAAAATAGATTCTCTTATCTGAATTTTTGAAAGCAAAGCCACCAATCTTTAGCCCGTGCTAGTGCTTAATTGGCCTTTGGCAAGTTCAATTTGGATGTATTGCAAACCATTATAAAGTTCATGATTCAAATGTACATTCTGAAAATCTAATTCAAGATCTGTATTTGTACATCTCACTGAAAATATCGTTTTGTTCTGTGGTAGATCATTCGGTTTCCCAGCCAATCATGGTGTCCCGTCGGCCAGGGCAGGGTTTCCATGGAGGAGGCGAAGTTGGTGTGGGATCAGTCATGTCCCCGCGCTCAGAGAGTGGAGGTCTGGGTGTTAGCATGGTGGAGTACGTCCTTTCCTCTTCACCAGCTGATAAACTGGACCCATGTCTTCGCAAAGGGCCTTATGTAAGACTGCGAATGGCTTTGCATATAGTCATTTGTTTTTTTTTAATGAATTTCAATCATTATAAATAATTAATTTCAATGAATAAACAAATGTTTCTTTTGTAGGGTCAAAGGGATGGAGAGGGTGAGGAGGAAAAGCGCGAAAAGCCGAAAGCAGCATTTGAAGGAGAAAAGCTGAAGGAGTTAACTGAAGTAGAAGCTGACGTTATTAACGATGTAATCAATCCCAATGGACTACCTGTACAAAATGGCCTCGATGTGGATGTCAAAGAGTTTGGGTACGATTCAGCTTTTGTGTCACTTCTCCTTCTTGTCTCCATTTACTTTGTTGGTGTTGTAGTTGTTGTTTTAATCTTTGAAAAAAAAAAAAAAGCTGACTCAGAATGGAGCTCCAGACGAACACTTTTGGGTCCATTGTGCTCATAACTGTTTTATTTATCACTACTTGAGGTGCACCAGACTTATATATTTAATGAATATGATAGATCATACTCAGTTTACACATTTAATCAACAAGTGCATGTTTTGCACTGTTTATTTGAAAGAATTTTAGAGCTGCACTTATCAGGATTTTCTAGAACGATCATTTACATATCTACGAAAGTCCTGATTGGATAATACCGATCACATTGACTTTGACACCATTTTTGTATTCATTGTTGTTTGATGTTTGATGTTTGTTAAGAATTTCACTTTGGGCTCTTTTGATTTTATTATTTTCACTTAAATTAAATATAATCTTCTTCTCTATTGGCCAAAAGATCATTTAAAAATCAATTCCATTTGGACTTAAGCTCCCTGATTGCTTTACTTCACATTCATTAGACAGAGAAAGAAAAGTTGTCTCTGTGAGTGACTGGCGATGGAAACTAGTCGACGTGGGCGGAGCTAAGCGTGATGATGTGAAAATGTGATTTTCCTATGATTGGTGCATCTCTAATCATTTGATATTTGTACATGCATGTTGATTAATATGCAGATAATTTGAGATAAAATTTGACTTTTAAATAGTAAAACTATATAATAGCAATTTGAACGTTTTTAAAATATTTTGATCCAATACACACTTTTCAATTGATGCAGAGGCTTGCAGTAAAAATGGCCTTGTCTCCCACACAGGTCAATTGTAGATCCACAGTTCTGTACTAACAGGTATTTCTTCCCACTACAGTCGCCCTCCAGTTAACATGCAGGCACCTGGCCCTGAGGGAGACTTGCTCGGAGGTCCTGGTGGTGTGGGGGCCGAGGGTCTTGCTCCTTTGGGAGGTGGTGGTCCCAAACCCCCAGAAGACTTCTCTGTTGAGCAGGGTGGTGTTACCATGGACCCCATGGAGTCAGTGATGGAGCCACTGCAGTTTGACTACAACTCTCAGATGCAGATGGACTCTGCACCCACTGTGGGTTTATTTGATTACACCAACCAGCAGCAAGTGGGTGCAGTACTTGGTCAAACAAGGTCTAAAGTGTTTACATGTCACTTAAATCTTTATTTCATTTTCAGTTGTTCCAGAGAAATAATGCCCTTGCCGTACAGCAGCTAACTGCAGCGCAACAGCAACAGTATGCCTTAGCAGCTCAGCAACCGCATATTGGTAAGCAGCTGGTCTAGGTTCTAGTTCTATGAATGATGGACAGTAAAACTAGGTCATTTATGGCTACTTTTGTACATGCAGGTCTGGCCCCAGCCTTTGTGCCCAATCCTTATATAATCAGTACTGGACCTCCTGGAACAGACCCCTATGCAGCTGGACTAGCAGCAGCAGCCACTCTTGGTAAGATGCAAAACTGCTCTAGAAAGGCTTTCAGCAACTGATAATGTATTAACAGCCAATAAAGTAATAACAAAAAGCTAATTATGTAATAAGTTATTATGTTACTGGTTGGTTAGTGTTAGTAACCTTTTGAAAAAACCAGACCACAACCTTTATTACATAGTTGTATTACTCTTGAATAGGTTACGTTGGCGCCTCCTACAAGGTGAAAAAGTGACTTATTTCTTATTTTTCAGAATCTTTTTAGATTTTTTATGAATAATTAAGTCTCATTATGAAGTAAATTGACCTAATTTAAGTCTAAATTGCAAAACAAATACTCCAGTGACTTTCTTTAACCCAGTCCAGTCTCACTGTTACCAGCAGAGGGCCTTGTCCTCCACTTTTGGAAGATTAGAGCTGTAGTTCATGCAGTCAGTTTTAAAAAGTTTACCGTTTAATATTGTGTTAAATGTGGCATATGTTTCTAACCAGGTCCAGCCGTAATGCCTCCCCAGTACTATGGTGTCACCCCTTGGGGGGTATATCCAGCCAACCTGTTTCAACAGCAAGCTGCTGCAGCCAATAACTCAGCCAATCAGCAGGCAGCAGGCCAGGGGCAGCAGAACCAGCAACAGGTGACTTTCCAAAAATGACTTCCACCTTTACCATCCAGATGATGATGATGATGATGATGATGGTTAAAGTTGTGTCTCCAGGTAATGCGTGCTGGGGGAAACCAGCGGCCTTTGACTCCAAGTCAAGGTCAACAGGGTCAGCAGAATGATCAGCTCGTGGCGGCTGCGGCGGTGAACTCGGCTCTTGCGTTTGGTCAGGGTTTGGCTGCAGGTGTTCCTGGTGAGTGAAGTGTGCATGCCATGGTCCATGAAGTGTCCTGCTAAACTAAAACTCTGCTGCTGTGTTTGTCCAGGTTACCCAGTGCTGGCTCCTGCAGCGTACTATGACCAGACGGGCGCTTTGGTAGTAAACACCGGAGCTCGAAGTGGTCCCGTCCGCCTCATGGCTCCGGCCTCTGTCATCATATCTCCCTCTGCGCAAGCGGGTAAGTGCCTACAATAATTGCTGAGTGGAGGATTTATTCAAGGATGACGTAAAAATACTTGAATACGTTCAAGTAGTAACTCACTCGGGCTGAGTACTGTTTCTTTTTTACCGGTTACAAATAAAGTAAGATTGTCAACTTAATGTCTTTTTTTCTGCACACTGATGTGACGCTTGCCTAGATGTGGTTTAACCAGCAGAGCTGTTTTCTGGCCGTCCATGAGAGTAACTGCACACTTGTAGGCCAAGAACCTATGAATTATTTCCTTGCTTGTATCAATACCATCGCATTCATGCCACAGTATATCCTATCCCACGGCACATGGTCATAGAGGATAGTTGTTGGCAAGTCCGTTTGGAAAATGAGCTGTTTTTATAATCATCCATTTATGTTGAATTAAGCAAAATTAATAATATACGCAGACATTTTTATTCAAACATTTCCCTTAAGTCTGATTGGGTCTGCTTTTCAGACTATTACGTGCTAATATTATTTGCATATTACCACAGTAAATGTATCTTAAGAATAATGCTTCTGATATAACAAATGCTCGTGCATGAAGTTCTCGTTTGATTTGGAGCAGCCACGTTCGTAATGCACGGCACACATCCTTCGACTGTACCAGTAGGAACCGCTAAACAGTGTCCAGCTACACCTCACTAGTCTGGTCAAATGTTTTAGTTAATTCAGTTTCCTTGGAATAATAGAATCATCTTTTATGTAGAAGGTCATTTTAGTGTCTTAAAATGTCATTTGTCAAGAATCTCTTACACATGTATTGGATTCAAGGACTACAACGTATTTGTTCTTTCACTCCAGTGGCAGCCGCGGCCGCCTCAGCAGGTGGTGCCAACGGTGGACTGGGTGGTGGTGCCAATGGTCCTTTCCGTGCCATGACCTCACAGCAGGCTCAGCAGCAGGGTGGTCCAGGGGGAGCTTTGGGGGGCAGCTCCTTCTATGGCTCCTCCTCCATCAGCTCCTCCTCACAGAGCTCCTCACTGTTTTCTCAAGGCTCCGCTCAGCCCGGCCCAGGGTCTGCTTCTCTGGGTTTCAGCCAGCCAGCCTCCTCTTCACTCGGGGCCACTCTAGGAACCCTGGGGGGCTTTGGAACGGCAGGTACAATAGCATTGTTTTATGTGAAATGCAAAGTGATTACTTTTTTTTAGCAATGCACAAAATGATTCCTAAATCCTCTCTCTAGTGGCTAACTCTAACGGTGGAAGTGGGTCCCGAAGGGACTCTCTAACGGGAAACAGTGAGCTGTACAAACGAACAGCATCAAGCCTCACCCCGATCGGCCATGGAGGCTTTTATAACGGCACCTTGGGTTTCAGTCCTTCTCCTGGACCTGTAGGAATGCCTTTACCCAACCAGGGTCCCTCCCATTCACTCACCCCTCCACCCTCACTGTCCAATCACAGTTCCTCATCCAACCTTAATCTCGGTAAGTACTTTAACATTAAATTCAATTGACAGATTAAAGTAGTTGATTTGCTACCATTAGTGTTTTATTTCAAGTTTGAGCCATCCTGTAATTGTTTGAGGTTCGTTCATTTATGCCCACTTCATGTCCCAAAATGGTTCCAAAATTTCAAACCACCACCCATCCAGAAATACTGGACAAGCACCTGCCTGAGTTGTACAATTTATCTGCAAACACAGCCTTTTGAATGTTAATATTTTCACCACGTGTTTATAACCAAATGCCCACCTTACATAATGAAGAAAATCCAAAAGAATGTGGGTGAGCCCATGGAGCTGTGTTATGCATCGCACCCGTCATTGGTCCCATTGGCAGTTCTACCCGGAGGATCTGAGGCTTCGGGAAAGTTTGTAGATTCTCAGTGGCATAAAAGCCGTATATCTATTTTCTGGTCGCAGATGGCAGCATATGACTTGTAGGAAATAGTTATGCGTTTCTTTGACAAAACAGTTTCAGTATAGATACAATCTTCCTTTTCGACATGGTGCTTCTTCCTGTAATGTTATTTTGAAGATTAATTCATACATCCTGAAGGGCCACTAGATGACTTTGCTCACTCGTTTGTCTGACCTTTCAGGAGGCCTGACCAATGGTAGTGGGCGATTCATATCCGCAGCCCCCGGAGCCGAGGCCAAGTACCGTAGTGCCGCCAGCTCAGGCTCCTCCCTCTTCTCCCCCAGCAGCCAGTTGTTCCCATCGTCACGGCTACGCTACGGCATGTCGGATGTGATGCCATCGGGCCGAAGTCGTTTACTGGAAGACTTCAGAAACAATCGTTATCCCAACTTGCAACTCCGAGATATTGCTGGCCACATAATGGAGTTCAGCCAAGACCAACACGGAAGCAGGTATTTCACTCCACCTTAACATTTATGTTTGGATTTATTTAATAGCACTGTTATTTTGTGCAGTGCAGAATCTCGTCAATTTTATTATTTCTATAATATTTGTAACATTTTTTTTTTTAAATAAAGTGGTTGTTGTTTGTTCATGCTATTCCTCAAGGAGATGTTCTTGATTCTGATTTGAGTGTATTTTGGAGGATTTATTAACCATTTAATCGCTTAATGCCCATCCTTGATAATATCTGTGTCATTCTGCTGAAGTTGATATTTCTTACACTTTAAATGTTTTCTCTTTTTAAGGTTTATTCAGTTAAAGCTGGAGAGAGCCAGTTCAGCAGAGCGCCAGCTTGTCTTCAGTGAGATATTGCAAGCGGCGTACCAACTTATGGTGGATGTCTTTGGCAATTATGTCATTCAGAAGTTTTTTGAGGTACAATGGAGTCTGCTGTAAACTTTTGTTTCTGTGATATTTTTGCTTACATTTTTGTTTTTTGTTAGTTTGGGAGCTTGGACCAGAAACTGGCTTTAGCTGAGAGGATTCGAGGCCACGTCTTGTCGCTGGCGCTGCAGATGTACGGCTGCAGGGTCATTCAGAAAGCTTTGGAGTTCATCCCTTCAGACCAGCAAGTCATTGTAAGTCCATATTTCTACTGTATTTGTAGTGTGTGATGAGGGAGTCTGGATTACATTAGTTCAACTATTTTTATTTTTTTAAATATTTTTTTATATCTTAATTAGACCATATGTGGTTTGTTGTGGTATGTCAGTTTAATCAGGACATATTCATTTAGATTTTAAGTTGATGTTGTGGGTGACTTATATCATACTTCATGTACCAGAGTACCAGGTGGAGCCTGAAACCAGATAGAGGTACTAGAGGTAGAGGGCTAATAAATTAGACAGCAGAAATACATAAAACAAAAAACTGAATGTGATTACTTTGGCACCTAAAAGGTCAATGATGGTATAAATATTCTCAATTATTTATTTTTCTTTGCTCCCATGATTTTATATTTAACAGACGGCAATAGGTGACCTTCTACACAAATGCGCATTTCTCAAGTCAATCTGGGGAAAGGTTCTTGGGAGAGAGTACATCCATCAGTTTTAATAGAATATAATGCAGGTCTTCAGGGCAGTTTCTTGTATAGAGTCAGTGTTATTTGTTGGGCTTCGGGCCACAGTGAAAAATGAAATAGAAAATGCTTTTGGGCAGAATTTGATTTCCCAACATTGACCTGTCCCTTACCTCACTTTTCCTCACGCGTGTGCTCTTGTCCCTCCAGAGCGAGATGGTCCGTGAGCTGGATGGACATGTCCTGAAGTGTGTGAAGGACCAGAACGGTAATCATGTGGTGCAGAAGTGTATAGAGTGTGTCCAGCCGCACGCGCTGCACTTCATCATAGACGCCTTCAAGGGACAGGTGGGTGTCCCGTGTCGTCCAGCAATATTTCATCTTTGAATCACTGTCCTGGAGAAAGGGATTCACACACACTGTCACAGCCTTAAGACAGACGACATATGGTCACTGCCTAAATGCATGCTCTGCTTTCCAGTAAAGGATTCAGTTATCATGGAATATCACCATTATGTTGCTGTAAGAGCTGGATTTAACATTTATTTTAATAATCTATTAGTTGGATTATAATTTGAATAGTCAAGGTGTTTCTTTTATACTTTTGACCAAAACAAAGCTTAACTATTGTCCCTAGAGAACCTCTGCATAGGGATGACTTATAACAAATTGGGTTCTTTGACTATTTTAATTTCATTTCTCCAGTCGTAGAATTATCAAAGCCATAAAACCTCCTCTCAGCATGTTTAAGGCCATTTAAGCTTCAAAAACAATTAATTGATTCCTGAAATGGTTGTCAACTAAAATTAGTAATCAAGTAGTTGCGATTACAGCCCCTGCGTTAAAGCCCTGCCAAGTTCCTGGTGATATTTGCCCCTCACACAAACTTTGTACATTACTAACGGGCCCCATGGCTGTGTGTCCTTAGGTCTTCGCCCTCTCCACTCACCCGTACGGCTGTAGAGTCATCCAGCGCATTCTCGAACACTGCCTTCCGGAGCAGACGCTGCCCATCCTGGAGGAGCTCCATCAGCACACAGAGCAGCTCGTGCAGGTAACACGTCCACAGATCTGGCAGCTCCGAAGTGTCTGTTTCACAGCGTTTTCAGAATACACAGGCCTTATGTTGATTTTATTATTTTGATATACGCGTCTCTGTTCCGGATATTGGCTGTGTTTGTTTTGACGTCAAGCGCACCAGCTGGTCTCCTCACATTTTTGGTAATGTGTCTGTGCGTTTCTTGTTGCTTTCAGGACCAGTATGGCAACTATGTGATCCAGCACGTTTTGGAGCACGGCAGAGCTGAGGACAAGAGCAAGATAGTGGCAGAGATCAGAGGCAATGTACTGGGATTAAGCCAGCACAAGTTTGCCAGGTAAAAATATATATTTAGCTGTTCTGATTTTGATTATTCCTCTCCTTGTGGCCAGAAGTGAATGTAGTTTTACTGTTTCCTTTTCTTTCAGTAATGTGGTGGAAAAGTGTGTGACCCATGCATCTCGAGCCGAGAGGGCAGTGCTGATTGACGAGGTTTGCAGTCTGACTGAGGGCCCCCACAGTGCCTTATACACCATGATGAAGGACCAGTATGCCAACTACGTAGTGCAGAAGATGATCGATGTGGCTGAACCCACACAGCGCAAAATCGTAATGCACAAGGTTAGTTGGTTTGCCTCATGTCAAAAACAACTTAATTTGTTTATTCTCTAAACAATTGAACCTAAAATGCAATTGGTAAGAATGAATTAAATAGGTCTACGGTACCCTGTGGTTCTGTTTCAGTCCACGCATATCTACTGACTTTGGTCTGAAAAAACAACCAAAAGAATATGAAAAGCCATATTAGATAAAAGGAATTTGTTTAAAAAATGTTTTTGATTAAAATCCCACCAAGGCATTATATAATAACCTCTAAAAATGTCCTAACTGCGAACTGGCACATTTGCATTAGCCCCAACTCCCTGAATCAAATCCACCTGGCACAACTTTAAAACAGTGATTTGGGTTTTTTAATCTGGCATTGGCCACAGAAAACCCTTGTTGGTCGACCTCTAGTTCATTGTATAATACTCATCCAACACACGTTAAACGGATGAATAGTCTACACCAGTATTTCTCAAACTTTTCACAATACGTACCACTAAACTAGACTTGTCTGGGTCTATATTGAGTATACATTAGGACTAAACTAAGTAGTTCTAAATTATAATTGACTCGAAAGGGAACAAAAAATTTGGAATAAACTGTCAATTTACCAGGTACTGGTCTCTGTGTACCACCAGAAAAGGCTTGGATACAATGTGTAGTTTGGGAAATGCTGTAGAATAATACTTTATTTCTATCTCAAAATGTTGTTTGTTCAGATCCGGCCCCACATCTCGACTCTGCGAAAGTACACATATGGCAAACACATCTTGGCCAAACTGGAGAAGTACTACATGAAGAACGGTGTCGACCTGGGTCCTCTTTGTGGTCCTCCGAACGGGATCATGTAAAACCTCTTTGTCCTGAAACCTTCCCCTTGGAATCATGTCGGTCAGCTGCCTTCTCACTGATATCCTCCACACAGTCATGTCTAACAGCCCTGACTCTAATTGACCCTTTGGAGAGTGCCGTTCCCCTTTCCCCTCTTCGTCTCTTACTCGCCGAGGATACGGAGTACCCCTCAATTCCCTGTTTCCATGACAACCTTACAGGAGGAGCCTTCGTCGCGTAGTCGTTTGCCCCTCCCCCCTCCGAGCCCCGGCCTGCTGATCTGGGGCAAGGAGGGAGCGGGCAGAGGTGAGATCTCGGCTTTCTCATCCATCCACTCCTGCCTTTTTGGTTTTGGATTTTGATTTTGATTTCTATTATCATTGGATAAAAACTGAAAATCATTTCACCTTTTTGCTACTGCTGCACCACAATCCTACTGTCCCGCCTCCCATCCTTAGCTATTTACCACTATGAGATGGAGGAAGTATTTAATTTGTCTGACTTCACTGAATCATAGATGAACACACGCAGCATCAGCTAACCAGCAGACAGATCATTTAGCATGGGAGATTCGTTTCTGGTCTTGCTTCTATAAATATAACATGTATACTTGGTGTAGACCTTTGCATATATATATAAATATATATATATAAAACTTTGTAGTTTTTTCTGGTTTTTGATGTTAAATCTGTATCTATAATGTATCCTAGTAGTGACCACATACTTCTGACTGTATAATTGTACATTTGTAAACCCTTGTAATGTAAAAGTGCTTTACCACCCTTTTTGGTATGAGAAGATGATGAAAAAAAATCTCACCTGAAAAAAATCTTAGAAAAAACCTGTGCATTTCAGTGTATATTCTCACCTCCTTGGTTGTGACATATGAGTTGTTGTATATTGTAAATTGTAATATCAAATTTTTGTTTTGAAAAGCCCTTTCTATACAGCGTAGTACTTGTACAAAGATTTGTCATGCTTGGTTTTATCTTGTCACTGCTTAACTTAAGACATTGATCTCCCACTGAACCCCAATTGGACCCATTCAGTTTAGTGGCGTCTTCTCATTTGTTCATGAGTTTTCGTTTTGACCTTTTTTAAGCTTTTTATAGGAACGCTTTACCCATGAGATATGTCATGACTGAGGGTTTGCAGAGTGGGGAATGACTTTGGCCAGGCTCTACAAACGCTCAAGTTCATATCAAGTTTCTCTGGGGGGGCCTGGATTGTACAGAGGAGAATCTTGTGTTTTTTGGCATTTCTCTTGTGCTGTAAGTGCTGTATCATACTGTCCATGTCCTTTTGGGTGAGAGGAGTCCCGCTGATAGTGCGGTGTACATTTGGAGCAGCCTTGTGTATATTTACTACGAGCACACCTGTAACCATATGTGTATAGTTAACAGAACCTGTGTATGCTTATTGCCTGGGCAACTATTTTTTGTAACTCCTGTTGTAGATTGTCTCTAAACAATTGTGTGATCTTTATTTTGAAAACCAAACTGAAAAAAAAAAATTTGAAAAGTTTACAGTCTCTTGCTCTTGTTTCTTTGTACTTTATGTAGAGTTTCATATCTGAGAGTCCTCTTAGAGGGCCTTGAAAGGGAGTGTTTTTGTACTCAGGATCCGTAAACATGACTGATTAATGTCACTGGCATCTTAATAGCGCGGCCTTGACTATAATGTACTGTGTTGGGACTTGCTCCAGTGACTGCTCCTGTAATGGTGCACAAGCTATAACATGGCCCCATGTAAAGATAGTACATGTCATTTATTTCATCTAGAACTAGTTTAAACTAAGCCACAGCTCAAGCTTTTTCCTCACATTTAAAGTGTTGTTGCTTTTGTGAGAATATAATTATGAATTGTAATGTATTATGAAAAACAATTGGTCACTATTTCACAAACACACGCAGAGAAAGTATTAAGTTGTGCCAAAATGTCCAGTTAAAGACTTCAGCACACACTAATTGGTTGGTTGCTGAGGCAGTAAAACTTATCTTCTGGACCCAGGTGTATTTCACCAAGTTAATTGGATTTCCAAAAGTGTCGCAGATACATTTAGTTAGTGGGTGAGAATAAGTGCACCCTTGGTACTGGGGCTGTGTATTCTAAAGCCTTTTGATGCTTGTTGGTGCCTGGGTGAGCTGCAGGGGGCATCCTCGCCCTGGCTGCTGTAAATCCCCCTCCTCCAGACTCTGAGGCGCACACGCACAGTCCTCCTGACAGACTCCCAGGCCAGGCACGGACCACATACGGAACATCCTGCCCTCGACGCACGGAGAGGGGGAGGAGAAAGAGCGAGTACGCACAGAGCAGAGTGTATCGGAGAATAGACGAGAGCAGGTTTAGTGGATCTATCAGCTCCGGAGCATAAGAAGTCGGAGGAGCGAGGGGAGGGCCTGGCACAAGGCTCCTTTTAGTCCGTACGGGAGAGAAGCAGCCAGCTCCCCACACTCAACTTGGATTAACCGAGCCGTCAGGGAGGACGGCGGCTTGTGCGCTGAAGTTGGACAGACTCCCCCACAGAGACCAGCAGCATTTGTCCCCCCACCTCCTCCTGAACCTCGAGAAGGCAGCGGCGGGAGGCTCATCATGAAGCTGCCTCGACTCCTGGCGCTTACGGCTCTGCTGGTTCATGCGGCCGCGGTAAGAACCATGCACGCTGCGCTTTGTCCACCGCACAGTCCATTAGCGCGACTGCCGTGAAGAAACGCCACTCGACCTACATATGAGCCTTATCTGCCACCCCTGACTCCCGGTGGGATAAGAGGGGCTACTGGCGGCTCCCGTGCATGTGCCCCCCACCCCCCTCTACCACACGCGCCTTTGTGTCTCTCAGACTGGGGCAGGAGGTGTGTGAGTGTGAGCATGAGCATGTGAGTGAGTGTGGCGGTAATTAGCGGGTAATCTCTAATTGGACTTGATTACAGAGCGCCTGTGTGTGTGCGCAGTGTATGTCACCGCTCACATCCTGCCCCTAATTTGGACCTGGCTGCAATTTTGGAGTTTATCACCGGGGTTCCCTGTGTAAATCCCTGGACTACTGCGCGTGTGCGTGGCTGTCCGGTGTCTAAACCTGTAAAGTGCACGTTTCTGAAACTGTGGTGGGGCATTGTGCGGGGTATTCTCCATGCTCCGTCTCTCTAATGTCCTTTTGATGAATACGCTACGTGCGCAGAGGGTCGTGGGTGGGGTAAAGTTATAGCTGTGATGCGGTGCGAAAGCTGGCATGGCATGATGTCATCGGGAATCGCGAGCTGATTAGGCATACACACCCCCCCTCCATAACTAACCACCATCACCGCCATCCCTCCCAACCAACACCTCAAGAGAAGCATCCACGCCAAGTTTTACGCGCAGGATGCTCTCCCATAGGCTCCAGCAGCACGCCCACACTTTCCGCCACCGTGGATCTAGATTTATCCCGTGAGGAGGAGGTGAAACTCACTGAATCATTGAAGGAAAATGGAGCGTTCAAAAACAGGCACATGATGCACATGATCTACTTTTAAACCTAAAACATACTTGATCAGCAATACAAACATTCCCATAGGGTCAAAGTGATGCGCGTGCACAGTCTTATATAGACATCTGACGCCATGCCATGTTTGATTAGCTGCCTTTTGGAGGAAAAATGGTTCAATGACACAAGCTTGACACAGCTCCAGGGATCAGGAACTGTTTAACAAAATCAGTTAAAGCGGTGTATTCAATTACTTTTTAACTACTATACTTCACATGGATGTATTTGTAGCCTCTGTCACATCTTCAATTCATTTTAATTTATATAGCCCTAATTTACAATAGCAGTCGTTTTTGAGTACTTTTACAAAATTGTCAATTTGCCAACAACAGATTGGAGAATAAAACAAGTATCACATAGGAAATGCAATTATGTCCATACATGTCCTGGATCATCACTGCTCTTTGAGTTTCCTGCATCAGCAAAGAATGATCAGCTTTTTCAGAAAGAAAAATGAAGAAGAGGACCAAGTCTCAACCCAAAGACTCTAAGAGTGACTCACAGGGTTTAATCTAAGTACGTAAAAGAAAAGATGAAGAGGCATGTACTGGTCTCATTTTTTCACAAAGTGTTACTTTTACAAAGCTCTTCCACTAATTTAGGAAATGGAAAAGTTATCCTCCCCAGCTTTAAGTTGGATTTGTCTTCTGCTCTTTTAGTTTGTGGGAGCTCGAGCTGCAGCTCCACAACATTCAGTTCCCTTAATAGACTGGAGTTCTTTGGGATAATGACACATTCTTACCTTTGCCAAAACAAAAAGGCAACAGACTCTAATGAGCAAAGGGACACATGCCAGGACTCGAACTCCAAAGGCCCCCACCCATAATGTTTTAAAAGTGTTTTTAAGCCTATGTACAAAATACTATAGGCTCTTTTTAAAGGGCCACACTTTAGGGTCAAGATGCCTCTCCACGTCAGGTGCAGATTCCTTTAAAAAAAGCAAAACTTTGCTTTCACTGCTGCCTTTTGCTCCTCTGCATTTGCAACTATGCACTAATGTTTATGCTTGAAATAGATAGTTAAAATGTTTTAAACTTTCTCGTACTGGCTCTGTCAGTTTTGAGACTCATTCCTTAACTTTTACAGTCCTCTGCTCCCTCAGCATGCCCTACAAAAATCCCAAATCTCTTTAAATGAAAATTAAAGATTAGACACAGTCGCCTTTAAGTGCTGAATTTCCCAGAACTAATTGGTGTTCCTTAAACACATTGTTTTGAAGGGCCTCTTTGGGTCCAGGGCCCCGGGGCATTCGCCCAAATTGCATAGTTAGTAATCCATCCTCGTCCCCATTTCTTGAATGGGTTGGAGGATCTCTGCAGTGCAATGCTTAAATATCTGCTTGATGTGCTTCCTTTTATGTCACACGCTTTACTTGATGTGATTAGCTGTGTATCTGTGCATTTGGACCTTTTCAGACAGTTTGAAAGCTTGGAATATTTTTCATTTTTGGTTACGCTTTACATTTAGGGTAAGCTCATAGTTGTTTCATTCTTCTGTACATTCTTTTAGGCTGTTATTTTGTCAAGTTTGCATCTAATACAATTCCACAAGGCCATTTGACAGAAGAACCACCAGACCTGAGTAAGAGAGGCCTGACTTATTTGCCCTTTTCTATACATGAACTTGTCTGTCCCTCACGTCACCTGTCCCAATGGCAGACTCCTGTCTCTGGTGCACACAGAGATCATTAGTGTCAGAGTGGAGCCGGTGCCAAAGATCCTCCAGCTGACCTAATCTGTCTTAAGACTACACATGGAGACAGGTGTGACACACTTAGCAGTATTCAGTATGAGCACTCCTCCAGAAAACTCTGCTCAAGTGTTACTAAATTAATGCAATTGCAAGACTTTGAGTGGGTGCAAGAATAGATTTATATAAATGTTGTCACAGCTTTACCCCTGTCTTTTAATGGCGAGTCCAAATAATGTAGGCTGACCGTAGGCTCTGCAGCTGACTGGCCGCTCCTATTGTCCACATATAGCAGTTTGACTTTGGACAAAAACTATAATTTTGGCCCCATTCTGTAAACGTGTACATTGGCTTTATATAACGAGCTGCAGTTTTAGTCATACCTCCACTCTTCAAACTCTGCTTTTATGTCCTGATAGTTTTTCTAATGATGATCCGGGTGCATGATTTCCTTTTGTAATACATCTCTAATGGCAGCCTAGTGTGGAGTTATCCAGACAGGCACAGGTGCTCCCTGTCACATGAATCCCAGGGCGGTTAGCTGCACCCAAAGGAGCGCACGTGTGAGCCTCTGTACCGTCTCCGAGCCGCATCTCCGACATGGGTTTGGGGACCTTCTGACATCACATCCGGATGGCTTTTTATTTTACATCTGAGACTCATTTTCCCACCGACATCTGCTGCATCCCTCACTCTCCATCTGTCTGCGAGTGGGCTCAAAAATAGTGACAATATCCTGCCAACGAGTCGCTCCCTTTTAAACTGCTATTTGCGACTGCGTGGATCTTGTTTAACCCGCGAAAATGAATCAGCGTTTTTTGCTTTCTTCCGATCGCAGACAAAGCCCCCCATAGAGCGGGAGACGGGGAGAGATGAGGGTGCGATGGAGAGGGTGGAATGTGAGAGGCAATTTGACACAGGAAGTGCGTTTATGTGAGTCGGACGGCAGACAAAGTCCCCACTCATGGGCAGCCGAGAGGCCAGGTACAAGTACATAGTGCGCAGGTATTTCAGGAGCTTATGTGAATCCATGGGTGGAGAAGTCTGGCTCGTATTCACTGGACATAAAAGGAATTGTGCTTCAAATGCCAGCTACACATCCAGGCAGCCTCTCCCCTCATACTTGTTTGTGAATGATAACCTGATCAGTGGCTGCGTGAAGCTATGTTTTGTCAAATAATCATGTTTTCTATATTGATATTATAACGGCAATAGAAACTACCCAACTGATCCTGATCATAAGTTTTTATCCCCTGTTCTCAACAGCGTGTGAGACGGCTTCTTTTGTGTTTTTTTTAATCCTCTCTGATGCTAAATCTGCCCATTCGTCTTTGCCAAAATTCTCCATTACCTGTAAATTCCTGGGCTGCACTGCATGAAGTTTGAAATCTCCCTGGAGCGGCTAAATGAGCTCCTTTTTGAACTAAATGTATGAGTTATTCCCTTTTTTAAATGCCATTTGTGGGAAATGGTAGTCAATATATGGCTTTAAACATACAATTACACTTGACCAAATTGTAGATTCACCACTAACAGTTTAGAGATTAGAGAATCAAGCAAGCAATAATAAAACGCACACATATGAGCCCATGGTCCATGCAACCACTGGAAAGTTTTGTGTTATCATTAATCATTTCTGCCTGGGTGTGTAAACTTTCAAGCACAATGACGTACTGTACTTTCAAGTTGATCAGAAAAATGCTGGATATTCGCAATAAACACTTTTGCACATCCTTCGTTCTGTTTAATACATGAAGCTACATGACCGAACGTGTGTTGAATATTTGCGTTATAAGTCATATTAGTTTATATATTAAATGCTTCTTTCGCTTTAGATGGCGCTGGGCTCGGGGTCATTCTTCACAGGACAAAGAAAATAAAAGATTCGGCCTTCATATTCTGACTGTATTCAAGTCTCGAAGAAATAGAAAAATCCTCATTCCTCTGTTTATCTCCCCTTCGGGTGTTTCTGTGCAGTGGTTTGGTTAAATTACTTTTCTTTTATCTGCTATAGAAAAATGGTTTAGTGTTTTGATTCGAATGGAAAAAAGTCCCGGCACTGGGGTAAGCTGTCACAAAAGCAAAGCAGTTGACATGTACCACCTTCTCTGGAATAATTGGAGCTTAAAATTAGTTAAACTTCCCCTTTAGTGAGAGGGCAAAATGACTTTTTCAGCGGAAAGGGGTCTAAAGGAAAGAGTAATTGCCATGACGATTCTAAAGTATTGTACAAGCTAGTTTGAATGATTCAGTCAAGTTTATTATAGACTCACAAAAGTAACATTTACAACTGCAGCCAACTCCTCTTCCTCTTTCTTGTATAGAAGCAAACAGGCCACAAATGATAGCTTGTATCTGCTTCTATTCATCAGCCGGTGCCATGGCTTTTGTTTATCGGGCCGTTGCCGTTGGTAGCAACACAGTCCTCCCCAAA